GTAGATGGTCAAAGTGCAGCAGATTTTCAACTGTTACATACAGCTTGATATTCTATTTGTAATAATATTGGTGATATGTTATTAGCTGAGTAGTAACTTATATGTAAAATCTTTAACATAGAAATGAAAAATAGAAATGACACATTCAAAAACATGTACAAAGTTCAATATTTTTCCTTTTGAAATCTAATGAATAAAACCTAGAATTTAGCATAAAACTGAATGTTGTTCAATTAAAGTACAAATACTTTATGATTGTATATATTTACACCTGAATGCTCTCTCTTTTCACAGACAGATGCTGTGGCTCATTTAGAATCATGTAATTAATATCTCTTCCTGTTTCAGAAATTCAGGGCTGTGGCTTTTCTTCCAAAGAGGAAACGGGGGTTATCAAGTCCCAGAACTGGCCTATGAACTACAAGGCTAACACAGAGTGCATGTGGAACATCGCTTTGCCTTTGGGGAAAAAAATCACCCTAACATTCACCCACTTTGACCTAGAAGCCAAAGATTTCCTAACATCCAAATGCTTAGACAACGTAATGGTGTACGACATCAACAGTCTGACTAATGCCCAGATTCAAAAACACGGTAAATTGTTGTGTGAAGTTACTACATGATCCCAAAGACCCAGATATTAATTTTATTTAAAATATTAATTTTAATCCTAATTAATATACTGTGTAGCTACACTGTTGCTGTTACTGTATATACACAAGTACTTGTGTAGCCTGTGTGTCACTTTATTTCAATACATTCCAGGTCCATTTTGTGGGACTAAGCTGCCTCTTACCATCCAGACAAAAGGCAACAGACTGGTGATTCGTTTCCATGCAGACTTGTTTTCTGAGGCAAAAGGCTTCAGGGCCTACTGGACAACAAACCCTAGTTTGCCTGCTCCCACTGAGCCGCCTGTTCATCCAAACCCTTGGGACAACATCCCCATAGGTGGAGTATCAATTTGAGCCTGACAGTTTGCTAAAATCCGCATTACCCCACAGTGTTGAAAGTACATTTAAGGCTGCACTTGTCTCTATTTTTTTATATTATCAAAAGATCAATTGATGATGTCTAATGTGAAAGGGATCTGATCTCACAGAGAATTAGCACCTGTGTTTTTGGCCTACAACTCCATTCTCATTAACCTCATTTCCAAACACAGCAGTGGGCTGATTTCAGCACAAAAGCTTTGATAAACAGATGGTACGCTTCCTGCTTAGAAACAGCAGACAGAAAAAGTTAGCGACTAGCTGGTGAACATAGTGGAGCATTTAGCTGTTGTAGATCCATATGTTTCTCTAGGATAACAAAACAGAGCTAAAAGCAGAGTGAATATAATTGTCACATGGACATACACCATAATAGGATGATTTGCTACTTTTCTTATAGTTTCTTCTTATAGTCTTTCTTAATTTATAGTTATAAAATAACTGTAAACTTAATACCTTTGAGTTTGTGCCTACTGTGACATTTAATTTATTAACAGAAAAATAATCAGAATAATTCATACTGAAAATATGACCCGAAAACCCCAAACCATGACAAAATAATAGTAAGCTGCAGATAAAAAAGATTACCAGATTTCACATAGCTGCAGTAAACTGTAGTGTGGCTAAGTATTTGTGCAGTATTTTATGTGCCAGATATGACATTGTGTATTTTCTATGTATAATGTAGCAATAAATGTAATGTTTTGGGTTTCTGTAATTTACACATCTCTACAGCTATGTTATACAGTCTTCAGGTTAACAGAGCAGTATTTTCCACCAGTCACGATGACCAACCATTAGTTTCAAACTGCTCCTTAAAAGCTGCACGGAGGCCTGCCTTCTATTCATTTGATTCAGGCTTCCTCCCATCCTCAACCTTTCTTTACACCCTCCCTCTCCCATCTCCTCCTTGCTTGAAGTGGTCTGGTGCTTCACTTTCCTTCCTTGCTGGCTGTCACCCGATCCTCATTCTTCACCCAGCGATGAGCCCCAGGTGGCACAAGCTCCTGCCAAGCCAATTGCTGAAATAGAGTTTTATAGATGGACTCTGCTGCCTCTGGGTTTTTTCCACCAAGGCTCTCACCAGAGATGTCTTATGTGTTGGGTCAAGGAAGGAGAGTGAGAGATGAAAGGAGAAAACATGAGATAAGAATGACTGGGGCACTTTAATGTCAACTCCTTGGATGACCAAAAGAAATGTGTATCTTTGTCCACACTGATGTTGCGATGTCAAGGAGTCAGTGTTTTTGAAAGTCTATTTTAGGACCCATTGTTTGTTTGCAGCAGGAGCATGGTATTGTGTTTGCATGAAAATACACTGAATATATTACAGCAGACTAGCAGATTAGTGAAAGCCAAAAAATATAGCTCTATGTAGCCATCAGTGTCAACCTGGTGTGTTTGGAAAATGATTTAAAAAACATGAATCAGAGTGTCAGAGCCAGTGATTGAAAGCCTCTTCCCTGCAACACACGGGTCTGTTAGCTGCAGATATGTATAGTATATTCAGACTTTGTTTATATGCAAACAAATTCATACATGCAACCAGACACAGGACAGATTACAATGGATTTCTTCTCATTTTCTAGACTGGCCAAGTTCATGTGGGCAACCAGCCATCCCTCCTGTTATTGTGTCACGCATTGTGAACGGAGAGGCAGCCAAGCCACACTCCTGGCCTTGGCAAGTGTCCATGCAGGTGAGAGATTTTGTGAATAAATGTAGTTCACATAAAGAAGCTATACATGCAGAGGCATTGTTTATTCATAATGTGATATCAAAGAGTAATTTTTTCCATCCTCCTCTGTCCTTTGATATCTCATTAAATGATTAACTGACTGCATGGATATGTTTTTTAAAAATGTACATAATCAACATCAGTTGTGTTTATCATCTTTAATAATCAATGTGCAAATATTTTTAATGACGTTTGTTTCAGGTCTGGCCCGACAGTCGTCCAGAACCCACATTCTTCCACACCTGTGGTGGTACTCTCATTCATAAGAACTGGGTACTTACAGCAGCCCACTGCTTCATAAGGTAAATATTCTGTTTCATCATTTTCACACACAGTACATGTGTATACATGCTGTATATTTTTTTTAAATGTTCAAGTTGTTCAAGTTGTAAAAGTAATTCATTTTAAAAGCAAGACCAATGTGCAGTAGTTCAGTTTTTTAATGCCACCTTTTCCCACAACGTTTTCTCAAACTTCCTGGAAGCCCATTTGCGTAATCTCAGAAGGCAGTTATTGGTGTCTGTGCTTTTACCTCTGGCTTATTACAGTGCAAGAGCAATGCCTTGTTAGAGATGCCTCAACTCCCTGGCTAATGGTCTACAGCTCCCTTTGGAGGGAGAGTTGCTGCTGCACTGGGGAGGCCTTGTGCTATATAGTTTGCTGCTGTGAGCCAGGATGTTATGTGTCTAAGGTTATGTGCTAAAACGAAGTGTGGTGTGGTTCAACTGTACAAATGCATTTGTTTTTGTAAAACTAGAAACTCCACAGTGCCACAGTGCAAACAGATACTGCTCCAATATCCTGTCAGCTTACACGGTGCAGTGACATAGACATGTGTCTTGGCCTGTTTACTATAATCTGTAAGGTGTTATTATTGATTCATCTGCCGATTTCCTACCCAGATATGCTAACGAGCTGCAGCGCTGGCGCATGTGCCTTGGCAAACAAAACCTGACCTACACAGAGCCAAGTGAACGCTGCTTCAACGTGTCTGGTATCTATCGCCATGAGGGCTTCAAGTATCCCACAGTGCCCACGGTGGAGTTTGACATTGCCCTGGTCAGGTTGGACGGGGAGGTGAGACCCAGTCAGGAGATCTCGTACGCATGCCTTCCCTCCGAAGAGGAAGTCCTAGCTGGGGGAAAGATGTGCTACGCCACCGGCTGGGGAGACGAGACTGGTGCTGTTTCAACTTCATGTTCATTAGCAGTCAGCACATGTGCATGTCAATACTCATATACTCACTTTCACTCACTGAAATTATACAATAATTCATGAGAGGAGACACTCACCCCTCATGAGTTAAACATTCATTGTTGCATAGTTTGCATGCCCTCTGCTGGACTTAATGTGCAAATACCTCTTGTGTTTATGCTTTTGTTTTAATCGCTTTTCGTTTAATAGTTTTTTGTGATTATCAGGTGATTCACTGAATGCTAAAGTCGCAGAGACCCTTAACCAAGTCGCGCTGCCTGTTGTGCCATTTGACACCTGCAAGAGGATGGATTACTGGTGGTTCCAGGTCAAGACCTCCATGATTTGCTGTGGTTATACCCTGCCTGATGAGCTCAAGTCTGTCTGTCAGGTAAAACAAATCCTGCAGGAGTACATGTCTAATAGATAACAATGGCTTTACATCATTCTGATCATCAATGAGATGACTGTGCAAATCCAACTCTACACAGATGTTATCTAACAACATGCTGATGCTGTTGTTGATGTTAATTTGTGACTTTGACAGGGAGATTCAGGTGGTCCTCTGGTGTGCCAGGATACCCCTGGTGGTCCTTGGGAAGTTCATGGTATAACCAGCTTTGGTCCTATTGGATGCATTATGAATAAGAAGCCCTCTGTGTTCACCCGCTCCTCTGCCTACATCCCCTGGATCAGAAATGTCATCCGCAGGGACATCTACAATGAGCACAGTATGAATCCAGCTGGTCTAAACTGCTGAAAAACTAAACTGCTTTATGGTACAAAGGCAGAATTTGTTGCTGGTTTTCACCCTCTGCCCTCCTTGTGTAGCGTCTGGCTGTGGAGGGCCAAAGGACTTGACTGGCACAGGAGGCACGGTGTCCTCTATGGGTTACCCTCGCAGCTACAACAACAAAGCCAGCTGCCAGTGGAACATCCAAGTGCCCCTCGGCAAACTGGTCCACCTCCATTTCCACAATTTCTCCATGGAGGAGAGTCAGATGTGCTTGAATGACAAAGTCAAACTCACAGACAGAATAGGAAGCCTAGGTACGTGAATATCTGCCTCCTTTTTCTCTCCAGCTGATAATGAATTTGCCGTTATTTATTGATGTGATTTCTTTGCTTTATGTTACACAGCATCTCCCTCACACTTGTGCACAGTTACTGCAGTCTATTAGTATGCGTAAATGACATGTCACAGTAAAGTCCCACACTCACTTATTTCAACTTATATAGATTGACATTTTGGCCAACCGCCTTCTTCAGGACAAATAGCAAAAGTCACCTGACAGGTGTTTCAAATAAGGGCAGTCATTTTGAGAGGCCAATCCAAGGAAGGCCTGAAACAAAAACATATAAACATATCAAGAAACCAACAAGCAAAAACTAGAAAAATGCTCGATAAGAGTCCAACTACAAAACAGCATACATTCAAATTATGGAAGGAATCCACAAAATACAAATCTATATCTGTACATATAATGATCCAATTCAATTATTAAGTTAAAATAAAAGAAAGCATAATTGATTCTATATATCTTTGAGGACAATATATGAAAAATAAATGTATGTCAAAAATGACAAAGCAAAAATTATTAAATAGAAAAACAATCATACATACTGTATATAAGTACATGTCACAAACATGAATCTCTACATATTAATACAATTTTACACAATGCTAAGAGTAAATAGCCATGCTAGAGGCTAATGTGCACTTTAAGCTAAATGCTAACATGCTCAGAATGATTCCAACAATTACAGTTTACTGAGTTAGCATGCTAACATCTGCTAACTGGCACTAAAAACCATCCAAGGCTGCACTACATCTAGGAAAGTCAACCTTCTCAACCCCTTTATATTGAAGAGGGGAGATTTTGCATCAACGTTATGAGTGTGTGGCTTTCCCTTTCTCTTTTCTCGATGTTTGCCTGCAACTAACTAGAACAGGTGTGCTGATTTAGCTTGTGATTTTTCTCTCAGGCTTAAAAATCATGTAGGCTATGCACGTGTATATGTCATGCATGTATAATATTAAAATAGGACAGAGAGAAGCATATGAGTTAGTAATTAATATACTAATATACTTATAACATCATACACAAGCTCTTAGCACAGAGATTCACTATAAAAGTCAGCCTGACTGTTGTTCACGTTCATTTCTCTTCAGGCACACATTGTAGCCATGTACCCCCTAAAGACCTGGTGAGCGTTGAAAACACACTTCACATCAGCTTCTCCTCCAACGACAAGGTGGTGGACACAGGCTTCACTGCCTCCTGGAGGGCAGTGGACCCTACAGAGGGTAAGACAGGAGAAAAGTGAACCTGACAAGACACTGAGGGAATAGCCTTCAGGCAAAACTAATATATCTCATTGTCTGTTTTTCTTTTCTTCTCCTCTTTTCCTTTACAGCTCCTTGTGGAGGGACCTTCAGCACTAATCAGGGTGAAATCACCTCTCCAAACTGGCCCAGTGACTACCAGGCCCAGTCTGTGTGCACATGGCGTATCACCATTCCTTCAGCAAAAAGTGTCCATGTAGCCTTCACTCACTTTGAATTGCAAGCTGCAAACATGTTAAACAAATGTGTGGACTATGTGGAGATCTTCAATGGAGAAAGCATGGCATCACTAGGTTTGTTATTGTACTACAAATTCTCTTGTCTCCATTTTGTCTTTGTGGGATTTTTTTTTACACATTTCCTCTCAAACTCTCATTTTTTGTCTGGCCTGCAGGTCGATTTTGCGGCTTTGCCCCTCCACCCATTATCAACATCCCTAGCAACACGGTCATTGTTCGCTTCCTTAGTAATGGAGACAATCAGCAGAAGGGTTTTCGTGGTTACTGGACCACTGACACCAATGTTATCCCAACTGTACCTCCTCCACCTCCTAACCCATGGGACAACATCACTATCAGTGAGTGTAGGCCTAGCCAAACTGTCTCTGATGTGGGGTTATTAGTTGTGATCTCATTAGAAGGTTCCCAATTTTAAAATGGTAAAAAAAAAAAAGGAGCTTATTTATACATAATATAATTCTATATATTGTATTGTATATATTCTCTTTGCAGACTGGCCAGTAAATTGTGGAAACCCAGAAGTGACACCCAGTACGGCCACTCTGAGGGTGGTTAATGGGGAGGAGGCGATCCCCTACTCCTGGCCCTGGCAGGTCTCCATGCAGGTACTGTCTACTCTTGTTTCTCTGTGTGTCTGACTAACAGTCATAGAGAAAAGCTTTTAATTTGAACAAATGTGTTTCTCTCCCCCAGGCTTCACCTATGTCTCCTATACCTTACATGCACGGTTGTGGAGGATCTTTGATTCACGAAGAGTGGATACTAACTGCTGCCCACTGTTTCATGTTGTAAGACACATCTCTAGAACTACATAATGCAATTTTAGCTCACAGTTCTTTAAAGCAATGTCAATCAATTTACTGTCAGCTCCTCTCTTCACTGTGTCATTTCTCAAATTTACTGTCATCTCTCTCACTGTGTCATTTTCAGTGTGTATATGTGTGTGTTTTCTGCAATAAAGCTTCAAAAACCCAGTATACACTACCTGCTCAGCACCAAACAGCAGACACACACACTCAGCAACTATCTGGTGCACATAGTGGAACATTTAGCAGCTAAAGAGCCAGATATTTCCCTCAGGGTTGGTAGAGACCAAAAACAGAGCTAAAGGAGAGTGAATATTGGGCTTTCATTCGCCAGGTTGCCACAGACATGACTCCAAATCTATTTTATTGTTACTCTGTAACTGCTGAATGTGTAAATAAGCTTGCACAAAAGCCATAGGGAAAAGTTAAACAAGTTGTAATTTTCACCTTCAACCTTCCACCTGCTTTCCAGCCCACTGAATACACCCTCCTTCTGGCGCATGTGTTTGGGGAAGCACCACATGAACTCCTCCAGGGACGTTCCCTCAGCAGAGGAATGCTATAAGGTGGATGGCATCATCCGCCACAAGGGGTTCGTCTACGAGCAGGATCGCACTGACATCACAAATGACGTAGCCCTGGTGCATTTGACCAAGCCTGTCAATATGAAGAGGGAGATCAGCCCCATCTGTCTGCCCAAACCCGGGGCTGTGATGCCTGCTGGGACACGCTGTTTTGTCACCGGCTGGGGAGACGAGAAAGGTAGAAGTGATCGTGCATTTCAATTTCTTGTAAAAGAAATGGAGTTGTAATGCTACTCTCGGAACTAGAGGTAATTTTATCTCTGCCAGTATGATGCTGTTCTGTAAAATTGTGACTCCAGTGTTGTTTTCACTTTTAATCTTTTGTTTGGTACTTTTACTGATTTTCATTTTAATTGAAGATGTACACTATTTTTTCATGTGTTAGCTACACTCCATAATGAGTATGTCTTGGCTTGATTTTCTAAAGATAAGGAGAGTTGGATGTTTATATTGATGTAAATGTGTGCATCTCTGTGTCTATGCCTTCTACAACAACATAAACTTTACTTTTCACTTTCATCTTAGGTAATGTCTTCCCCAAAGTGGCTGAGAAGCTAAATCAGGCTGCCCTCCCTATTATTGACTTCCAGACCTGCAGTAAACCTGCTTACTGGTGGGACACCCTCAGGCCCTCCATGGTCTGTGCTGGCTATGAGTCCCCAGATGAGCTCAAGTCAGCCTGTCAGGTGAGAGGACACATTCAGAAAGAAATCGCTCTGGTACTTGGTTTCTCTTCAAGCTTTTCTCGTGTGTTATGTAAGTGTACTGTCCTCTCATTATTGGGTTGTCTGTTATGTAACGCCATGTAAACTGTGTTGTTTGTGATCAGTCAGCCGTGACTGCAAATGTCTGCCTGGTTTTCATGCATAATTGTACAAAAGAACATAGGAAAATTTGTTTGCCATAATGAGCGAACATGCAAGCGGCAACATGGGAAGATTAGATATTCTAAAAAACAGATCAGAACAGAACAGAAAGCTTTTAAATTTCAACAGAGCTTTTATAAAACACAACACTGACATTTGCCTCCCTGAAGAAAATCCTGTCACATTTTTGTTAAAGACTGACCTTTGCAAATTCCAGAGCACACAGATGATTTATTGTGGCTGACAAAATCAAATGCTCACCAATGCATCTTCTTATGCCGTATAGTAAATCTTTGGTGACTTTCCTCTCCTGCTCTCCCGTAGGGTGACTCTGGTGGTCCATTCGCCTGCACGGCCTCCGGAGCAAACACAACCTGGGAGGTGCATGGAATCGTCAGCTTTGGCCCTGTGGGCTGCATCAGAGACAAGAAACCCTCAGTATTCACCCGTGTCTCTGCCTTCAGCGACTGGATCGATGAAAACATCAAGAAGTTTATATATGAAAGTGGCAAAACCAACTAAAGCTCATGTATTGAAATAAAGATTTTGACAGTGTTACTTGCTCATTTCTGTTTTGGTTTTATTCTTCTGCTACAGGCCAAGTCAGTGTAAAATTTTATTGAGGGTTCACCATTAAGTGTTGCTCTCTGGTAACAACTTTTATTTAATACTACAACTGATATTTCATACATTTTACAGCATACAAGTTAAAGAAACATTGCGCCAAACATGTTAATTAAATAAACAAAATAATTTTGGTGTTTAAATAAAAAATTTTTATGATTGCTATATGAGTTTAAATTCTAAAGAAAATGTATTTTATTACCATGTAATTACAAAGATAATTTATTGTAAATTACAAAGAAAAATGTGCAAATTATATGCAATATACAATATTCAAAATAGAAAACTCAGTGTATGGTAGGCATCGCAGCCATGTTTCAAAGAGTTTTTCTTTTTTTCTGTGTGATATTTAGTTTTGCTACAGCTCACAGCGACATGACCGTTCAGGCCGTCCTCCTAGTTCTCAGTGCATACTAGTTACCTCCTCCTTTCTTCCCTCAGATTTCAAGTTTTGGGTTTTAACCCCTTAATCACATGACCAGGCCACTCGGCCAATGGGAGAGCTCGGCTCAGATTTCAGCCTAGGAGGAGAGAAGGGAATAAAGAGGGAGGAAGAGAAAGAGACAAGCCCTAATCTGTGTTCATGGTTTGGACAGCCTGCCGGTACTGACAGCACTTCTTTACACTCCCTCCTGGCTTGGATTATCAGGGTTGCGTTTGGAGTATGTGGTTGCCACGTTTTTAGGGGAAGGGGATTTCAACCACTGTGAAAAGTCCAAGAGTTTATCCTGGAACAGAGTGAGGAAAGTAGGAGGGAAGATAGAAGCACATTTTCCTCATCTTTGCCTCCACAGGCATTTCTTCTGTGGAAGAATGGGGGCAGGAGCTCTGGCCATCTGTGTGAGTAGAAGCTACAAAGCCTGAGTTGGCTCAAAGATTTCCCATTCAACCTGTGATTAAGGGCTAAAGAATGCATAACGGGACGGTGCTGTTCAGTGTCAGTCCACACACACTGTTGTGACGGTGTGTGTGTGTGTTGAATGTTCTGGCAGACACAAGTGGCTTTTTAAAATGTCAAGGAGGGACAAATCTTTTCTTCCTGATGAAAAACATGCTTTACCTTCCTAGAATAAACTTTGCTCACTAAATACATGACTACCGGCATCAGGATGAATACTTTCATTTGCAGTATTAACAGAGAAAGCAGGTTCCTTGCTAGCCAGCACTACTTTAAGTCTGCCATCCGTACACCACTGTAACAGTACAAGAGCAAAAACAGGGCTACAAACACACTAAGCTTGCTTCCCATCCATGCCTGCAATGTTTTTTCCTAGCAATGATCCAGTGCCTCTATGACAACATTTCCTTTATGGAAATACAGTCTTTACAAGAACTAAACCACTTTAACGGTCTACTTTTTGTGTACTTTTTCAAACTGCGTGTCTCTAGCAGCAGTTTCTTTGAGATGAGCAGCTGTTGCTTCTGGTGCCTGTGGTGCTTTTGCTACCAGTTGCTTCAATGGCCACCCACATAGGGACAGAGGCAGAGACAAGGGGGAGGGAGAGGGTGGAGGTCTGGGAACAGAGGGCACATGCTTGGGCTTGCTATTCTCTGCATGAGCAAGAGGCACAGGAAGATGGCCTTGCTTTTTAGCAGTGTGTTTGTGTTTAACATTTTAGAGAGACTTAGAGACTTTTTTACCCACTCAAACTCCACAAAATGAAAATGAAATGAATGAAAAGAATCTTGACGCTGACACTTGTTGTTTGAGTGTCCTCTCAAGAGGAGAAAGCAGACTTTCAACAGTCATTAGCTTCCTGAGTCTCTCAATAGCCCCTTGACAATAGGTTTCTTCCTCCCTGTCAGAAGTTGCAGTGTGAAAATATTTTAAGGATGGGGGAGGGGAGAAGGGGATGAGGATTATTAGGTTAATCACAACAGACTGTCCCGGTAAACAATAGAGGCAAATGGGTACCCACAGCATGTGCTTCCCTTTCTCCTTGGCTGCTTTGGTTCACACAAGCTCTGTAGCTGCTGGTGTGTCAAGGGGCAATTGAATAAAAACCTTGAAATTGACTTGTATTTAGGGAGGGAGGAGTGGGATATTTTATATACTCTGTTTATACTTACTTTCACACCAATGTGACAAAAGCACAATTATGTGTTTGCAAGGTAACCTGCTCACAACCAGGGGTTTTACATGAATCCAACATTGCAGCTCAGCTCTGGTGTGAAGGTGTGAACACAGATTACATGCTGCTTTGTCTGCAAATTGGTCCTCTTGTTTTCTGAATTGTAATTTACATACTAAGTTGTTGCATCAACAGATGAATTAAGGAAAAGAAAACGTCCATGACTGCCCAATCTGTAGCCATGAGGGGCCACCACTATATATAGCTTTCAGGTTTTTCTAGTAGCTGTGTGGTTTGCTTGTAGTACGTTTTTTTTAAAATATTGTATTGTGAATGCTCACAAGATTATTGACCAATTTCTTGCCATTCTTAGAATTAATCTTTTCTATATATGTTTTCAAGTGCAATACTTCACTGTTTTGTCATTTTTTGAAGTTATTTTTATATATGAATGCTGTTTCCTATTTATTCTGCATACTGCAGTGAGAATTAACCACTGTACTTGTATTAATTGCCTTTGTAGTTCTCCAATCTATTGATCGTTACTGTTAAGCTGATGATACACAGGGCAACTTTTTGAGCACTCGTGCAGGGCAACATTGCCGTCAGTGGTAATGAGTAAAGATTACTACCGTAATCTCCTTTCCTCACCACTCCGCCACCACGCCGCTATCCGTTCAAAACATAGTCGGACTTGCCACTAGCAAGATTGCCCAGCAACATTACTCAAAAAGTTGCCCCGTGTATCATCAGCTTAACAGTCACATCTTGGTCTTGGGGGTCCTGTTTTGGAGTTTGTTGACATTACTCATAGTAAATCACCATTAAATAGTTCAGGGTGTTATTGGTAGTTTACCTGAATGAACCTTAAATGTGAAAAAGTGACAACCATGTGATGGACGGAAACTTCAAATGTGGCTTGAACACATGTTGAATATCTGATATATTTCACTTGTGTCTGAACAAGGCATATATGCAGGATCCCACTGAATTTTGAATGGCGAATGAAGGTCTATGTGTGTTCATAGTGACATTCATCGATGTATGCAGACTGATAAAACCAGTGTGAGGTTAGACCTGTGATGTGTGTGTGTGTGTGTGTGTGTGTGTGTGTGTGTGTGTGTGTTCGCATGATAGTAAAGACAGATTTAGGGGACATCTGTTCAGTAGGCCTGTCACAGTCAGACCTAGCTCAGACCAGCTTAACTCTTTAACACCTGCATGTAGCCCCAATAGTAGTAGTACTATTGGAGCCCTTTGCAGCCCTGAGAGGTTGACCCATTGCTACTTAAACTGAGCTGTGGCCTGTTAACATTATGACCAACAATGAACTGTTATACCTGGACAGTCTACTATAAAACTATATGATCTGTAAATATAAAGTTAAATTGTAGATACAGAGATTTTAGGATTGTACTGTACAGTTATAGAATATTCAAAGAATTATGACATTGTGCTTGAAATACAATCATAGCTTTCTTATTTATACCTACCCAAACCTCCCATTTTTTCTCACACCTCTCTGACTGCTAACATCTTCTCCCACCTGAAGACCTAGCCTATCTTATTATTTTTGTTAAAATACAGTATGTCAGTGCAATTTAGCCAATTAAGTAGTGCTAGCTTTTCAGGCAGCTCATCCAAGCATGAACAGTCATGAAAATCTTAATTATTACATTTTCACACATTTTACAGGAAGGTGCAACTGGCATATTTTTATGCACCTGCCAGAAAGGAGTGGATGACTGAGCACTATTAACACATTGCCTGTACAAGCTTCTCAGATGCATGTCGTATTAATGCAGCATCTGCTATCGTACAGATCCTGTCTCCTCAGCACCGTCTGTGAAGTGGATTTTAATCAGCTGACCAGCGTGTGGCACAAGCCTGTACCCATTCTGTCTAAACAATTGGCCACATAGGGAATAAATTCAGTGGTACTTCCTCTTCACAACCCACTTCTACCTCTTCAACATGGTAAATCCGCTGTGTCACCGAGGACCTCACAGAGACAAAAATCATAGCAGGGGGCCTCTCGTTTCACTGTATGGGTCAGTTCACTCGTTTGAAGCGGTGAACTCTGGAATGACAATATGTCACATGGTGTAGTAGTAGCTATGGATACAGCAGTAAAACTTGCTCTGAATCTGTGTTGCTCTGACGTGCAGGAAGTCTGTTCCTCCTCACCCAGTGATCGAAACCTGCTTCTGGTGTGTGAGTCTTAACTCTCTTGCTCCTCGTACTGACTACACAAAGACAGAAGTGCATCATGCTGTAGTTAAATGTGCCAAACAAATCAATTATTTACCCTGCTCTGTCTGACGCTGGCTCTTTACATGAAGAGTTCTGTGTGCACTCAGTGTTTACACTCAGAGATAGAGGCAGCAGGTGGCACCGTTTGCCTTGACAAGTTATCTGATTAGACATACTGAACTGAGCTGGTCAATTAAACACTAATACATGCTTAGACTCTGGTTTACAAGGTTTTCCCACTGAGGGGATTGGGCTCATCTTTACAATAAGAGCAAATGTATTTACCATGAGTAAATGGTGGTACATTTACTCAACTACATTTAAGAGGGAAATATTGTACTTTTTACTCCTACATTTCATGTGACTTCTGTAGTTACTTTGCAGATTATGTTTTTACATTGAAAGAATATTTACCTGATTTATAAAATGTGATGTATGGGCCTATATTAAACTAGTGTGTGTTCAAATTTGCTACACCTCAAATAGCTGCTACATTTAAATGCTATTTACACTTTAATGTTATCAATAATAACAATACAGTAAAGTAATGATAATCAAATAATATAGTATAACACTCACCTATGGAAAAAGGAGTAATTTTACTGTAATTAAAATATACTGTTAATACTTTCATACTTTTACTATATGAAAGTATGATTCCGAATGCAGGACTTTTACCTGTAACAGAGTTTTATTACATTATACTACTGCTGCTTTTATTCAAGTAAAGGATCTGACTACACAAACATTTCATTAGAGTAAAGGAAGTTTCTGTTCCAACTCTTCGCAAGTTTCCTGACTTATTGAGGATGCTTTCCAGTAAAACCTTTTTAATTGGCCAATTGTTCATATCCAAATGTAGACATATAGCCCTTTGAGCTCTCAGCACACTATCCATTCAAATTAATATTTATAGGTATTAATGGCGGCTGTGCATCAACTCACTTGAACAACCAACACCTGCGGATGTCTATTTGTGCAGGTGTGTGTGTCACTCTGGCAATGCCTTTAAGCAAAGGTGTTGCGTGGTAACCTGATATCTGTCATGGCAACACATTTGCACTTTCAGCCCTCCCCTTTCTCTTCCTCCCAGGACAGTACACAGTGTCCTCTAAGTGTATGACGATTGCAGGAGGTGAGCATGTATGAGCGCCAAAGAGAGACCCACCGCCACTATAACTATACACACCTTTTAATCTATGCAGCAGAGTGAGCCCTCCCTGCTCCAGGACAGGTGTCAGTGGTGTCTAGCCTGACTCTCCAGCGCTGCTCTCTGTGTCCATAGTGTCAGTGGCTGACTGCTGCTGTCTGCTCTTCTCCCAGCAGCATAACAAGACAGCGGTGCAGATTAAAGAAGACATGAAGAAGATGGTCCAGATACCCATACTGCGACCCAGGACAGTGACGGCCAAGCACGCCAAGTTGTTTGGGGTGTCCCTGTTTGAGCTGCAGGAGAAGGGCCAGATGGAGGACGGTGTGCCTCGGGTGTTGCGAAGGCTGGTGGAGCATCTCGGCAAGCATGGTGAGGAAAAAACACAACAGAACAGAAATTAAGCAAACAATAAATGTAATGGTTGATCACCTTATTTGAGATGCTATCAAAATTAGCTTTTTGTTTTTTATGAACATTGCGTCTTCAGTGTCCAGTTCTGATTTTTTTTTACTTTGTCACTGTATTGTTAATAAAGAATTTGAAAAGCAGTGACATCAGAGTTTCCCCAAAAATAAGACAATATATAATGGATCTAAAATGTTTAAACCTTGATCAGATCTCACAAGTACCATTATAGGAATACAACTGATATTTACCCATTTTGGCTTTTGTGATTATTATGTTGTATTATTAATGTGATTTGGTCAAAATAAATAAACAGTTTCAGTTATGCAATAATCAGAGATATCACCATCGTACTCTATGCTCATATTATACTGACTCCCTTAGAATGGGACCACGCTAGTAGTTTTGAATGTTTTAACCTATTTGCTGCAAATCACAAGTACTTTAAACTGCAGTGAGCTCTTTTGCAAGCCATGCTGTTATGGTTTAGAGATTTTAATGTTTTGTTTTTACTGTTCCATTTGTTTCCATGAATTTACAATATGTATGTAAGTACAGTCAACTGGTAGACTAATGACACTTGCGTAAGTTGAACATGAAATCTGAATGTATTCCTAATAAGAGGTAACACAGCAGAATGTTCACCTCACTCTGCACTTAGAAACAGTATATTACCACAAAACAATACCTTGCAAGTTTTAGTTTGATGTAACCAGAACACCAGTATAGTAAATCAGAAAAAAATATATTCCAAACTTACAACTTTCCCAATTTCCAATCTCACCCACCCCACCCAAACGCAAACACAGAAAAGGATGGAGTCAAAGTGGTTTTCTCAGAAATATATAAATAAAAATATCTATAAAAGGCAATTTTATAGAGAAAAAGCAAAATGACACAATGCAATACTTAGAAAGAACAATATCATTAATCTCGCCATGACAATCAGTGTCAATGTGCTTTGTACTTGGTATTGACCAACTTTATCGTTTTCCCGTAGTTTTTCTGCTTGACCACTAGATGTCAGTACAAGGAAGTGGAACTCCTTCCTAATTGCTACTGAAACTACAGGCCTTTTATAGTATGATACAGTCACTGATATTACATTTGACTGCTAGTCCTCAGCTGTAGATCACACTACGATAAAGGTCTATGTACTACTAACCGTCTTTATTGTGGTATTTCAGTACACAACGTATTTGTGGGCTCCATTTACAGCACCAGGGCTGACATTACAACCACTTTACAATCACACTCAGGACAATTTAATATAAGCTAGAGGAAAATAATAAAGTACCTTCCGGAAAAAAAGCTTTCTTGTCCATGCAGTGATTGGGTTTAGGTTTCTGACTCCACCCACCGTGGAGGTAAATGTCATTTAGTTTCTGGTGCTCAGCACTGGAATCTTTCTCTTTTCAGAAATCATGTCCCTTCAGCTCGTCTTCATCCACAGAGCTCATTGTACGCTGTTTTCATAGGAACTATTTCTTCTGTAGAAAGTAGTTCCAAAAGACTGCTCAGTGCTCACATGAACTATTCCGCCCTCAAACGAAGAGAGAAGGATATCTTCAAACATGAGCAAATTAAACAAATTCTAAACAATTAAATAGCTTCATATCACTGTTACAGTTAAAGGATTAAATTCTTTGTCATGCTGCAATTTGGGTCAACCGACCTTTTAAAGGTAAAACGTGTTCCTCTAATAACATCTAGTGGAAGCCATGGAGACCTACAGTATCAAATTAGGCAAAGTTGTGTCCACAGCTAATTAACGTTAGTCTGGTTACAAATGTAAAACTTACCCTCACAGTAAGTTGTAGAGGTAAGGCTAACTTACATAACAGCATCGTAGCGCGTTCACTCCTCCATCAACATCAGTGCACCTGATTCAAGAGGGATGCTGCCAAATGAAGTATGCTAACTGCTTAGTTAGCATACTTCATGGCATACTTCATTTGTACTTCACTAAAGAAACGTTAGTATGCTTTCTGTGTAACGTTTCACCTGAACCTGTGTTCGTCTGCACTTTTCACATGACATGAAGCTAGCGTTAGCATGTAAGGCAAATAGCTGCAAAGTAAAACGTTTGTGGATAATTTACATTAGCTAACGTTACATCATTAAGCATGTAACGTGAAACAGGTATTCACCTCCACATCATTATTAAAAAATAATTAGCTTACCGGTATTAAGTTAGTGCCAGAAAATCGCTCCGATTTTCCAAAAGTCCAAGGTTCACGCAATGCAAGTGCAATGTTTACTAACGTTAACGTTACACTCCACAATACAAAAGGTTAGAAGAAATAAACTGATGATTTTGCTATTTTTCTTGTTCTGAGAATCATGGGATTAATATCAATCAAAATTATTTCCTTTAACTGGGAGCATTATGTGTGCAAATTTCAAGATAATCTGCCTGTATATATATATATATATATATATATATATAGATTTGTGAAAAAAATATCTAATTGCGATTATTTTGACTGATATTGCAATTGCCATATGATTTGTGATATTAAAAGAATGATCGTTTTTACATCATTATTCTCATTTTCATTGAGAAACATATTAAAATGATTTATTCATGTTTTTTTCAGGGGATTGGTACGAAACAAAGATGTTTTCTTAAGTCTGTAATGTTTGGGCCAGGATATATCTGTGGCAGGACAATATTTAATTTAAAATATTTTTTTACACACATTTCACCTCTCACAAATATTGAGCCTCCTGCGATTTGAAAAGTGCAGTAACATAAGCCATTTTGAGATTTTGATAAAATTTCGAATAATTGTTCAGCCCCATTGATGATGGTGCTAGAGAAAACACTGGTGCAACTAATGTTCATGTTAAAACTGATTTTTGAGAGTTGATAATTTTAGACCTGTAATAAAAATTATTTTGCAATCCATGGAAAACATGATAACCACTTTTAGGGGACCATCTTAATTCCATTTCATCCCTAATTAGCTCTCTTATTAAGGAGTTAATCTATAGTCTGGCTCTTAATGACATGAGCTAACTGCATGTTCTTATTTTCCTCCAGCCTTGCATCAGGAGGGTCTGTTCAGAGTGAATGGGAATGTGCGGGCTGTGGAGACCCTGAAACAGCGACTGGAGAGTGGAGAGGATGTGGACCTTCTCTCTGAATCTGATTCGTGTACAGTGGCCAGCTTGCTGAAACGATACCTCAGGGACCTGCCAGAGGGTCTGGTGGACTCAACAGTCCAACAGGCACTGATACATCAATACCAAGGTAAAAGAAATTAGTTTCTGTTTGTTACAACACCTTATTTTTGTTGTCTTGATTATCCTATCAGCTCATGTAGACCCACTTTTTCCCAACAGTCATGTGATACCTATCCTGAGCAACATTCCAAATACGCAATGTGATATTAATACTCACATGTTGTGAATATATGGGTCATGACGCTGATTTGATGATAAGTAAATGCTATCTTTAGGTCCTGACAATTACTGTTAGCTCTGCAGCCCCCCATGCCAGGCAGCACATATAAAGCACTGCTAAGTTAAGTCTCTGTGTGTGTGTGTGTGTGTGTGTGTGTGTGTGTGTGTGTGTGTGTGTGTGTGTGTGTGTGTGAGTGAGAGAAAGTGTCTATGAGACTAGAAAGTGACGGATCTAATTTATGGCAAAAATGTTGCAGGACATAAAAGGTAAAGCGAATGATTTGGCAGGGGAAGTGTCTGTGCTCACTCTCTGCTTCCATCGCTGGGTTTAATCTGTTGAATGAGACGAGAGTATACACTGTTGCTCGTGTTCGTTTTTCCCTCATAGACTCCATAAATATCTGCCTGTTTTTCGGGGCCTATGGCCAAATGTTACATTAGAGAACCAGTCTTTGGCATAAGACATCACCTGAATAAAATAATTTTGTTGTACTACCTCCTCGCCAGTATTTGGCAAATTTAGAAACATCAAAGGTGTATGATGAATGGATGGATAGGCAGATTATGTTGCAGATTGATTAGCAGTATGGCTGACAGTTCAGAATATAACCAATATATTTCTGCGATGTCTCGTCCATCAATTAAGTTAACAATGGCAACACATACACAATATGGATGGTAAGATTTAAGTGAGATTATGACCTAAATTGAATAAGTAAACCAACATCTCTCCAAGCTTCATACAATTTGATGTCATATATTCTATTGATCTATCGATTGGTTGATCAACGTGAAAATATTCAGTTACTATTGTGATAAGCCAGTTATAAACATCTCATTAAGCTCTGGGAAATTGTGATGAATATTTGACGTTATTATTATTTGTTTTACATTTTATATCCTAAATGATTAACCAGTTAATTAAAAAAAAAAAAATCATTAGTTACAGCCTTAAACAGGGATCCTCTTGCTAATGGGTGCCATACTGTGGCTTTCAGGAAAGTCATATTAATGAACAACTTTCTTGCAGTGGATGAAATGTTGCAGTCAAAAGCAAAAATAATATTCTCACATGGGCAGGGTCCAGATTCTCTTTAAAAGTGCAAAACAATATCTCACATGAGTGGTTTTCCTAACAGATTATAGTGCCCTTAGCCAGTAAAATACTGTTAGTCATTAATGTCATTATTACATGTAGCTTATTACCCATATATTCAGTGGGGCTGCTGTAAATATTAAGAATGCATACTTGCACAGTTTTGCAGCTCAACATATCAGCCGTGTATTTACAAACACTACAGTAACACACTGCTTGAGACATACAACCATGTTTGTTAACGTAAGGTGCAGTGCGTTTTTTTAAAATACTCTTTGTAATAGCATTACATTATTGAATAGAAATACAAGTAATATTATTAAAAGTCATCCACCCAATGTGATGAAAAGAAACACATTAAAGGATGAATAAATACTATATGCACACACAAATGTAAATGATTAGAGCATGCCCAGTTTATTGATTTAGTAGGCGATTGTTTAAAATAATTTAACACCATCTTTTTTCACACAAAGGTTACCTCTTAGTTTATATTTTTCAAATGTTGAACTTGCACTAAATTCTCTCCATTTTGACTGCTAATATTTTAAACAGATGCTCTCTCTAATTAATTTTTTTGTCCACCAGTTCTCTCTGCATTTCTTTCCAAACGTACAAAATCATGGTTAATACAATTCATGTATTTGTATTTCCTATGAAAATCCACAAATGGTTAGAGAAAGAATACAATAAATTATATTTATATTTTCAGTGTTATCTCTTAAGCAAACAAAAATGTTCAAACAAAAGTGTGGTGCAGTGTTCAGTTTCTCACCTTGAAGACGATGAATTCTGCTGGTCTCTGTCCATGCACAGAGTATGGCATTCTCTGCAATGGTTTGGTCCTCTGATTATTTGGCTTTATGTTATAAATTACATGAAATGTTTTTCCCCCCTTTCCCTCAATGTGTGTTTGCCTAATGCACTAACCTATAAAAACACGATCAACTTCTGATGACAAATGGTTTGAAAGCCACCCTAACAACCCACACATGCAACCTTTTACTTTACTTTACACACACACACACACACACAACTTGAACTTTACTTACCTGCATCAAGAGCAGTTTTGATCAACTAAAACCATTATTCCCCTCTGCCCCCACATGCACGCCTTCATACACATGCTCACGTAGATGCGAAGCACAATGTTTGCGTCACTCATTCATTCGAGATCAGTAGCCATATCCGTTTATCCAACTCTGACCTAATTATTTATCCTGAGTAATAGCATCAACATATTTTCAGGCTTTTTGCTCTAATGCTCACGTATTACTAGTTACCTCAACTAAAGATTATATGTTACATAGAGCAGGTGGATGGAGCTACCACTGCTTGCTGGAGACCAGCTGTAATACTATTTACTAAACTTAGGATTTAAAGTGGTTATATGTAGATTTTTTAAATGAAATTATTACCTCACATGAAAACGAACCCGTTGCTGGCCTGTATGCCGCTTCCTATATGAAGAAATTGGGTCGGGTTTTCTTCAAAATCATTGGTTAACGTAGGCTGTGCCTACTGATTCTGACCTCTGAACTCCACACTGCAACAACACCGCAGCTAACAAAATGGAGTCCGCTAACACCAAAAAATTACCGGCTCCCAGCACAACCCAGACTCCAACACAAACTCCACGTGAGGATAAAAAAACAACAAAAAAGTTTAATGTGCCGAAGCCCCATAGGTGGCTTTCACCTTATTGGACAGGTAAACTATATTGAGATTTTGTGCTTTAGTTGGCTCAACTTAGATACTTAGCTAATGCCGACCAGTTGCTAACGTTATCTGTTATAATATTATAGTTGTATCTCATCCACATTACTTCACCAGCTAACGCGATTCATATTACTATTCCGTGTAACAGTATTACGTCAAAGTGTATAAAGCCTAAAGCCTATTCGCCTGTCTTAGTCTCTGTAACTTACGTGACCCACATAATATACAATAATGCAACATAATGGTGCTGGACAACAACACCACCTCTCTGATGCCTCTCCAATGAACTCAGACCTATCACATCGGCTAAATGCAGTCAGTGTAGCGTTATCATGTAACAAGCATGCATTAGTTCAATGTCAAGCTGATAAAAATATTACTGGAACATTGCAGTGGGATTTACTTGTGTGACGGCGTCTTTTGTTACGTCTGTTTTGGATGATGATTAGTGCTCATTCGTTAGTTCGAGCAATTTCACCTCTAGAGGTCACTGAATACTACACATGGCCCCTTTAAATGTCATTCACTAAGAGTCTATTTATGTTTTACGTTTTCAAAGTAAAGTAAATCAAGTTGGTCACTCATCATTTGAGTGTTGGTCATTTGATTGTGGGTGAAAAGACTTGACCAGAATAACAATGTTGAGAAATATCTTCTTCAAGCACAGGCGTTAAACAACTTTTCTACCAAAGTTTTTTAGCCAGAAGCTTCAGTTTTTCTGAACAGGAAACAACTGCTGACTGAAATGTGGCAGGATTAACCTGTTTTGATGTCTTGTTGTGTGTCTGTAGAGTGTGCCGATGATGTCTCTTGGACAGATATGAGAGACCTGCTCCAGCAGCTTCCAGACGTCCACCACAACCTCCTCCGCTACCTCTGCCACTTCCTCACCCTTGTGGAGTGCAACCACAAGGAAAACCGCATGACTGCCCACAACCTTGCTACTGTGTTTGGACCCAGTGTCTTCCAGTGAGTTGAACCTTGCAAGGGGTCAAAAAAATATACCCATGGGCTAATCACTCAATCTGACATTGTTTTTAAGGCATAGGTGGCAACGTGACGACTAACTAATTATTCGAAATTTGCAGTCCTTTAAACCTAACCAATTCAGTGTGTTCGTGTCCTTGAAGAACATAAATGACATCCCTAAAAGGTTTGGCAGGTTTTCTGTCTTCACTGCGACATTTACAAAACATGTCTGTTGCAGTCTTCAAATAACAGAGTAAGACAACTTGGCTTAGTCTGGGAAAAAATAGCCAGACAGTCATGATAGCTATAGCTGATGGATTTGATCCCCTATTTCTGCTTAGTGAGTCACATATTAAACATTGGTTTCATGTGTCAGAGCAGTAGGATGGGTAGAATGATTCCACTCTTAATAACGTGTAGTAAATATTGAGTAAGATAATGAACCACAATACAAGTTTACCCCACAGACATTGTAGCTGTTGTATATTTTATCAAAAAATAAAGGTTTTCCTTGAAACAGAATAGATGTCTTGGCTTGTATTTCAGAATAGGAGAAAATCTTTAACTTTACAGTGCAGCCAATATTGGGGCAAGATTTAAGTAGATTGATCAGATGTATACTTAATAGCACAAATTAATTTGAAGTATTATTTAAAGTATTTACATAAAAGTTAGAGTACATATTGAGCACATGGCTTGAGCACATGGCCTGCTGGCTCAAAATGTTTGGCCAGCAGGTGGTGCTGTAGCTTATTTAGTGAAGATAAAATCATGACATGAAATCTTAAATTACATTATTGCTCATAAATGTCCTATTAATAAACATTTTGTCAGACACATGTTTAAAGTGCAGTCGCTGTTTGAAGGGGACCCGACTGATTTCCTCTGTGGTTCTAAAGTGAATTATATATATTGATGCACCTTTTGATCCACGTGAACCTCTGGAATCAGATGTTTTACTCATCAAAGTCTGACATTGTATTTATCAATATAATGTCAGACTTTTGTCACAAAGTTAGGTCCCATGCTATAGTATAAGAATGCTAATTGAGTCTAGTGAACAGTTTGGAAGTAAATGCCTTATGACGTATAAGAAACGATCGATGTTAAATGTGTTATCAAATGTTACTGTGATCTTCTTAAATAAATCATGTGCCTCCCAGCAGCTGCTGTACCTCTGTTCTCACTTGTCTATTCATGATGAGCTTACATGGAAATGAGTATCAAAGCATACTGGCGGGGATCTCCCGTAATGTAATGTAAAAGTGGTTTGGAAGGGCCGGGAAACCCTGCCTATTAAAAAGATCTGCTCTGACTGGACAGAATAGAGAAGAAGAAACTACTGGATACTCTCTCATACTGTACAACCTGTTCTTTTCATCAGAGGCTTTACTTGTGTGTATGTGTGTGTTGAAGTTATAAAATTAGTACTACCGTTGGGCCCTACAGCCCACTGTACATCTCACACAGCTGTTCAGCAGTACTAGGTTACTAGGTCATCTACTTTGTTAATCAAGCCTTCTAACTGATTAACTTTAAATATCAGTATCATTATTTTACAAATGTTTAGCTTTATTTTTACCGCAACTGTCCTATTTGAATTTGATGCAGTCTCATCTGTTTGCTTTAATTTTTATTTCTCTTCTCCCTCTTTTCTAGTGTGGCTCCTGGTTTTGAAGCAATGAAGGACCAAAATATCTGTAACAAGATTATGGTCAAGCTCATCCAGAACTACAGCAATATATTTGAGACCGACAGAGACAGAGAAGGCCGCACAGAAGAACAATCCACCCTTATTGTTGTCAAGGTGTTGTATACTCATAGGAACACCAGATGCTAATGTTAATATGAAGTAGATCCGTGTTGGTGGTCAGTACAATGTAGTGCAGCTGGAAACAACATGTTGTACCAATACACTTTAAACAGACCTCGCCAGGTGCCCATGCACTTGGAGGAGTGATTGTTTATAAAAACAGGCTTACATAATGTCTAGCTAAAATTGATTTAACTATTGATTTTAGATCACAACCTCACAGGAATGACTCCTCCACAGGTGGCTGTTTTGAGTCTGTGGTTGTGGATTTATATCTGCTGCTGATGTCTTTTATTGATTAGCTGGTTTGTCTATCTTGCTGCTGCATCTGTAGCTACCTGAAGGAAATGTGACTGCAAGAAACAAACCAAACACCGCAAACCATGATAAATTGAATATGTAGATTATAATTTTTTTTCAGTCTCACTTATGCATATATAAATACAGAACTGTAGCCAGGGATTTAGAAATACTGATGTCTTAAGTCCTATTTTCCGCTTCCCTAGAAAATGTTTGACCAGACTCTAAAAATAAAATCTGATTTCTCAAATTGAGGGTCTGTCCTGTGAAAACCATGTTTTTCAAGATACTAAGAAAAACAGCTGTGTTTTTAGTTTTGTAACAATGCATTTTTAGATAATCCAATAGCTTTAAGTGGTTTATTTACCATAAAACGTAGGAGAATTATCTTAAACCATAAAGGTACACTTGATCCTTAAGTTTATCTGAAAAATTTTAAATCCCCAAACTTGGAAATACATGTTTTCCAGGACAGTGACAGTGACACATAAAATAAAATTCTGGCGGGTCAAAAAATAATCTTTTATTTGTTTATTCATTCAGTTTTCAGTAGTTAAAATAACATATACTGGAATGAGCCCATAAAATATCTACCAATGTGAGATAAATGTTTCTAAAATAAACAGTTAATTCTGTGATAAATTATGGACATGACCTCAGGGATTTTGATGGTAGCTGCAGTCCTGTAAAAATATCTAATATAACTTGTGTTTTTTCCCCCCTAGAGGGACCTCGTGTGGACATATGGAAAACAATCAAACTCAATCAAAGCTGTGTACTTTATGCTGTGACAGTGCTAATTTACCATCATAGTTAGCATGACATACTTAAGATCTTTAAAAAAAATACAATAAGAAAGCATAAAATCATCATTAATTGAAGTTTGTTCCAGTCCAGAAAAGAAGGAGACGAGAGGAATATTTCTGCTGCTGTAGCTGCACTTTGAGTATCTTTCATATCACAAGTGGAACTAAAAAACCTGAATTTCCACATTTGGAAAGACATCCTTCACCAGAGTCTATAACAAACATCTTGACTGTTGAGCGATGACTGTGTTTTTGAAATGTGACATAGGCCACCTGATGCCACGGAGGGCTGACCAGCCAATGACCGTTGGCATTTAGCTTTCCGTGCGTTTGACCTCTCATCTCTTCTCTCAATTCTCACAATTTTTAACAACAGACAAAGTGTCCGGTTCCCATGTGCAACTGCGCTTACCGTGCAAAAGAAATGCTGAAGATGTTGATACATTGAGAAATTAAGTGAGCCCGTGCAACCTGAGCTCATTAAATCCAAAGGTCCAGATTCATAGTAGCAGTAAAATTAAATCTAGAAACACTTTGACGCCCACTGACCTTTGGGAAACCCCTCAGTTAGAGTGAGATCTTCTTACAGATGAACATGCACACATCCGCATAAACACTAACACATATGTACAAGCTACCAAGGCCTGACCTTTCCCTCAGTGCCTCTGAACGCAGCACATATGATCACTGGTGCTACCTTTGCTTTCAGACACAAAATGCTGATGAGCATAAGGTGTTTGCATGTAAGTGTTTGTGTGACTGAATGTGTCGGAGGATTCAGATTGTCAACCTATTGTCTATTCTGAACCCAGTTGTTAAGGGCTCACAGAACAAAAGCAATTGTAGAACACACATACAGTACCTTCTTCTAAAATAACTTTCTGTATGTCAAAATATATTTCATAGCTACTGTATATACGAGGCTACAGTTACAACAGTAAGAACTGAATACAATGCTTCCTGGCTTCTGCTATGTATTATTTGTTGCTTCTTTTGTTACTCCACGGTATGTAAGACATGGATTCTCTTGTCCGCTTTCTGGTCCCAGGAGGCACACGCGACAGATGCCGACACCAAGAATTCACCCAGCCACCTCAATGCGACGGAGCCGACGCCGGTTTCCAGGACAAAGGTACGTGCTCAGCAGCACGCCTGCATGTGTGCACCTTTGTTTATGCGTTAATACGCCTCAGTATACTGTTATTGAAATCCGCTGTTCAGTGCCATGTCCGCTGTTCAGTGCAGTGTTGTTGTTTATCCATGACACTGCCAGGTCGAACTTGGATGAACCCTTTAAACTCCCGTGAACCCTTCACACTCCCTTACATAGTCCTTACACCAACCTTGTGATCTGTGTGACGTGATTAACATAATATGGGCATGTTTTGGAAAAGGCGTTTCTGTGTACGTCTGTGTAAGTTTCTGTGAGTTTTGAAGATGTTATAGGTGTCAGGACTTTGTGCGTTCAGGACTGGTAATCAGGTCCCTCAGTGTGAACAGATGACCTTTTATGCTGCCAACATTTATTGACAAATTATAATTTGTTTTCTTCAAATAACATGTTCAGATTTATATTTTTTCACACTTGTTGATGTTATGGACGAAGTTAGTCTATCCTAAAATATCACTTGCACTTTTTTAGACTAATCATTTATAAAATTCTGCAATAATAAAACATCAGATATTTATTTCTACCCTGGAGTTGCCATGAAAGCACAAGAACATGTCAGATTTTGTCAAAATAATGATATAAGATGTAGAAAAGTTAACCAAGTAATTGCTTTAGGTTATATTAATTAATGATTTTTATATCAATCCAGAAAAAAATGTATTAGGATTATGTTGCAGCCCATGCTCTCAGTTTTCCAGGATTGTTTAAAATGCCATTAGTTGCCTTACTAAATGCATTCTTGTACATTTAATCGTCTATGTACTGTTATACAAGTAATATTTCTATGCACTTTAAATCTTAATATCTTTATTTTGCATTTTCTCTCCATACATTTTCCAAGGCTGGACAAAAAACCCCACCACAAAATGTAGAACCTCTGAACAAATCCTCCGCTGACACTCCGAAGGCGAGGCAGAGGAAAAGGAAGGTACAGAAAATAAGTTTGGTACTGTCAATTATTACTGTGATTAATTGTTTTTATTTAAAGGGTTTGGCATATTTCTCACCTTTCCAATAAATACTTCCTGCTTTCTTATCTGCTATATTGCCTTGGTGCTGATTAGCCCGAGGTCGTCTCTCAGACAGCCTCGCTGCTCGGTCACATGATTACGTGATTTGATAAAACCAATCTGCTGCAGGAAACAACAACACACTTATTGCAGTGAGAGGCAAACATGCTATGCTCTTCCAACTGTGTAGTGATATTATTACAGATGGACCCTGCCTCAAAAGCTGCATTTGGTTGTGCGTTTGTTTACAATTAAGTCTTAGAAATGTGCTTTTTTTATCACATCAATAAGAGAGCTACATTGAATGTAAGTAAATTCTGAGTTATATGTTATATGTGATAAAATGGTGGGTAATTTCTGTGAGGTTGGCTTCAGTTTTACAGCTGTGGTCAGTTTTAAACTAGAAGGGCACTTGGAGAGTGCAGACATCCACCAAGGCCAATAGTGCAATTTTCTATGATATGCAAATCTGCTGGCACAACCACCACTATATATATGTCTGGATATATTTTCAATATTGTTAGAATTGCAGTATGTCAACACATGGTTGGGCCTAGCTAATGCCTCATCATCTCAGCTCACAATTGACAAAAATAATTTGTGAATCCTCCCTGTGATTTGGATCCTCTCAAAAATGCGGGGCCATTCGTTTTCTTGCTGACAGACAAATAATAAACATAACCTCCTTGCCGTAGGTAACAAAGATCTGATAAGGTGTACAAATCAAGATTGGTGTCACTGTAGAGAAATGCTGACTGACAGAAAGATAAGCTAAGGAGGGTAAAAACATCTGCTCATGAAGGATGTTCTCTTTCCCCAGTGGCCAGTGAAAAGTCTTCTGCTTTTAGTAGAGCTGGTATGTAACTTAAGCTCAAGAATGTTTTTAAATGCCTGAAGTTACTTGAATCTTTAAGCTAAGAAGGTCCTTTATCCTCACTATGCGTGTAGGTACCATGCAGTAAGAACTTACACTAAAGGTTGATTACAGCGGATTGCTTGTGAGGTTTTAAATGAAAGCAATTATGAAAATGTGAAAACAGTATAAGACAACATATTCAATGACAGTGATTACAAATTAGAAAAGGAGATTCAATACACAAGAGTTAGACCATAGTTAAATGTGTGAAAAGGGGTTAGTAGTAATAACTAAACTGAATTCATCTAAACTAAAGTATAAACCTGCTGTCAAATTACTTATATTGTGCTTCATGTCAGGAAGAAACAAATGCCTCATTTACACTGCACAATTATCAGCACACTAGCTCCAGATAGCTTGAATAGTGGCTAGCTTGGTTAGCAGTAAGATGATCATAGAGAAACTACATTCTACTGTATCACAAGTCAACAATCATGTCATGTTTGCTACTGATAGCACTGAACTGTACGATCGTATTCTTTACGGTTACCACAGATGATTTTCCTTTCTGACATGCTGCATTTTATGAGATGAAAGCAAGCGTGTCCAAAGGGGTGAAAATCACCCCATGTACTGGAGTGTAGTGTTTGTGAGGGCCAGCTTGTGGGATACCTGATCCATCCGTTCTTCCCCGTCACACTCGAGGGGAATCGGTTGAACCGACTCTGCTGGACACCAGAGCAGTGATTGCAGTCAGGAACAAAGCACTGTACCATGTTAATGACAACCCAAACTACAATATATCAACAATATAAACACTAAGAGAAGGATTTGTTCAAGGGGAAGCATGCTAAACTATGTTAGGTTGGAAGTCCTTGGAAAAGGTATCATTCACAATGGTTCATCAGATGAGTACTTCACTCATTTAAATAATGTAGGGTAATGTACAGTCTTGTACTTTCGTTTTTTCTTGTTGGTTTTTTGCTCCGATTCAAATGTTTCATGGTCATGATTCATATCATAGCTGGTTGGATTGATTCAAATATTACAGTTTTTTACAACTGCTTACACACGTTTTCAAAACTATGTCTCCTTTTTTCAAAACTCTACACACAATTGCCCGAAACTGCTCACACAAAATGCAAAATGCCTCATATCTCCTTCAAAATGAAACACTGCATGCAAAATGCCATAAACACATCCCAAAATGAAGCATTGGCATCAGATGGCACTTTAATAATAGTAAATTATTGGATATACCATTTACACACTGTTTTTCTAAATCTAAAGCTCTTTTGTCTTTCATAGGCTTACGTGTACATTTCTATACAATGTTCTAGAGTGAAAGTAATCCACTAAGAGGTGCTGAAAAGTACACTGTAAACACCAATACAATGTTGAAACAGAAAATATTTATTTGGCAAAACATTACAGTTGTAACAGTAGCACAGTGTTGTATACAATGGCATACAAGAAAAGGAAACCATAAACATATGTAAAGCAAAAGTATCATTTTTACTTTTATTGCTAAAAATTAGTACTTATTTTACAATACTGTACTGCTGAAATAACCATTAGATTGTTGCAACCTGTTCTAATTTCTGAAGATTTAAATTAAAGCAACTCAAATTGGGTGGGACTCTCAGTCCAGCTTCACTCATTGTCAACCTGTGGTTGATCACATGATCAGTAAGTGTGGCCCTGAACTCATCAGTGATGGCTCTCCTTCCTTCTCTTCTTTGCCCTCCTCCTCCTCCTCTTCCAACTCTTCCTCCTTGAACTTGTCCTCGTTGTCATCCCCGGCCTCTCCCTCCTTCTCCCCTTGCTCTCTGTCCATTGTTGGCATCCATTGTCCAACAGGTAATCTGACCTTTGATCTATGTATAGGTTTACTGTATACTAAAGCAGTGAATGGTTATGGTGATCAGTAAAGCAGAGTGTGTTTGCACATGTGAGAAGTGGGTGTGTGATCTGGTGAATAAGTGTAGCATTTTCATTGGCTGTGTTTGGAAAAGGAAAGCAAGTCACTTCCTGTTAGATTTTTGTGTCTTAGGTAGAGAATTGTGTGTAGTGTTTTGAAAAAAAGTGTTTAATGCAATTGAAAACTGAGTGAAAGGCTGAGAAACAGCTATTGATTGGTGAGGTTTTGCTCTTTGAGTGAGAGGTTTCAAAAATCGTGTGACATGTAAAGATTTTGTGTGTAAAAAGTTGTAAAAAACCCTTTACATAAGGGTTTTTGTAAAACTCAGTGGATTAAATGGATGGGGAATTTACGTCCGGAGCTGTGAAAAAAGTGGGCGGTCACTAATATGCCAATAATCAATTTTGAAACCCAACTGCTGATTCCCATCGATAACACCTTTAACTGACACCAACAGACTCCATGCCACTAGAAATCCCTCATGTGCGAACTAAACTGCCTTAATGATTTATCAAGAGATTCATCATCATTATAATTATTAACTTTTATAGCTACTTGTCCAAAACAAGTGTAGAACCTCTTCTATAAAAACTGTTTCACTCTCAAGGCCAGCCTCACGACAGATTTGGCTTCGATCCTTGCTTCAAATTTTGCCACTCACACTACCAGCTACATTATATCTTTGGTACTGTGGCACTGTGAGGTAGAGGTGTTATAAATCTAAATTATTGTATTTATCAGCTTCATGTCAGTGTCAGTGTCTAGTGGTGAAAAGCATGTAATCAAACACACACACTTGAATTAGAGAGCCATAAATATATCTGTTGTACTGTTTGACTTCTGATGCGCCTGTCATTAAAAAAATTGAACATGTGATCAAAGGGGAATTTTGTTTTGTTGAACATAAAGAGATGTTCATACATGAGCTTTGGACTTCAAAATGATTATTACTAATTCCTTGTTATTGAATTACAGGCATGGGTCAGATTGCAATGACACTTGTGGAAAAACTGCACGTCTGAGAAATGAGCTGCCCCCAGTCAGTGAATTGAGATCAGTTAACAGTGGCCAGCTACAGCTGCCTTTTCATGGTAGCAGATTACTGGAGAGGGAACATACCAAAGTAAAATATTAAGTTCTTAGTATTTTATTTGGCTTTCTTTGCAGTCTTTTGATATGTTAATCACAAACAAATCATTAGTTAATCCATGATTTAGAAACCAGGTCATATCCTCATTTTGGTGTGTCAGGCTTTTTTGCCATCTGGCCTATTTAGCTCCCACTTGTTGTTGCTCTGTTTGAGCTCCTTTTTATGCACAAACTGAGAACCAGGAATGGAGGCAGCATGACGGTCAGTAGTTAACACTATTGAAACCGACCTGCAGTTTGATTTTTAGCTGTGTTTTTGGAGTTTCAATGACTGTGTCTGAAATCATTTACTCTTTGCTATATCGTCATTTGTCATTTTGTAGTGTGTCTAGTGAGAAATATATATAGTGTATAATAATACACTATATTGTGGACTCAAATGATCTACTTTCCAACTTACCATAACTACTATCATACATTGCACAGACATAAAAAATACATTGAACTGATAAGTGAGTAGTAATAAGCGAATATCAGTTTTTTTCAGTTCCTTTCAGAGAAACACAAAATTGGTGAGTGGAGTAGCTGTATGAATTTGTTTTTTCAGATTTGTATTGGGTTTTTTTTTTTATAAAGCAAAATAAGAATAAAAAAAAAACAAAAGCACAACGGACAAAACACATAATCAGAAAAACCTAACAACACATACCAGCCTCGCCATTTCCTTTCTCTATGGGTTTCGGCGAATGACAAATTTAGCTAAATCAATTACAAAGCCCTGAGGGGCAAAATCCATACCAGGTCTAGCTAAAGAAGATTGTGGAGCTAATTATGTTGCCAAAGATTCATCCATTAAGTTCAACAATGACTTAATGGGGGCAGCAGCCATAGATTTTAGAACAACCCATTAAGTAAAACCCCAAATGGAAATGTTGCTGATAATTGGTGTAAAGAAAAAAGTAAGCCTTTTAATTCAACCGATAGATGTTCCTCTAGAGCCGAGCCTCTTTTAGCATTGGTTGTTTTTGGCCATTATCGATACTTGAGCTGCTGGCATCAGACCCATTTCATACTCTGTGTTTACCACAGCCAGCCGGCCTCAGTGTTCATGAGCAGCCATACAAGTCTTCTCCATATATACTAAGGGAAAACTCTGTGACACATTCTTTGACACTTCTCTCAGGCTTCCTCGGTTAAAACTCATTAAAAATGCAGAAGAGTACTCACAATGTGGCTGTAATTAGGTTAAGGTTCTTCTCCTACACTACGGTCGGCGGTTCACGCCGTTTATACCCACTCACGGTCAGCACGGTAAGACAAACGTCAGACTAACCGTATAGTTTTACAAGCTAACTTCTTTTTTCTCCTCTCACCTCTTTTGTGGTTCTTTTATTGCTCTGTGCTTCACCTCAGAAGATCTTTGAATGCATGTTTTATAGTAACCTGAGCAAAGGTTGAAAGCTCCACTGTGTGTGTGTGTGTGTGTGTGTGTGTGTGTGTGTGTGTGGTTGTATGATGAGCTTCACTGTGCAGAAATGTTAACGGTTGTGTATCATTCACCTCTTGTACTGTCTCCTATTTCCCGTCACAGGACTCACCTGTTGTTGGCATCTCTTACTCATTCTCTGTTAAACAGGTGAGGAAAGGGAAGTGTGACGGCATGACTCAAGTTATCCCTCGGCCCAGACGCTCTGCTGGGTTGCCCCATGCGAGACCCCTGTCCATAGTTTTGCCCCTGACCTCACAGCTGAGGACTACCAGTCCAGAGCCAATGGAGACTGCTCCCATTCCACTGGCTCGCCAAGACACCCCAGACGCTGCCTCGCAACTAAAGCACCTCGATGTCAGTCCCTCTGGCAGCATGGAGGGCCTCAGCAGGTGAGTGTGTCCCGTGAAAAACCACGCACCTGTGTCTAAGAAAATTGCAAATACAAACTGGTATTTCTTGAAAATTGTAGACTCGGGATGATAACAATTTTACTGAAACCCATTTTGTTTTTAAAATAGAGCTTATTAATGGTAGATGTTCCAAAAATAAGCGGAGACAAACTTGACATTTTTAGACAGCATGCTGTGAGTTGCGTTAGTGGAAATTATTTAATTGTTTAGAGTAAATTCAGAAATAAACGTGCTATATTTTTAGATGCTTTATGTGGAAAAAATATATATATATTCATAAAGGTTATTGATGATTTATTTTTCAAATAAATAACTTGAGCCTATCAACAAGAGCAAAAAGTAAAGCATGCACCAAAAACAGAATTCACTTACTTACTAAAAATAGTCAGCTACTCCAGCAGTTTTATGATTTAATTACGATCACAGTCTTATCTGTAAGCGTGATCCTTTATGACCATTGTAAAATATAACCTGAGGTCAAATATCACAAAACACAATTTAACTGCTACATACCCAACATTAAACTATTTCTAGTTTCATTTTGTGATGTCCAGTTCATATGTGGAAAACTGGAGGGCGGGATCTGTAGCAGTGGTTAATAGGTTATTGCCACTGTTTGCATAGGTGATGTGCTATCAGCCAAAGGTTAGGTTGAAGAATCCTGAGTGTCTGACAGCGAGCAAGGATCTAAAGCCCGAGCCTCGTGGCAAAGGGCTTTTGGCATGCAAACAAGCCTATTATAAGAAGCTGAAACTGGAACCACTTGGTGTCTAGTGTCCTCAGTCCTGGAATAGCAAGACTACAGCTGTGTCAGTTGTTGGGGCTCTTGCTGCTTTGACCGGGGGCTAAGACTAGCATCAACTTCACTGCACTTTTTGGCTGAAAATCTCACTACTCTGCTGTTTAAAACCTTTTCTTACACACTCCGAGGCCAGTTTATCCACTATGTATATTTCCAGTAGAGGGGGTTTTCTTCCACATTTTGAAATACTGATGTAAGTGACATGAAGTGTCACTACTTCACTGACAGTAGAACACATGTAGAATTTATTACAGTGTAAAAACTACAAAATATAACAGGAGCAAAGCAATAAAAATGAGAAATGATGATGCTGTTTTGGCTTCTACTACAGCGTGTCGAACACACCAGTGACCTTTTAGTATGACATTAATCAGAGTTTCAAACTGTGTCAGCACCAGATCCATTAACACATTACGTAAACGTTTAGTATGACACACCTACAGTGGTGTGCTTTCACACATACATGTATAGTGAATTACAATTCTCACTGCAACCACTTCTATGTATCATGTAAATGTAATATAATTTGTATCACAGGGTTTGTGGATTTTTATCATAGAATATGTAGTACATTTTACAGTTTTATTTGCAATAATAATCACTTTTATTATCTTTTATCATCTTTTATCTTAAAAAACAAAGTCAAGTAATGATTCTGTATTTAAAAAAGTCAACCTCAGTTCTTCAAGTTTTTCTTTGCTCTTTATCCCCAAGATAATGAACAGTATTGCATGCACGACCTAAATTTTGTTTTACCATCAAGGCCAACCTTTTACTCTCTATGGAACAGATGTTTCTGTCTCTGTATTGGCAAATATAATGCTTCCAAGATGGCAAGAGTTTCCTCACTATGCCAGGGTGTCAGTAAATCTCCTGGTAGATTCCCCCACACCCTTAAATTCTCCTTGTCAGGTCGCACTGGGTGACTGATACAGACAACGTGACCGGGGACCTCAGTGAGTGCATCAGCAATCTGAACTCACCGGTATTTACTAACAGACACCTGCAGCTTGCAAAAAGACTAAAATGATTTTACCATCTATAATGCAAGAAGGCGTTTGCTGCTTTCGAATGTTCAAAGACAAAGCGTTCATGTGAAAAAAATTACACATAAACCCATAGAAAATATTGTATATGATCATTTTCCATAAGTGGAACCATCTGTGTCTTCATATCTGTAGCTGCTCTCCAACAGCTTGCTCTCACTTTCCATAGTCAGCATAATACAGCACAGCCACTGGTTCAAACACAATAAATGACAAAATGAGAGGACTGCTTTTGTTGAACATTTTATATTTAAATTGAAATGCTGTTTTTATAATTTTATACTTGTCCTGTAGAGTATTTGTAACTCCTCGTTCTCATTCTTCGGAGCTGCTGCTGAGGTTGTCTGTAGGGTACGAAATATGAAATCAAGAATTTAGGAAGTAGGTTTGTTGGTGGTAAAGCAATTTGTAAATCAGTATTCTCAGGGTTTCCTATTAGTGGCACAATTTTTACAGCTTAATTCCACCGCGTCGCGTTCCAGCAATTCTAGACCATGCTTGTGATTTCACCAGATGCGCCGCAGTGCGTTTTAGAAGCGTCCCAAGAAGCGTGCCAGAATTGGTGCTCTGAGTCTATTTTTGATTGAAGCTGCACAGACCAGATTGAGCCGGTCAAGAAGTCAGACACATCAATTTTAAAAATAAAACACCCTGTGCAGACTCCCGATCGTACATCAACAATGAACACAAAAAAACAGACAATAGAAGAAACAATTTAATTACGTAGGCTACCTGCCCATAGTAGTGCAAAAATCAAGGACAAATGACTACGAATCAAAAATGTTAACATCTTTAAAATACCACATTGCCTCCTATTTATCAAATATATCAGTGCAGTAATTTTGTATGGTACAATGCTCTCACCTGTACCTGAAATATGACACCAACCTCATTTGTCACACAGGCCACACAAGCCAACATAGCAGCCTTGTGTGAACTTATTATGTTCTCTGCATTGCGTAGTAGAACGTAGGGGATGCATACTGGCTTTTGTGTAGAGTTGCCATGGTTCAACGAATCTTGTGATGTAACCACTGGCTTTCTTAGAAGCCCATTGGAAACAGGTGGGAGTGAGGAACGTTGCAGTGTGGTGTGAGTGCAGGTTCCCCGTGGATATAACTGTATTGTTGGCCGTCTTTCAGGAAGTCTCATCCATCAGCCTGAAAGCCTGACAGCACATATTTACAGCAAGGACCTGCTGGCTGAACAAATTGATTTTTCTGTACTTTTGAGGCTTGTGCATTAGTGTGTTAGTGTAGGACACAGGCAGCGGCGGTCTTAGGGATCTGGGGGCCCATTTCAAGAAAAAATGTGGGGCTTTATCCAACCCTGGGATGCCTGGCACAACATGACTTTAATCATGAATTATCCATTTTAGAAAACATTTGCGTAAATTAAAACATATTTATTAGGGCTGGGCAAGTTAACGTATTATTATCGTGTTAATGCATTAATTAATTAACGCCGACAATTATTTTATCGCACGTTAACGCAGTTTTTATTTTATTATTATTATTTTGAAAGTCCGTTGCTCACTTTCTCTGAATACACATAGAGTCAAACCATGGGTCACAGGAGGGGCAGGATGTTGATCAGCCTGCAAATCACCCACGGAAACAAGCAGTGGAGGGAGGCTTCGGCAGACTACGCTGTCCGCGATCCGTTATCACGGCAGCAGGTGAGCCGCTTGCTTGTTAATGACGCAGCCTATCAAACAACTCAAACCGCCGAAACCAACATCTGCACCCTGTGTTCAATGCTGGTCTGTGCACCGCAACTTGTAATGTCATTTCAACTTTTTAAGTAAGTACTTTTATTTTATTGCTGCTGTGTAAAGGGAATACTGTTGGTGAAAAGCACCTTATTTGTTTAAAGTGTTTGCAAACCACATGTTATTGCACTTTTGTGTATATTGCAATACATTTAAAATAAAATTGCGCAATACACTACTTTAGAATTCATTATTCAGTTTTACGCGTAACAAGGCAATTAATCGCAAGAAAATCATGAGATTAATCGCGATTAAAAATTTTAATCGTTGCCTAGAATTAATATTTATTTATAGCCCAGACCTTAGCCTTTCATTTACTGCTGGTTAAAATGTTCTAACATAAATTATGACCAACCCTGGTCTCCCCAAACAGGGATACTTAGGTACGTAGGTCAGTCTATATAATGAAGTCATACTAAATGGTGCGCAGTATTCATGTTTTGTGGATTATTTTGAATGGCTAGGATTATGTCTAACAGTTATTAAAAACAGTTTACAACAATTTGTGGACACAGCATGTACAAAGTCAAAGCCAACCAGATTCGTTGGTTTATTCTTGAACATATTCACAGTTCATCCAAGAGGCTTCTTCAGTTTTTTCTTGTCGAGACCCCCCTCCACTTGGTAGAGCTGAAGCATCTTGGATAAGCTTGATGTTCAGTGACAGACCTAACAGAAAGTCGGATACTTGGCTGGATGGTGATAGGAAAGGATGACTGCAGGTGCTCCCAAAACATGTATTTTAGCTTGAACGGAAAATCCTGTTTACTAATCGATCAGTTGACCGTCAGAGAATTAATCGAAAACATTTTTGATAATCGTTACTCGCGTTTCAAGCAAGATCTAAAAATTCCCTGGGGATTTATTGCTTTTGTCTGAGTAAATTTGGACTTTTTATTATTTTATTTAGTCACTTTGGGTCTCTGAGAAATTGTGATTGGTGCTTTTTAATATTTTCTGACATTTAAAGACAGTCTAATTGATTAATTGATATGAAAATAATCATTATATACAAACCTAATTTAAGTATGTGGAATTATTTTAGCCACTGCTAATGTCTTGATGATGCTACCTATTTTAGGTTAACTACTTTAGGTGAGCTGACATCAGGTCTTTGATGGTATGAAGCACATGGCTGTGTCAGATTTACAGATCCAAATCAGTTCTCTAAACTCTTCTCACTGGTATTCCTGCTAATCAAACATGTTTTTCTATGTGTCATTTCACTTTAAATGTCTATAAGTTGTAGCAAAGGGAACGGTCATGATAAAGACACTTGACACAAAACAAGATACATGTGAGAACTGAAGACTGTCACATCTGTGCATAGTTACATTTGTCAGCAGGTCTCTCTGTGCTTTAGTTTAAAACCTAAAGCATGATGGCTTTGTGTCTTTAACACACTCTGATGGATTGAGCATATACCTTGCATAGCTCAGCCAGGCTTATCCAGCAAATACTTTAGGTCTTGACCGCCACACAGTTTGTGTTCTGAGGTATTCTAAGAATGTCCCGTCTAAAAGCCGATGGAGGGATGGAGACAGAGGAGCTGACACACAAGGGGACTCTGTACAGGTCCCTGATCCTCCTTGGCTCTTAATTAATGAATGCGCTAAATTGCAAAAAATAACTTCACTATAGAGTTCATGCATTTTAGATATGCCTTTGCAGTAGTCTTCTCTAGCTTTTTTTGCAGTACCAGCTGTGTATTTTAGCTTGAACTGAAAATCCTATTTACTAACCTATCTGAGAAAAGATAACAACTAATCACAACTGTAATTGTCATCATTGAGCCAAAGACATAGCGATGACACCTTCATAATAGTGTTCACATTTGAGATTTAATAAGAACTTTAATTAGCTTCAGCAAGTGTTGTTGCGTGTTGTAGAGAGATTTTGGAAAAATTAAGGCAGGTCAGGGCGGAAGGAGAGGGACCCTGCCAAAGATTACTGGAGCCAACTGGAGGATTTTTTCAAGTGATCAGCATCCACTATACCAGACTGCCACTGTCTACACATTTTTTAAATGTTGGAAACGTGGAGCTTGTCCAGATTTACCATTTTTTCGTAGGCAATTTTCCGTTCTATCCCGAAGGGATCAGTCCTTTTCCGAGTACCCTTACAAAGCTTCTCGTTATCCCCTCAGTCAGGTAGTGGGTAAGCAGGATTTCCGCTTTTGCAATTCATGGCAGTGACGGCACACATTATTTTAATACGCTTGACAAACTGTGTAACACCAGTTAAGAACATGAGTGTTGGGGAGAAAAACATTCACCACTGAGGCTGTAAAAGAATTTGTGTGTTGTAGTGTTTGTAGTGAACTACACTTAAAACATCTGGGGGAACACATTCACATTTCCTGTAGACTGTGTCATTCAAGAAGACTTCTACAAACTTTGCCCCATTTTAATTCATGCCTGACTTGAAACCTAAATCCTTCGTTTTGAACTTGTTGAGGTGCTGCCCAAAGGGCCAAAGTGGTTGCCCCTCCCCTCGACATGCCTACCCCTTACAGTAAGCCACATGAAGGCACGCCACGTACCAAAACACACCGGATGACCTAACAGTCTCTGAATGCTCCACTCAACAACAACTCTTTCTTCTGTATTTTAGAACATCTGAGACTCAAAATGTTTACAACATATGATTAGACTGATCACAGCATAGCAGGCAAAGTTATCTCAGAATAGAAATTGTTTCAGGGTTGATGCTGACTGTTTTCTATTCCTCTTAAAGACATCAAACAAAACGAGTAACACTGTTAATATCATATAAATAATGCTGCTATATTGGATATCAACAATATTGCATGACTGCTCCTTTTGGCTTGTGCTGAACTTTATATAGTACAAATGACAGGCAACTTTGCTTGAAATATTTATGACTGTAAGTCAGTCATTATTTAGAAGATTCTATATAAACCACTCAGCAATTAATAACACAGCAACTAATATTTTTTCTTTAATTAGCTGACGTGTGTAAAGACTTTTTTTTTCATTTCCAAGTATCAACAAAGATGTTTGTTTGCATTCAGCTGCCCAGTTCCACGCAGTGTGTACCCCAGTCACTCTCGCGCATCAGTGTTACGTAACGTGTTGGGCAGTAATAACATTACTTTTCCCTATTCCAAGAAACGCTGCGTTACTGCGCTACTGAACGCACCATTCCCGACGTGAATGACGTGCTGCAGGTCAGGGCACCGGACCATATGTTGTCAGCTGTTTTTTTAGCCAAAAAGCTAAATGAAGAATGGAGAAAGAGGGAGAGAGGTGTTCTTTTCACAGCTGTAAGTAGTTACTGCCATTGTTGTGTCACAGTCTAAGATGCAGAGAACATTGTCCGTTTTAAACTTTGTGCGACCAGCAAAAAGCTTTCAACCGCGAACAATTCTAGATTGAATTTATTGAAGCATCTGCTGAAGCAGCACAGCAACTGAAACTTCTAGAAATAAACTCCGGGCGCCACTGCCAGTGATGCTTGGACTCACGGCTACATGTGCAGAAAAACAGTAGGCCTAGCCTAGTTCAAAAGTAGGGATTAAGCCTACTTGCTTTTTTTTTATCTCAGCCAGTGGCGTCGAGAATTTTTAGGCCTAGCCTATAACTTGTGTTTTGTAAAAAACATACATCTTGTTGCTGTTATGGATCCATCCATCCATCTTCAACCGCTTATCCTGCGACGGGGTTTATCTGTAAAGGCGTTTTCGTCATAACTCAACAGACAGGCAGGCAACCGCTCCGGTAACCATGGCAACGACTTCTGTGTACTACTGGGCGCGATATCGTGAAACTGTCGCGGTCGTTCTCGTCTCACGCGCACACCCCACCGCTATCATTGTCAAGTTTCTTGAACTTTTTCCTACAGTTTATCAACCAACAGACAAGAGACTGATTTGTCTGATCTATGTTTCCTGAATAATGTTATTGTTTCTTTGACAGTTAGGTCACCAAAGTCTTAAACAGGTAACGACCTTTGCTACTGTCTGTTATTCATTAAAAATAATCTATTAACTTCAACTGAACTAATTTGTAGTTATATTATTTAGTTATAGACTCAATTGATTAGACACCTGTCTTTGATTCCCACTGCTACATAAGTTATTATTACAGGTCCTGCTTTACCATCCATATGCCATACTAGAGCCGCTGCCAGTTTTATCAGGGTGTGGGGGGGGGGTCTCAGTATATTTTCCTGCTTTTTTGTCCTTTGCCAATCACATGCCTAAAAAGTAAACAATATTCATTTTACAGTTATATAAAACACAGAAAAGCACAACATTATTGTTAACAGTGAGCAGGTGAAACAAGGGTATTTTTGCTTAAAACTTGCAAATTAACTAATTAATCAATCATCAAAACAGTTGTTGTCTATGGACAAGACGATAAATCGCCCAGTTGTTTTAACTCCATTGGAGGGTGAAATGTTATTCATACTTGAAGTGAAGTTGTTTTGGAGTTTTTTGTCATTCACTAAATGATAAATACTCAGTCAAGCAGGTAAAGTGTCAAAAATGTCTAAAATGGACCAGCTTCACCAGGTTTCTAAAAAAAAAAAAAGTAACCTGACCTTTTGTCCAAATCCTTTCTCGTGCATATTTGTAAAGTGAGAGCACTGGTAGGGTTCATGTTTTCACCTGTGACAAGTGTTTCTTTGTGAACATCCAAATAAAGTCCCAGTAGGGGTTTAAAGTGATGAATGGTCACCCTGTGTCTCCTTTTTCACAGCAGACCTTTTGACTTGTCATAGCAGAAAAAGCACTGGTGTTAGTAATAACATTAACAATAGCTCTGGTTTTTTTACATCAAATTAATTTAACATATAAAGACAGCCTTGATGTGACACTTTTTTATGTGTTAGAACGTCTAACAGTTCAGGTTTGGTTGTAGTGTTTTTCTTCCTGCTTTGACTTTAGAGAAGATAAAACAGTATTCAGCTCTGCTTAGGCAAACAAGACTAGGTGATTATGAAATGTTTAACCTGTATGTGTCAGGATATGAAAATGTTAAGCAACTTCACCATTCAGTGCAAACACGGAGTTCCTCTTATCGTTGCATAATTTTATCATGTGTTGCTGGCACAAATCCAGTAGCAGCAGTACCTATTTCTCTGTTCATAATAATTATCCGAGACAAGTTCTACAAAGGCACTGATCTGTAGCACTGCGTGGCTATTATTCTGCAGACAAAAGCCAGCCTTATGCTCCTATTTTCAGCCCCAGTGACATGAAGTGTTGAGGGGGGTGGGGGTTAAAGTTTTTATGCCATAGCACTTAATAGCCACATCTTGCAAGCTAATAATTTATGTGTTTGTTTTCATTTCAGCTCACAAGAAGATGAGAGGCCAATATCCCCTTTCTACATGAGGTAGGCCTCCCCTCTTTGCGCTAGAAAGCTGGCAGGACTGGGTGAAAATATGTTGTTTTGGACTGGAGGTGTGGGGGAAGTGGCTGCATGCTGCCTTTGCGCATTTATCATCTGAAACAATGGACCAACTAGTTAGGGGAAAAGCAGGATGGCGTGAACATGCAACAGTTTGCTCACCACTGTTTGGTTATTATGGCGGAGGCAGCCTCAGCAAATATCCAATGCACTGCTTAAGCAACGTTTGGGTGAAGACGCTTTCAGAATGATTTGGCAATCAAAATCATTGAACATTAAAGAAAGAATAATAACTGATAACCGATTAATAATTTCAATCATTTTTCGTAAAAAAAAAAAATTCTCTAGTTCCATGCTCTTAAATGAGAGGATTTGCTGCTTGTCTTCGTGTTATTGTTAACTGAATACATTTTGGTTTTGCGCCGCTGGTCGAACAAAAAAAGACATTTTAAGACGTCAACTTGGGCTCTGGGAAATTGCTATTTTTTTGTTGTATTTTTTGACATTTTATTGACTAACCATTATTGAATAGAAAAAGATAATTGGCAGATGAATAGATAATGAAAATAATCATTAGTTGCATCCCTAATAAAATCTCAGTACATCAAACGAATATTAGCGAATTTAATATATTTTCTTGTCATTAGTGCCAAAGAGGAATATACTGTCTGAGCAGAATGACAATGCATCTATACAATATGTACTAAACCTTGTGTTTTTTGCACATGACACTGATAACGTTTCAGTACAAAGGGTATGATAATCACATGTTAATCATCGAAGACCCTTACATTGTTTTCAATTTAGCCCTCAGTATATGTTGTCCTAAAGCCTTTAAAGCTCAGCAGCCCGGTCCAGTCACTACAAACAGCTGGTTAGTCATTTGTAGTTGGCATATTTTGACTGGAGTGTTGTTTGTTGATATGACTTTAGAGCTGATATGGCTACAGGGCGGCTGTTTGTGTAATCGAGCATTTTTATTGCATTTCCCCAAAAAGAATAAATAGACACAGGACAAAAGCTTCACGGGATAATTGTTAGAGTAATAAGGATCAGGGACTCAGAGCTGACAAAAAATGCATTACATTTTTAAATACACTGTATCATTGTATGATATATATTTTAGAAAATCCATCATTTTGCAAGATCATGGTCTGATTAAATCTTTTTGTCCATTGGAAAAGAGTTGGGGGTAGGGATGCACCAATTCTTGGCGAATATAATGAAAAAATTTGCAGAAAACCGATCAAGTAGGCTACATTCACATTTTTCCCATTTATTTTGCCTTTTTTTACCATTGCATAAATTAAATACACAGGATTTGGAGAGACTATGGCGGGTGGGTCTGAGGCCCGTGAGGGTCCGGTAAAGTAAATTACATGTGTCCATTTACTTTTAATGAGACAATGACAAGATAAAGTCGCTAACCTGCCTGTGAGCTCGCACTGGTCCGTTTCAGTGGATTTACCATAACAGCTTGAATACATGTGCACTCCAAATTTAGGTGTGGTTAGCTTAATTGCCTTCTCAGAAACGAGTGACAGAAACACTCAAAGACCGTTTGTTGCCTTGTCTGAGAAGTCAGCCACAGATGAAGTGGATATGCTAGGAGACAGTTCAGCAGAACAGTGTCTGCAAACTGCGATTGTTGCATATTTCTTGGACACTTTAAAATGCATCCACACTGCCAACTTGTCAGCGTAATTGCTTGGTAAAATTTCTTCGGTCTTTTGACTTATTAGGCCGAACACCGAAAGTGTTTTTTTTTCTATTTTTGTCCGATTAATTTTGGTGGTCGAACATTTGGTGCATCCCTAGTTGGAGGTGGGGGTTTCCGAAGTTATTTGACCGTCTGACAAGGCTTTCCTCAAGAAGCATTCTGGCTGCTTAACATGCTCACAATGTAGCAGATATATTAGATAGCAGGTGACATTTACCATTTTTGCCATCTTAGTTTAGCTTAACATGCTAGCATTTTCTAATTAGCATTAAACACCCAGGACCGTTGAGGCTGATAGGACTGTCATGAGTTGGTCATAAACCAAAGTATTGGACATATTGAAATGTTGACCTGATGATGGCGCCAGAAGAAAGTCAGGCGATCACCAAAATTATTACAGTTAATCCTGAGGGGGGGCAAAAATGTCTACCAAAACTAGGTTCACTAAAAACCACAAATGTCAGTCTCAGAGAGTCACTAGAGGAAAAGCCAGGGGATCACCAAAGTCAGTAGGCTTTATCCTCTGGGGACCATAAACTTCTGTACAAAATCCAATAGCTGGCTCGTATCAAATTAAATAAACATATAAAGACAGCCTTCAAAATGGATCATAGATCAACATAATTTTCTTCTGTGTGTTGAACAAAGTCTCTAAAGGTCCTGGCTAATATCTGACTGTGGTGTAATGTAGGATTACGTGAATGGACGCCCCTGGGTACACAGTGTGAGGAATTTAACTGGTATAAGCTTCTGCTGTGGAAGCTTTGGAGTTATTTCCTATTTCCTTTGTTTTCCTTAAAGAACACTTGACTTTAAAACACCAACATGGACACTAACTACAGAGACATATTATTTTCTTTTTACTATTATTTGCATAGCAATTTTCTTAGTTAGATGGTCCTGAATAGAACAGTTATATTAAGCAAACCTTAAGCTCTTGTAAAAAAAAAAAAAAAGACTTTATAAAATCACATTCAGTTAAACAAAATAGCACAATTAAACTGCCAGACTTATTCCATTACAGACTTGAGTTAACTTACAATTTTGAGTCTATCCAAGAAATTGAACCGTTTCATTATATTACTTAAATGAATAGATCAACATTTTGGGAGATATTCATTTATTCTTCTATTATTCGATTTCTTGCGAGTGTTGAAGGAGAAGATCGATGTTGCTGCCATATCTGTCCATTAAATAAGAAGGCGCTGCCAAGAGACGGTTAGCATTTACATGTTTATTTACAGCATTAAACGTTGAAATGTATATTGTAATAGGCTGTATATTAACTTATTGGGAGAAAACTGGTAGTTCTATGTAAAATCTGACGTTGAGCACTCACATATCGCCAAAATGGCATGATCCTTGTTTCACTGCGAAGCTTCGACTGTGAGATTGACAGTCGAATCAGGCTCCGCCCATCGAAGCATCGAATCTTCGACTATTGGGGGTCAGCCTTACTGAAAACTGGCTCATATTCACTGTACAAACATTAGATTGTCTGTATGGACTGTAATACATTGTTACAGAAGATTGTCAAACTCGACACAAAGATATTTGTGCTGGAGAAGTCTTCTGAACTCCACGTCACTCCAATGCCAATATCTTCCGCTGGTAAGTGAGTTCATCATTCGACTTGTCAACTCGACAAGATGCAAGTAGACAGCTTTTTCTAAATTACTCACTGCAAAAGGACTCACTGAAATGATACCATGACTGTGGTCTTCCACACAGAATAACATTTAATGACAACTTCAACCTTGGACAGAGGTTGGCATAAACACAGACTAAAGTCAACCTCAACATCACAGCTGGAGAACAAGTTTGAACTATTAGTAAATCTCTCGGGAGTGGAGATGACTACAGATAAGTTTAGACATGTAATATTATGAAGCGTGCCAGCTGACAGAAAAGGGCAGAAACAAAAAGCAAAAACCATCTAAAGAGACAATTCAACCTGTAACTCTGGTTGTGGGAGACACCCCTGTTACAAACGTAAGTGGTGACATAAAAAAACCCCTGAACTGATAATTTACGCCCCCCCCCAAAAAATGATTGAAATTATTCTATAATCGTCCTGTGACATTTGTAGAGAGCAGTGAGACTTGCTGATACAGGATTTCATTAAACTGTTTAATTGTCTGGACAAACTGGAAGCCCAATTGTTTATTATTGGACAACTGCCTACGGTAAACAGAGGGATCAACAGGTTCAGCAGACTCCTAGAGATCAACACGTTGCTCAGCAAAACCTGGATGCCCAATTTTTTTTATTACTGGAGCACTGCCTACGGTCAACAGAAGCACCTTCTCCCCTGCCCCCCCCTTTTGGCGATTCACTGATAAAATGGAAGCGCTTGTTAATGCTGGCATTAAACTCACCCCACGGCCACCTCGTCTGTCTCCACCCCAACCAAGCACATTCTATAACACCAACCTTGCTGAGAACGAAGAAGGAGAGAACAGCTCTCTCCTGCCTGGCCTGACAAAACTGATGAGGTCAGCAAGGTCGCCAGAAGTTTGTCATCTGTCTCCTCCCACGTCCCCTCTTAGGGACATCTCTAACAAACTGAGATCAGAGATTAAGGAACTTGATGTGATGTTAATGGATGCCACTGTTGCATCTCAAATCGCTGGTATATAATTCAACACCAGAGAAGATGCCTAGGAGAGACAGGGTCCCTGCCCCACTTCTATTACCCCCAATATGCCTCTTTCTCCTATTTTGCATGGACCTATTTTCAGTTTTTGTTTTTAACTAAAGCTTGGTCAGACTAAGATAACAGTGCAGCAGTTTATCTTACTGAGTCAATGCCATTTTATTTCCAGTGCAAGCATATTTCTCATGGGAGATCTGCTTCTTTTGAATATGTTGCTCTTTAGTTGAATTCCTCGCACCAAGCTGCATTTTTAAAAAAAATTACAGGCAACCTAAATATTTCTCATATTTGCTGAACTGTTGTCTATCATCTGCATTGATTTTGACTGGGTAACTATGGATTTGCTTTCTATGGTTTTGATGACTGATGTTGCTCTTTCTGATCATCACTTGTATTTTCTTTGAGATGACTATCTCTGTACACAAATGTTCAGAGTTTTTTTTTCCTTTTCACACCGGGGATTTTTATATTTATTTAACCTTTATTTTAACAGTAAAGTGTTATTGAGACACAGTCTCTTTTACAAAGGAGTACGAAAATTTCGGAATATTTGTTTGTGATTTTTTGCATTCAAAAATTTAACACCAAGTCCCACATGAATGTTAATTTTCAATGCATTTCACCAAATGCACAACATTAAGAAAGACATTATATTACTAGACAGATTGGAAAACTGGTTTAAATCCCACTTTAAGGACAAGGACTAATTTATTTCAATTGATAATTATACATCAAAATGATATGTGGATTTCCCCAAGGCTTCTTTTTGGCAGATGATGTAGTCCTCACTGCATCGGCCTCGATCCAAGTTCATGTTTGCTCTTTCGTAAGTGACTGGAGGTTATTCTTATATGACTTCTCTTTTTTGTCCCACTTCAGGGGTAAAGTTGGATCATAGTTATCCCTGTAACTTAAACAAACATTACCAACTTTGTTTTAAGATCAAACACTCATGTTGTAGTTCAACAATGATATTAGAAAGGCAGGGAGTGACTCTAGAGGTATTAAATTTCCAAGATTGTATAGCTTGTGTAATGTTTTTACAACTGGGGAATGAAATTACACAATCATTGTGTTACAAAATCACCAGCTGATCAATTCCTGATCAAACATTTGACTGGAGATGGAGGTATAATGTTATATATTTTTTAAATATATGTGTTTAAGGAAGGATTGTTGGCTTGGCTCACACATATTCTTGTGGTGATATTTTTGTTAAGTTTTTGATGCAATGATTCATCTCTCTTGCTTTGGTGATCTCTTTCTACAGTAGTTCATGACTCAGACTGTCACCATTGCACACGAGGCAACAATCCTGTCTCATACCAGAGTGGTTTCACATTGTTCCATCTTTACTTAAAACTAAAGTGCTGCAAAGTTATTTCTAGTCAGTGATATCACTTCCATTGATGATTTACCAAGTTGACACACTTAGTCAGTAGTGTGCCGAAGTGTATTTGGGATGATGATAGCTGCCACAAGATATTATTTCCAGTAATAGGCAGTCACACTCAGCTGTTTATTTCATTAACAGCCTAAATGTAGCACCAGCGGACATATAAAACGCTTCTTTCACATTATAGTCCAACATAGATAGAATTTGAGCCTAAACAGAGAGTTAGTGTATTTCAGATGTCATGGAAATTAACCACATTCCAGTACACCATATCAGTAGTTTTTGAAATACGACTTTACTCTTCATTTCTGAGAACTTTTTCCCACAAATCTAGTTTCCATACAGTGTTTTAAGGTAGAAGAAGTGGTTGAAACACACGAATTCCTTCCAAAATCCTTAGCTCAGGATCAAATAAATCTGCCATTTCGGTGAACATATAGAAGAATTTCACTCAGGCTGTCAGTAGTTCTCAATATAATTGGACAAATATATAATTTCTCATGAAATATGGCTACATTTACCACTTCCCTCTTCCAAAAATCCTTTGAATTAAACAATCTGAGAAGTAAAAGTCGTTTATCAATTTCTCTCTCTACAAGAAGGCCATAACCTGGGATGAGGAGTTACAAGTAGACAATGCTTTGTTTAAGGGGTCACAAGCCAAAATAGTTGGGAATCACTGTCTTAAAACTGTCACAGTATCTGTGCTAAAATTGCAACATATGGCACAGTACCCTTGAGTCATGACCTTTGATGCTGACAGCATTTCTCGAGGTATGATAACCATTTTCCCCTGGCACATATTCCGGTTATATAATTGACCCTCTTACCATCTTTATATCGAGTGCGGACGGCAGCATGGAGAAAAGTCCTCAAACGTAGACAGATCTACAAATGTCTGCCATATTTTGGGCCTTAATGTGTCCACTGCACTTGATAAATTCATGCCTCTGACATTTACAGGCATTAAGGTCAAAGGTTAAGTCAACATTGGTAAGCCATTAAACCGTTTTCTGTTGCTTTAACCTGCTGCATTCAGTGCCAAATCTATTATTAGATAGTGGGCTAATATTTTTCTTGCTTTGCCCAGAGATAATCGAACGGTTTAGTCTGCTGCCTCTGGAGCCCCTGTGAGCCATAGCTGAGATAACTTTCACTCCTCTGTCTGTGCTCTTTACTTTACAACTGTCTGAATAAAATAAACTGAACTGATGTCTCTGTACATGATAAAAATATTTCTTTTGGCAATTTAAGTCATAAACTTTTTACTATATTAACTGCCCCAGTCATTTTACAGCCCCCCTATGTTTATGATTTGAATTTGAAGTCATCAAAATGGTCATATCATAACATCGAGTGTACCGCCTTTTAATCTGCTTTACTGTCCTGGCTTACAGCTTCGATAAAGTCAATACATGTGTGCCATTTTTACACAGGTTCACCACAATCACCTTGACAGTGTACCATCACTCCATTATTATCTGTCCCTTTATCAGTGCACCGTACAGGGCCTCTGCCAAGCACTGCTATTACTGTCAACACCGCTGTTTATGGAAGATTTTATTTTCACGTCACCCAGATACATGTTGAGGTAGGGGTGCTCCAGGAAGACAAAGATTAGTGTAAAAATCATATCAGCATTTTTTATTTTTAAAGTTGCACATTCATTTACTTGTATCTTGATTAAAATGGTGAGGTTCTCAGATTTACTGTCCAGTAATTTAGCTTGGACAGAAACGTTTAAGCTTTTTTAGAAAGTCTGATGAATGACATCATCTGTTGCAAAATTTATGGAAACTGAATCACTGACAATTGCACACTCTTTGAGTTAGTTGCATCTTCAGTAACAAACCAAAGTGTTACCATGTCACTGCTTGTTTGACGATTCTGTCAGAATCTAAATGTAAAAATGATTCAGTGTCTTTATATCTAAATATAGCTTATATTGTGTTGGATGTATACACACCCCTGCACACATAGTACAACCACTTATTATTTGCATATTACTGTTTTACTGCAGATAACAATCCCGTGTGTGCTTTGATAAAAGGGGAGAGGCAGAAAGATATTGATGAAGCCCTAGCTCATCTTATACTCTACTGTAGGACTCACTGGTAGTCATAGAAGCCAGCCACTTTGCTCTCCAAGGACCTACTTGTGCTCTGAACACAGCTGAAGTTAACATGCACACTAGATGCCTTGATCACCTAGGGCCAGAACCAGAGCCAGGGGGATTGTCAGTGTTGCTCAGTGACCTGTTGTGACCACCTGTTTCTGTAGCATTAACTCACCTTCCCGCTTGTTTTCCTTTCAGTAACCACCTCTCTCCTGTCCAGTGCAGACCAGATGTTGTAAAGTAAGTAGACTTTATTACTGTCATCGTGGTTTGAAATACAAAAGTGTAGTATTGCAAATATTGAGGTCTTGTAATTCATTAAATTATATTTAGAGCTAACCATTTTCTGAAATTCTACATAACTATGAAACTGTTATTGGGCCATAAAGTAGCAAATTTCTTAACCAACGTCTCTAGTTTTTTTGTTTGTTTGTTTGTTTTTTTGTCATTAAGTTTTCTGGACCGGACGATACGTTCAGCAGTGGAGCAGCACCTGTTCGATGTAAACCCTTTAGGGGATCAAAGTTCAGAGGACTGTGAGTTGACTCCACGTCCACCATCTCCAAGAGTGAAGGCAACTGCCCGACAGAGACGTCGACACCAGAGAGAGCAACAGGAGGAGGGGCTGAGACACAAAGAAAGAAACAGGTACAATGTGTTTGTAGTTGATGGTATACCAGCATGAAATTTGAAATTTGTCTTTAACAGCAACACTGAGGTGCCCTACAAAAATCTTGTTGTTTTTAATTCTGTCTTTAAAGTTTTCTAATACAAGAAAGTGCTAATAAATCACAATGATTTTACTTTTCTTCTGAAATATATTTATTGGAAACATTTTTATTGAAAGATAAAGCAACAATATTTTCATTTGCATATTTTGTTTACTCATCCACTTAAAACAACAGAACCATTCAACCCACCTACTCTCCCATCACCTGCTCAACCATTACATTACCACAGAAGTGGACTGACTTCCACATCACAAGATAATTAAATTCATTATTCAAAACAAAAAAATAAAACATACTATAAAATACATATGTACAGACCCAAGTAAGTTAAATAAAAATGCAGTAACGCAATAGTTTAATATTGCTTGCTTGTGACTGAGTACTCCGCTCAGTAGAATTGTTGACAACAAAAATAGGCTAGTTAATTTACCAATTATTGCCCTAGATTCGATTATTAGAGCTCAGGAAGGTAACTCATAACTGCATAAGCAATTACAGAATACTATCTCTTGTAGAAATTATCCGTGGAAACTCTTGAGATCTTCACATTTTGCACAGTACTGGTAAAGCACAATGAAAGGGCATTCATTACTAAAAGCCTGATCACAATGTCTCACTGCAATGCTACTACTTCCAGTTCGTGTAATGGTAACGGTAAACAGTCGTAAGGGTACATTCCGTGTGATAAGCTCGTCCACTGAGACAAGTACACTCATAACAACTGCAGAGTCAACTGCAGTAAGAAGCTAATCCTTGTTGATGGAGATCTGGTAGAGTCTGAGAGATCAGTGACACCTGGATTAGAGGAGTGCATTAGTCCAAAGACAGCAGAAAATGTCAATAAGAGCGTGGACAGTAAATAGAATTAGCACTGAAGCTAAACAGCAAATTAGCCGAGATATAAGTAAACGAAGTTTGGATGACCTTGGCATTTAGTTTCCAGAGGCATTTCGCCCAATGTCAAGCTGATAAAGGCAGACCAAAGTGAGTAACAGAGAGAGTGAGATGAAAGGCAGATGTCTCATTTCCTCACCTCTTTCTTTTCCGTCTGAGAACAGAGCTGCGTCCATCAGAGCAGACACCAACAAGGAGAACATCCCGTCGAGCGGTGGAAGCAGTTCAGGCAGCGTGGGGGAGGACACGGGAAGCGGCATGGACTCACAGGGAGGCCAGGGTGGTCACACAGAGCGAACCCCCAACCCCAGGAAGTCGAAACACAGCCCGACACTGATGCAGCTCACTGACAACCAGGATGCCCACGCAGTGAGTCATCATACCTTTTCTCCTCATCTTTTTATTTGTGTGATGTGTCACCATCTTAGCAGTGTGTCTCCTACTCTTCTCTGGTATTGTGTGTTTTATTGACTGCTTTCTTCCTCTGTTGTTTTAGTTTATCTTTTCTCCCACTATAACAGGTCAGTCTTAGGTGTAGGTCGGTGGAAAACCTTAAGAAAGCAGGTTTATTTCAGTTGTTTTTAGCAATATCTAGGTTACTTCAAATAGTAGTGAATTCGCAAACAGCATCACCACAGATCTTCTCCTCTAATTCACCTGATAGGCTGTTAAAGTGTTCAGCTCAACCCCCTTGTCATCCTTATTTCTGACTTGTTGCACATAATTGTCAATTGCAGTTAACAAGAATCACTAAATGCAGACATTGGCGAGTTGGATGACAGGAAGCAGTGCAGCTGCCTAATGGTTCCCTGCCAGCGGTTTGTAATATGCAGCATGCCACACTAATTGTTAACCACTTTCTCCAGAAGCAGTGCAAATGTAAGGGCCACTTATGAGTGCACACTTAGCTGTAGCTTTTATCCACTGAAGAAGATGAAGCACGAGAAACCAACTTGTTATTTCAACTCTCTGTACTTCTGTAATGTAAAACGTTACTATGTAATATAATTATATAATAATAAAATATACTAATAAATAATTTATTTTTTTCAATACAATATATTATTTTCTGAAGCCTTAGCGGTTTTATTCTCTGTAGCTTCCATACTAACGTAGCTTCTACTAGGTGTGGGTGATCCTATAATATGTACCATGAGGAATTTGTCGAGGTGGAGATTTTGCTTTACTATTTCTACAAAGTATCTTATTGATGTATGGGTTGTATTAGATCATTTTAGGCAATATTACAAATCATTGAGTGGAATTGTTTACAGAAATGCTGAATTTACACAATATTTTCATCAGTTTGTTGATCTGGGAAATTGTGTTGGACATTTTTTCAAACAACAATTAATTGATTTATTGCAGCATTAATAATAATCCTTAGTTGTAGCCCTAATACATACTCAAACCAATCTCCCGCTATATCTCAGTATCCAGGTTAAGTGTACAAGTACGACCAGCTATCTCTCACTGAGTCATACATAACAGTTGTGTAGCACAGTGAGAGCTCTATAAGAGGTGGTGTGAAAGTAGTCAGAGTCACGACGAGGACTTGGTGTGACCCATGTAGCTGTAGTAACATGATCCAGTCGCTACAGACTCGTCTTACGCTACAGGAACATGAATGCAAGTCAGATTATTATTCACACTTGGCTCATATATGACGTGTGCTGATGTAAAGTTCAGCTGCATGTCTTACTGTCCCACCGGCCGACTGATGAAAATAGATTTGTGTAGTTTACACTCTCACACTTGAGGAACAGGATCCTAGATTGCTCTCCATGCCAACCCCTTATGTAACAGTACAGATTACACATGATGACACACGTATGATATATATATATATATATATATATAATAGTAGCTAGCATAATCGTGATTGGTGTTATGCTGAGTGGCTGACAGCAGAGACTTGATGTTAGCGAGTGTCTGTGTCTCTGTGTCTCAGCTGTATCTGTGAATGTGAGCTCGTGATGTGAAGATCCACTGAGGGTAATTAGTGGCTCTGAAAGCCTCTTGGGTTTTATTCCTGGTGCTGCTCATTGTATAACAACACGGCGTGAGACAATACACAGTATTTTTCGATCAGTTTCAGCTGTCAAATCACTTTTTTGTGGCAGCATGGCTTTGTGGATGTCAGTGTCGATCGGTCGGTGCACTACTGCAATATCTCAGCAACTACATGATTGGGTGACATGAAGTTTTGTACTGACATTTATAGTTCCCAGATGATGAATCCTTCAGCGATCCTCTGACTTTTCCTTTAACGCCACTATGATGTTCAGGTTTGAGCTTTTGAATGAGTTGTCTCAAAGGCTATCGGGTGGATTGTGGTGAGATTTTGGCACAGACATTAATGTTCCCCACAGGGCGAATTGTAATCATTCTGGTGATCTTCTAACTAGCACCATCATCATCACCATTTCTTTTTCAAATAGTTTGCTTTATACCGGCAAAACTAATGATATTCCCATTGGCCTTGGTTGTACTTTGTGTTTAGTGCAAATTAGCAAAATGTTAGCATGCTAACATGCTAAACTAAGATGGTAAACATGGTGAACATGATACCTGACTCCTATTTTTGTTGTTTTCTGTTTCTGTACGTATTTATTTATATGTCTTGTGTGCTTGTATTTCAGTAACTGCTGCAAGAGACAGTGAAGTGAAAATTTTATTTCAAGGATTTCAATCTTTATGGTTCAGCATCCAAGAAGGTTCATAAAAGCAATCATGGTTCCATATTTCATATAATATATGAGCAACAACTGAAAGTGATCTTATCAAGCTGGTAAACTGATATGTAAAGTATTTTAAGCATCTGTTTTAGTGCTCTACAAATAAAGATTATTGTCAATTGCAACACACTGTCAACAGCTATGGTACATTTATGAAGAGCTTCAGGACCCTCCAATAACATTCCCATTAAAGTTTTGAAGATGATAATCCCAAAAAGTTCATAAAAACAATCATTGGATATGCTAATGCAGCATAGCTTGTCCCATTTTGATAAAAAAAAACAATGGTCATAAAATTGGCTGTGTAGATAACTAATGTTGGAAATGTATTCATCTGTTTCCAGTTCAAAGAATGGGTTGGTGAGGGACCTGAAGCAAACCACATGGAGACATTTCATAACGGGTAAGCTTTTGAATTCTTAACTTAAGCCCTTTGAGGATTTTGTTTAAAATGTCATTACACGTATGGAATAGCTTTTCTCTCCACATTTACCTTTTTTCATAAACACATAAGCTGTAGCACCCGTTTCCTGAACGTTTGTTTTGCATTGATAAGCTCCACTAGCAGCTTTGTCTGTTATCTTAAGGTATCTGTTTGGCATACTGTGATGTTTATAGCATACACTGATAAAGACAGGCATCAAAGATATATGTATGTGTATGAATAAACTGTGTGAGGTTTCCTGATGTTTATGACAGGAAGTTTAACTGGAAGATCTACTTCCTTGGGTTGATTCAGCTTAAGCTGGTGTGATCAGTCAAAGCTTCTTTTCTAAAGTGGTTTCTCTGTCTGATTTTTCAGGAATGAAATTTCAAGAAAAGATGGCCTTCCTCCCCCTCCACAGGTAGGTTCAGGTTCACACTTCCTTCCTTATGAGTGTCTCTGTGTCTGTTAGGGTGCGCTTTCTGTCTCAGCGCTCCTCCTTCCTCTTATTACACAGTGAACCTGCTCTGCCATGCAAGTGCCACCGGAAAAAAAGTAATCTCAGATTTTAGGGAGATGGATGTGGAATAAAGGCAAAGGCTGGGTATTGAATCGCATTACTTTTTTGGTACCGAAATGTGTCAGCAGCAGCAGCAAGCAACTGCAAGGTTCCGAAAGCATCAAATGCTCGCTCAGATTAGTACTTTTCTTTAGAACAGTTCCTGATTTAAATGATAATTTTAGACTGTGCTATTTGGGCAAATATCTTGTATAGCTACTTTTATATATACTTAAATGAGTATACTTGTATCCAAGTATAACATGTTTATATATATCAAAACATTTAAAATAAATAATATATTATAATATAAATAAAATAAGCTAAAATGAAAGAAAACAGAATGATAAAAAATGCAGTGCAGTGAGAGATATGAATAAATAGCCTCAGATTTGACTAAATAAAAAGCAATGGAAAACAAAGGGTAGGCACTTGCTCTAACCACTGATGTTTGTTTTGACCAGTGTGTTATTAACCTTCACAACAATATGTTGCTCTCTTACTTATCAGTGTGTTGTGACACTACCACAGCTGATTTGCTGAACAGAAATTCACCAGCAGTTCCACAGAAACATAAAATTTCACTTTTGACAAAGGGAGATTTTAGAGTTCGTGCGAAAAGGGATTTTCCCACCGTTATTCTCAGTCAGCTGTTCAAACATTGTGGAAAGACTGTACTGTGTGATATCCTGATGTGAGCAGAAGGAAAACGTCACCTTCTCCATCTGCTTGTCTCAAGTTTTGATCTGGACCAGCACCGCTGAATAGAATCATGCAACACTGCCCCAGTATATCTTTTTCTAAGCAGCCCAGATGGATTTTAGTAGCAGCTCAGGCTGCAGCCCTGCCAACAGCACCACTGTGCTACTGAGCAGCCATCTGGAGCCGGCATGCCATGGCTGTGAGAGGAGGCTGGTCGCTAATGTCCGGGTTACACCACAGACATGATTGTTACCATCAGGCTATCTATTAATTAATAAACTGATCCAGCCTGCATGGTGAACTCATCACCTGCAGGTGATTTTTCAAATACATACACTATATGTGACTATACAGTATTTTGGTGAAGAAGTTATGAAGCCCCGTTTTTTAAGCAATGAGTAGATAAAAAGAAAATATTTTTTTATAATTATTTAAGTAATTTCATTTCAAACACAAAACATTTGTTGTTTGAATCTTCTCATATGTGAGAATTTTCTGGTCTTTTCTCTTTTATTTGATTGCAAATTGGATTTTGGACTCTAAAATATATATATTATATAACCTCTGATCAGTTACTTTGAAATATAATCAACTTGTATGATGAATTTTGAGTGGTTAAAAGGGATTTCATAACAAACACTGTTTCACAACTGTTTTTAATTCTTAAGCACACAAACCCTTAATCTTAGTGTGCTGGTGTATCGCGTGTCTCAATTTATCTGTGTGTGTCTTGTTGTAGCTTTAGTCCATGTAAACCGATAGCTCACATGACTCAGTCCGTTAGAACATCTTGTACCTACAATATAAAAAACTGATAGTGGGAAGAGAGAGCTGCAGTGTTTTTAACCAGTTCTTTTATGCAGGTCTGGTTAGCTGCAATGCTGACACGTCAATTATATGCCAACATAATTGTTATAGTAGGATTTTTATCATTTACTTGATGATGTAGTTTTTCTGTGGTCCAAAAGGACACCACAGAAAGTTGTGCGTATGTATACTGTGTGTGTGGGCTTGTGTGTGTGTGTGTGTCATGTGTTTTGAAATAGGCGCATCTGGACTCACCGCACCAATGAACACTCCAACTAGTGGGTGATGAAACTGTGAGTTGGGTGGTGTTTAGTTGTGGATTGTCTGTTTTCAACATAGAGTCCGGATCAGGAACTTTCTCATATTAGAGCTAAACTGTACATTAAAATATGTTTCTGAAAACATTTGAGGCGAGAAATAGGCAATGGAGTAACAGAATCTTGATTCATATTTGATCAGCACTGAGAGCGAGTCATGTTTATGCAAATTCAGATACAGTCAGTCAACTTGCTTGGGCATATCCATCATGCACCGCGCAGCTGGATCTCCTGCGAATAAGATCCACTGATTTGATATCCGGCAACAGATCCAGTGTGTCTCCATCTTAATTCCTCCCCATTTTGCAGGAGGAACAGCTGACAGATCAGATGAGAACAATAATATCAATACAATTTGCAATATTTTTCAGTATCATGTGCATTATTACTTTTTATAACTTTTCAATATCATTGCCAAGACTATTTTATTTTATTGTACTTGTTTCACTACATTTATCTTAATTGTGTTGTTATTCTATTAGGCACTAGTGTTAGCATTTATTCATTTAGCATAATTTTGAGCAATTGCTTGCACAAGAATTTCCTTCGGGATTAATAAAGTTCTATCTTATCTTACATAAATAGTGTCAGAGAGAAAAAAACAAGCTATCAGACATGAAACTCATGGCTTACACATTTGCGTGTGTGTGTGTGTGTGTGTGTGTGTGTGTGTGTGTGTGAGACATCTTAGCAAAATGCCCCTTAAATCCCACTATGTGTTTGTTTGTACACTGTGTGTGTAAGTCCCCCAAACACAGCTTTATCATTGTCTAATTCCCCCCCCCCGCTTACACACTCACACGAGGGCTCTGTCTATCTCGCCCCTCCTTTGCACCAGCTGGACCTCTTATGATGATGTAATCGTGGCTCCAGTGTGTTTGAGTGAACACAGTGGCTGTTGCCTGGAACATTGTGTGTGTGTGCGTGCATGCTTGCGTGCGTGCGTGCACGTGCATTTGAATTTTATTTGAACACAGCAGGACCCTAATGAGCTGTACAGTAACATCTGTGCTCCTGTTAATCCACGGCTACTCCTCAGAGCATCTTGAAGTGGGTTTACTTTGTACTCTCTACACTGATGCCAGTGATTTTGCCCTGTTGTCAGTAGGGCTGTAGTCAACCAAAGAAAATCTTAGATGACTGAAATTCTGCGTGCTCTTAAAACAAGCTGCATTAGTCATGCAAAACATTCTAACCTACAAAATGAACAGTAAGACAACATAAAATTTAGCAAAACGTACAACGTTCAAGTTCAAAGTCGGTTAACGGCGGTGCTAGCAACAATCCTTCAATGACCTTGAACTGTTACCAGCTGTCGTTAAGAAAGCAGTCCATAGTAAAATCCACACACCACCAAAATAAACTCTATCCACTCGGCTCTTCTGTTCTCTGAAGCTAGGGGCTGATGTAGCGATTTGTGCTGGTTCTTTGACATTGTGTCAGTTAGTTTGGAGCCCAGTAAATGTTCAGTAAGTAAGGCCTTCTTAAGGTTGGGCGAGTTCAAAGTTGTAAAAACGGGGTGTCTTTTTTCCTGTCTAGAAGAGTTTGAACATGTTTGTTCATACACAGTTTTATATATAATTAATGTTATTTCCAACACAATTAGCCTAAATAAAATAAATCAGGTCTGCATATGTCCCTCCTGCTTTTCCTACTGCGACAAGTCAAAATGTCTGCTGTGAAAAAAGTGACAATTGTGAATTAGTGAACAGTGAAGTATTACAGAAACTAACCATTACTTCCTTCTTATGTATACAGTAGTTATTACTTCTGTTTCTCCTGAAGTACAGCAAAGCATGATACTATTAAACTGACCAACAGCTACCGAGTGTTTACACTATTAGTTCTTGAATGACACCAAACACAGACAGATTTCCAGAAACCACACTAGACTTTTGTTAGTTCCTGATTTTTTTCCTTATGAGTACTCTTATAATTACTCTGAAATTTGTGTACCTTTTTTTGTTGTTGTTGTTTTACTGTTTGTTTGTCTGATTGTTTATTTTTTTGTGGGCACACTAAGTCTAGAAGCTGATACAACTGAGTAAGCCATTGCTCCTAATGATATTTAGAGGAATATGTGTGTGTGATGGGGATCTGTTGAGCGAGCTGGTGCAGTATGTACTTATTCTTGGAGGCACTGGGGGGGGTTCTGGACTTGAAAACAGCGACGGTAAGTGCTACTTGGGGAAGTTTCTGATACTGGTCAAGCACGTTCCCCGGGCACTAATACCACTTAGTTTCATACGTGATTCACGTCACATCAAAGTTATTTCACGTGTAACTGCTGACGAGTCTTGATAACTCAGTTTTTGCTCCCTCACACGAGCACACACCTGATACTAATTATGCTGTTACACCGTAATCACATGAACCTGCCGCCAACAACAACTTAGTATCATTACCAACAAGGGCTGTTGTAACCAGATTCAAGTGCACCCCTTCCTGTAAGCTTTCTGTGGCATTTATGAGGTCTAGTAGCAGTTTTGTCTTGATCTGGTTTTCCTAAAAATAGCTTGGTCCTACGCCCAGACAGAGGAAATGGGACCCCATGAGCTTAGTGTTAAGTGAGCCATGGACACGTTCTAAATACATGACCAGCTGAGTATGTTGTCTCCCCAAATTATTTGCATCATACTAGACTTTGATAAAACAGCTTTGATTGTGGATAAGTAAAGTGGAGTTGGAGAGAGTTTGAGACTGAAGGAGAGGGAGGAGAAGCTGATGAATGATGGCTAAACAATGGGAGGAAATACTGTAGAAGAACTTATGAGGTGCTGGAAGAGAAGGCTCACATGTAATATCTCTGTTCTGAGCCGAATGTTTGCCTGCTGACGGAGACAGATAGGAAGAGGGAAAAAAATCTCACAGTCAGCCTACGTGTGCTGGCTCACAATCTGCTTGCTTTTTCTTGTCCTCGCCTCGCTCCCCTCCTCCCTCTCTCCACCCTCCACCCCTCCCTTCTGCTCTTGCTGCTGTGAAACAAACAAGTCCTGAGCAGGGTAAGGGCGGGGAATATATGCATGTCAGGCAAGAGAGAAAGCAAGGAGGACAACTGTCGAAAGAAAACAAGGGAGGGCGGGTGCGAGGGAGGGGTGAGGGATTTCAGTGAGTGAAAGACAAGGCGGAGCCAATCCACTCCTGTTCTCTCACACACAGCCAAAGACAGATGGGCGGGTGTTTTGGCTGCTGAGGCAGCCAATCGCGAGCAGGGAGCAACCCCCTCTGTTAGGGCAGGGCCAGTCTGAGGGAGTGTGTGGCTCAACTTAAAGAGTGTGTTCACAGGCTGGTCAACGTCGTTGAGCGCTCTTTTCTTTTCTCTCATGGTTGTGCAGACGTTAAGGATGAAGATCCAGGAGTCGCCCGTCACTTGTGACACGGGGAGGGTCGGCGGCGGAGACGTGCGAGGCTCAGACCCGGACTGCGAGAGGACGAGCTGCGAGGACGTGCCCCGGCTGGATCTGACAGCACTGACTGAGGACAACAACTGGGGAGGTGAGGCTTTAAGCCACCCAACTGTTTCTCTTACACGCAGTACTGTCTGGAATATACACCTTTTCACACAAACATGCCCAGGCAACCCACTCCCTGCCCGCCACCCTACTCTGCACATGGGTGTCTGGGTAGCAGCTGCACACCTTCTGCTGCCTCTTCTCTTTCTCCTCCGCCTCCTTCCTCCTCTCCTTCTGGATTTAATTGAAAATGATCCTCTTAGGTTGTCTAGCTACCTATATCTGGAGGAGAAACACTCACTGGAGATGTGCTTGTTTGCTTGGCTGACAAGATAAGGCAACACTGCAGACAGATGGCTGTTTTGTTGCTGTTGAATTAGACCACATGGGACTCCTGTATTCATCCCCCCAGAGAAAATATGAAGGTGTAGCTAAAGTTATAGCTACTCTTGTGGTTTTATTTAAAGAGCTAAATGTGGGTTTTTACCAGGGCGTATCAGGTACTTAGCAATTTCTGGCACTGAATTGTTTCTAGACTCAGCTGCTGCTTTAACTCTCAGTCAAAAACTGTTCATTAAAGGCGAGGTTGAATGGTGGTAACAGTGTACCAGTCCACCAGCTGTAGAAACTTGGAGTTTATTGATCGTGAGACTTGTGCTGTATTGAAAAAGTCTCCTTTGCTCTGTCACTCCAGGAATAGTGATGGTGATGCATGTGCAATCAATGGTAGATTTGCACAAGATAATCAAATTTCAAATGAAGTATGTCTAGTTAATTTATTGACGCTGGCTTATCAGGTGTAATTTCTAATGCAGAGTTTGCATAAACAGTCACAAACATTGCATTTTTCACATGCCTCTCCCTCCTCCTGTCAGACCTCTTTTGAGTTTGTTATTAATGTGTTTGTTTATGCAGTGTTGGTGTTTGTGTAGAAAGGAAATCATGCACAATCGACGTGCACAGAGACTGTGATTGTTTTGTTAGGACATTGCGACACAGCGGAGGTGGGTGGAGGTTTCTGTGCTGAGCTGTGAAAGCCAAGCATGTTGCAGAACTGTACAGTCGATGCATAACCAACAGGTTCATTCCTACCGTCAAACATAGTTAAAGGGTATATCGCAGCCTGTTTTGACATTTTTCCGCTGCAAACATTGGTCTTCACTCCCACCACCACCGTTTCCTGTCCAATGTGGCCGTCAAAGCTACAATGTTCCGTGCAGTAAATCTCATAACTTCTACAGCCTCGTGTTTGGAGCATTAGCAGGCTATTCCATGTTTTGTGGAGCTCTCTAGTGGCCAAATGTGATACATGAAAAACTAGGTTGTGAGAGGTTGTTGTTGTTGTTGTTGCAGTGCAGCATTAGCTGAAGACATTTTGAGTATTTAATATTGTGCATGAGACAACAAACTGTTGCTTTAGTCTCCAGAAAGGAGGGGTGTTAGTTGTTTTGGCTCTGTCCGTACATCTCCGAGGGTAGTGTCCTACATCTTCTATAGGAAATGAACAATTCCTGTGGCTGTCTTAACGCTGACAATACGAAGACATTTTGAATTAGATCACTTGCTTGTTGTGTCTTTCTTTGGCTTTTAGCCTCTTCTTAAACCTCTTTCCTGTACATTCTGTCCTGAATTCATAACTGAGTTCATGGCAGCGAGGATGCCACAGGGAGCCTGCTGATTGGCTGTGACACTGACTCTGCTCAGACATACAGTATCTCCTTGAGGTGCATGAGATGGCGAACAGATCAGGTCCTTGGAAGCATGAGTGGGAGCAGAGCTTGCCATAGCACAAACTGCAATTGTGTATTGTGGAAAGGTTTTTGGTTTTTTTTTCTGTGTAGCTGGCATCACTAAGGAGAGCCAAAGAGGGATTTACTTTCTGGCAAAATGAGCCACGCAGAATAAGCAGTTGATAAAGCTCTGTAATGGTAATAGTAAGTACTGAGGGGACGTGTGCATACTGTACGGGAGGTGTAATACTATACAAATGGGCTTGCTGCTGGATGAAGGCAGTAGGCAGTGGTTTGAGACCTTTGTTCCAGTACACTTTGTGCCAGCGCCTGTCATGGTGACCTGATATTTGCTGCTGCTCTGCCCTGCCTGCCTGGCAGTGTGTGGGGAGATGCTTGTTATGATTGCTTTCCCATATTTTCTGCAACAAGAAGGATACACAGTGGTTCTTTCTTACTTCTGTTTCATTCTTTTCATCCCTTCATCTTGTCCTTTCTTTCTCTTCCCCCCTCTTTTCTTCTTTTGTTCCTGTAGATTCCCTGTTCTTCAACGCCCCTTTCCTTGATTTCAAAAGCATTTTTCATCCAAGTTGTTATGATGGTAAGTGTAATGTTAAATCGGCGTCAGTGCTAACCCGCATTGCTGCAAATAACACGTCAGAAAGAAAGAAAGAAAGGCTGTCTGACTGACCTTTTCCACTGAATGGCAACATGCTTGAATGATCTGGAACATTGTGGCCGAGCGTCTCTCACACACGACAACCTTCAGTGAAATGGCAAACTCGCATGTTTTTTTTTTTGTTTGTTTGTTTTGTTTCATTAGTCTAGTTAATCCTGAACCATCAGCGAGCGGTTGATTTAAAGGATTAATTTCAAATGCCATGGAGCCTCACTGTCCGGCTACACCTCACTGCTGCACTCTAAGCTCGATAATAGACCTCAAAGGAAGACATTCGGCGTGATTGAGAGTTTCACCTGCTGCTGTGTTGAGCTCTAACGTGCCAGAGAGCTGCTGCTTGATAAACTGCACGTACCTAAAAGTACAAGGAGGTCCCCGGGGACCAGAGCTGGAATTTGAGCTAAGTTGCTTCTCGTACGGTCCAACTCACCCCAGCTAAGAAAAATATGCATGCGCAGTTTTAGACACGACGGCATATTTTCACGGGTGCTTTCTGACACCTTGAATGTTGACACTGACAGTTGGTTTCCTTCAGAGCTTGTTTTCACTCCCTCCATCTGTGTAACAACCTTTCCTCCTGACACCTAATGTTACAGGTCTCTCCTTTTCCATGAAATCTACATTATTCCGTTTCTATAGAGTTTTTATTTTAATAGTGTCAGTAACACTCTCTAGAACAACCTGATATTTCTATGTCTAGTCTCCCTCGCATGACAGATAGACCGGCCAGGTTTATCGCTCACCGCGCAGAGTGGAAACTGCAACACAAACTCATCACTGTACCTCTCATCAGGGGTCGCGTCCTGACATTATCCCACGAAGAGCAATGCAATATTTATAGCCCGGGGGTTGTCAGGGGTATATGTGTGGTTATTTTCCCCAGACGTAATTATTGCCAGAGTGCAGACTGTTACCAGGGGATGAACAGAGAGAGAGAGAGGGTGGGCGTGTCTTACCCACAGTTTCAGAACAACATCTGTGACTGTCAAGCCCCAGAGGAAGTTTTTTTTATTTATTTTTTATTCCCATAACGCTTTTAGAGAACGCAGCTTCTTAATTTCCAGCGCCAGAGAGGATCCAAAAACATAGTGGCAGGGAGAGAAATGATCTGATAGTGTCTTTCCCAGAACATTTTATATTGTACTTGCTCTTAGACTTCAGATAATAGCAAGAAAGAAAAATGCTGGTCTCATTTTGGATGGAGTTGGTAAAATCCCCGATTTTTGTACGTAACAAATTTCTCTTTTCTTTTTTTTTTAAGCAGAGAACAATCTAGATTAGATCTGGAACAATTAATCAGTTTGTCTATTGCCAATGCTAAACATTTCCTGGTTCCATCTTCTTAGTTGTGAGGATGTTGCTGAAAATGTATAACTTCGGGTTTTCGACTCTTGGTTGGACAAAAAAAGCAAGCAATTAGAAGACTTGGAGCTTTAAGAAACTGTTGTTTTTTTTTTTGTCTTCTTTACATTTTGTAGAGCAAACGATTGCTTAATTAATTGAGAAAATGATCTGCTGATTCAAATATGGAAAAACATCACAAGTTGCAGCCAAAATCTAAATTACAAAATGAACCTTAAGAGATTTTATAAAAGATAATGATTCTGTTTCAATAAGCAGATTTGATCCTGGATCTAGAATTTCTAAAACACCATTGAACTGTTTTATCCTGTTATTCTGGATAAAGCTACAGAGCTCTTGGGGATGATATGATGAATCTGCTGTTACTGTACTCAGGCAAGCTTTGTGTTGTCTGCTGCCCAGCATGCACCACACTGCTTAACAAGGTCCCCTGAATGTCCCTTGTTTGCACATCTTCTGCTTACCACTTGTCTTTGTTAGCAGAACAAGCAAAGTGTCAGATTTGAACACGCGCTTGTTTGTGTGTTATTCAGAACCCGTCCCGGCGTACTCGCCACTGCAGAGGGAGAGCATGGACCGCGAGGAAGCTCGACTCTCCCCCCACGCCGGGGGGCGTCTCATCCGCCAGCTGCTGGAGGAAGACAGCGACCCGATGCTGTCCCCTCGCTTCTACGCCTACGGGCAGTGCCAGCAGTACCTGGACGACACTGAAGTGCCTCCCTCACCACCAAACGCACACTCATTTGTCAGGTAAAACACATGACTTGGTTTTGCATGTCGAGTCAGATGGACGAAGCTTTCAGTGATGTTAACAACGTTATGTATCTCACCAGTCGCAGACGGAGTTCGTCTCTTGGATCATGTGACGATGAGAAGGAGGAGTTGACATCCGCCCAGCTCACAAAGAGGATCCACGTGCTGAAGAAGAAGATCCACAGGTTCGAGGAGAAGTTTGAAGAGGAGCGGAAATACAGGGTAGGTACAGCAGTAACAACCTTTTCATTTATCACTTTAAAAACACAAACTCTGACTCAACTTTTCCAAACCATAAACAAGGTTATTGACTATGTGAGAAAACTCAGAGACTCGAGGTCTGCCACTGTTTTTTGTTAGACTATTGGCCTTTTTTAATACAACAGATGAGAAGTGAGAGAGATAAGAAGTAGAGCCTTTTTTTTTCATCCAGCCATCCCATGGTGATAAAGCTGCAAACCCGGAGGTGCTGAGATGGGTAAACGAACTGTCCAAGCTGCGTAAAGAGCTAAAAGGTAAGATAAAGACATGAACAGCCCTCCTAAACACAACTGAAACTAAAACTAACAAAGCTCATAGAGATATGTATGTGTAATAAATATATATATGTGTGTGTGTGTGTGTGTGTGTGTGTATGTATGTATGTGTGTGTGTGTATATATGTATATGTGTGTGTGTGTGTGTGTATATGTGTGTGTGTGTGTGTGTGTATATATATATATAATTTATTTATTTTTTTTACTCTTCAGAACACAAGTTGATGAAGTCTGAAGAGGATTTGCCGCCAATGACTCGCCAGCGCAGCAACACGCTGCCCAAAAGCTTCGGCTCTCAGCTGGAGAAAAAACCCCAGCAGGAGAAAGTGCCCAAGCCTCCGGTGGAAAGCACCCTGGAGACGATTTTGAAGAAGCTGCAGGAGAAGAGGGAGGAGGTGAGCCGCTCTGAGGACATCAAGGTAAGACTGTGACCACATTACACACTCACGAGGATGAATAAATAAACAGACACAGCAAATGGATGTTTCATGTAAGATAAACTGCATCAATTTTAAAGCTGACAGCAAGACTTGAATTTATTAAGGTGCTGCTGTGTGTGTGTGTGTGTGTGTGTGTGTGTGTTTAAATCAAACATGCAGATTAAAAGTGTTGCAACACAGAATTTACTCTGGTCATTTCTGAAATGTTATCTCTTACTTCCTGTCTCCCCCACGCAGGATATGACAAGAGAGCAGATCGGAGCGGAGAAAGTCGCCCTGCAGAAAGCTCTACTCCACTACGAGAGCATACACGGTCGACCGGTGAGTCGTAATCCACCTCCACTCCTTTAAATAAACAGAGCGACACGGACAGCCTCCATGCTGTATGTCTGCTCTCCAGCCAGCCATGTTGGCCCAAACAGAGAACATCTTTGTTTACCACTTCACTGTGACCCAGATTGCAAGTCAAGGGTGAATAAGGTCTCAAGCTAGAGTGTCTGCATCTGGTTAGCTTTCACAGAGTGTGTCTGCTAGCAAAAATAAAAAGAATGGATGTTTTTTTGTTTTTTTTATACGCTTATCTTTATCTAGTTATGTGTCCATTCATGCATTCAAGGGTCAACTTGGCTGAAAGACAGATCTGTAAAGGAACTGACACACACTTTGTTTGATGTCAAATCAAATTGCAATGATTGTGCCATCTAGCCCCTGCTAGCATTGTCGTATATCAGGAAGTGCAGCTGACCTTTCTGTCACCTCCATCCGTCCTCTCGCTGTGTGCCTCAGTGGTTTTATGGTTAATGCCCGCCTCGATCTGAAGAGTTGCTGCAAGCCAGTATGGGTTAGCTGTCATTTAGTGTTATGCTACCATTGTAGCTAGTTGGTCTGCAGGGAGATAAGAGGAGGACAGAAGGAAGCTAAAACTGTGCTAACAAGGTGCATTTGCTTCCCTCCTTTTTGCTACTTCAGGTCACTAAGAGCGAGAGGCAGATCATGAAACCCCTGTACGACAGATATCGCCTGGTGAAGCAGATCCTGTGCAGAGCTTCCACCATCCCCGTCATTGTAAGTACCACACCTTGACCTCCCATCTTCTGCTTTTGTTTTCCTCCGCAGCTGCCCAGTTGTCCGGCAGCTCTTTGACAAGAGAGCGGCAAAGCTCACCACACTGTCAAAACATCTGCAGACTCTTAATCCCAGCTCATGTTGGCTTTAGTGCCTGCTGCGGGAACCGGTGGCAGCCGTGCCACAGACGTGTTATCCACCTTATCCAAGTCCAGCTTTAGCAGCTCGGTAAAGGAGCTCATAGGGGGTAGATTGAGTTCACAGTAAGTGGCCATGAACAGCTGAGTGCAGGAGAGAGTCAAAAACTGTAGAAATCGTCAGCTTTACTAAGATATGAGAACTTGTTTGCTCTGAATTGCTACTTTGTTGAGTTAATAGTTGCATAAAATAATTCAGCTTATAGGCCAGTTTACAAGATTCTGTTCTTCCATTATCTGTGTACTCAACTATTCAATAAGCATTTATATTATGTAAGATATGATCTGCATTATGGGCCCATATTATATATCTGTTATATAATGCTTAGCTGTAATCCAATGCAAATGAGGACCACTGCCATAGATTATTCTGTACAATAGAAATCAGCATTTTTATTATCCTGGATGTCAAGTAAAGTGATGCTGGTGTAGACCGCGAATTAAAACTCTTTTTCAACACATTCCTGTTGCAAGATAAGCAGCTGTTGTGGTGTTTGGATCTTAAAATGCTTTACACAGATAGAATCATGAGGCTTCAAGTGGTTGCCAAATAAGTCAACTAACTCTATTCTTGGCCCATATTCAGGGCGCCGTTTGTGAAGACTAATTAGAATTGAGATAGGTTTTCAAAATCATAGTTATTTGGACCTGATGTGGAAAATAAGGTGGTTTTAAGAAGCGAGAGAAAAGAAGGGAAAAGTCTGCTGAGCTTCTACTCTGATAAAAGCAGAATCTTATGGAAACTGGAAGGCTTTGTGGCGTTTTTCCTCGTAGCCTTGCTGTCTCAGCGTGGTTAACGCCTCCTTCTTAACCGTCACCACAGGGCTCTCCCTCCAGCAAGCGCAGAGGTCCCCTCCTTCAGCCTATTATCGAGGGCGAAACCGCACTCTTCTTCGATGATATCAAGGTGAAGAGCTGCTGCCGCTTGAATAATCAGTCACCAGCTCCCCCCGCCCTGCCCCACCCTCCCCCTTATTTAACTACCATTTACCCCTCTAATTAACCTGATTGCTGCCTATTGATTGGGTAGTTGCCTGTTTCCTGCCAACAGCACCTGTAGAGACGATGAATCAGTAGCTGCCTGGATCTGATGTTTGAGTCCCTCAGCGATTTTTTTTTTTATCCAAATGTGTGAGCAGTACATGACATGTTTTAAAGGAAAATTCGGGTTTATTGCAACTTGGGATCTTATTTTTATAGTTTTGACTATAATTTCTAACGGTAATATTATCATTGTACTTACTAAGTTAAATTCTGAGATTTTAGTAATGCATAAAGTAATGCATTGGTTAAAAAAAAAAAAGTGAGCATGAGCACTAAGAATTTAATTGGAAGTGAAAACTAAATTTTACCTAAACTTTCATACCTGTTTACTGTTCTGTACTGAGGGTAAATCAACCAAATATTATCAACCAAATAAAGCAGAGAACACTGATTCCCAAACAAAGAGTACTTGTACCCCAGTGGGTGCTTCTGCAGTTGCCAGTGGATACATGGAAATATTAACATTATTATTTAATTAAAGGAAAATAAACATCCAAATAGGATTAGAAAGTGTTTATTAGTATATTTATTGTCACAATATCCAGTAGGCTTCCAGCTAAACTAATTTTATAGCTAAAAGTAATGGATTTTTGGTTGAAATGTTCAGTTTCTGCTACTCTCAAGTGATGAATACAAACAGATGAATAAAAACTAAAACCCACGTAAACATTGACAATTCAACTGCATGACAAAAACATGGTAACAATGTCCTCTTTCAAATGACTATTTATGTTGAATAGGTTTAAAAGGAGTTCACATGAAAGAGTTTGGAAACTACTAGTCAAGATATTCCAGATAAATGTTTGAGCTTGTTTAAAAATCAATCAATCTGATCACCTGACTGTGAATGTCATCATGTTCACTGACCTTTAAAGCTACAACATTAAGACTCAAGTTGAATAAACATCAGAACTACATCATTTTGCTGCTATTTAATGTAGAGTGTTTGTAGTTCAGGATTAAAGTTGGTTCTCAGTGGACTGTGTGTCTTGTAGTCAACTGCCTTCATTAACTCCATCTGTTCATACTAATGAGTGTTGACTTGAATTAGAAATGGGGACCATGGACGTGCATTTTGTTGCTGTACTGTGATGATTTATAGCCATTGACAACTAACGCTGCACGATTCTCACTCCCTGCAGTGTTTAATGCCCCGAGTTGACCTCTAATCTGTTTCTGCAGGAGGAAGAGGACGGCTCAGAGGACGACGGAGACTCAAAGACCCAGTTCACCGTGACCGCCCGGCCCGACCTAAGCGTGCTCGGCTTGCTGGACCACATGGACGAGGAAGCGGACGGTTTCATTTCACCCGTGGACGACCTCTCGCCGTCAAAGAACATGACGGACATGAGGCTGTCCAACCTGCACTCCGCCACCACGTAAGTCACTGAAAAGACTGTTTTCACTTCACAGTGGTGGAAAGGAACGAAGTACATTTATAAAAGTAGAATTTTTTTTATGCTGCTTTATACTACATTTCAGAAAGAAATATAGTACTTTTTATTACAGCTGGAGTTACTGGTAACTTTTCAGATTGTGATGCTTTTCTCCGAAGCGACTTACAATTGCTATATTTATCAGAGGTGACACACCTCCGGAGCAACTAGGGTTTCAGTATCTTGCTCAGGGACACATTGGTGTCTTACATTGGTTTCGAACCCGGGTCTCTCACGCCAAAGGCACATGTCTTATCCACTGCAACATCACCAATGGTTGCCAAGCTTTTTGACTTTGACCACATTAAGAGAAATCACGGCCAAGTTTGAGCCCCTTGTTATGTTTCAGAGTTGTTCCCTTTAAACTTCTCAGAAAGGTCAAATTACTGAATATTTCACAAAAAAGCAAAGATTAGAGAAAAATCCAAAGTATATAATATAGTAAAGTAGTTAAAAGCAGTTCCACCATGAGTAGCTGCAAGAGTAAAACTTAAACATTGAGGTAGCAGTCTAATCTAACAATCTAATTTTGTCTTAAAAAATAATATATCACAGCAAGTACTTTTACTTTTGATACTTTAAGTATATTTGGCAAAAAATACTTGTGTCCCTTTAAAATTAAAACAGTATGTCTCCCACCACTGCAAAATAAACCTTTAACACTTGTAAATATTCCAGTGTGCAATAGTTAAATATTTCCACTGTTTCACTTACAGGCAGGAACTTGTGGAGCAACTCCAAGAGGCTCGAGAGGAGAAGAAGATTCTCCGCAAAAACCTGAAAGAGTTCGAGGACCAGTTCTTCAGACAAAATGGAAGGTAAAAGAGAAGGTTACATAAGAGAGAGGGCATACTGAACAGACGTTCACATAATGGGTTTTCCACTGCCGCCGAATCTCCATCCGTTTCTTAATGTTTGTTGTCTTGTTTCCATAGAAATGTGCAGAAGGAGGACCGCTCCCCGCTGGCAGTGGAGTACAACGAATACAAGCACGTTAAAGCCAAACTGCGGCTGCTGGAAGTCCTCATCAGCAAAAGAGACTCGACTAATCTAAGAGACAAATAAAAGACTCTAAAAGGACTGATGCTTAAGTCTCCAGAAACACATCTCACCCTGCTGGAAAAAAAACATCTGATTTCGCTTCTGGGCGCCATCTGTGCCTCTCATGTTTCTGGCTGGGGCCTGTTAATCTGTTCTGTCGGGCGCAGTGGGGGTTTTTTTGGAGCACACAGAGAGCCGCCGACCCACACCTAATTGAAAGCGACACAGAGTGACCTGAGGAGTTTGTTTCTAACCAAACCTCACCTTCAGGATGTTTTTTTTCCCCTCGAGACTAAGCAAACACGCACACAAATAACCTGAATCACACTTTTATTGCTAATAATTTATTTCTATCCTTGTGAATGTTTATATCGGAAAAGTTATTTTTCTCGCGCTTTCACTGTAGAAGTCTTAAAAATAAAACTTGTAAGTAAAATAATAGATATCAAATTATTGCTATTTTTAAAGAAGGATTTTGCGATCAAGATTTCCGTGTATTTTTGTAAGGGAGACGTTACTATTTGTATAACTCCAATCAGCTTGACAGTATTCACTAAAAAATTTGCTTTCTCTATTTCATTTCTGACCGTCTTATGTCTGAAATAATCTAGAAGTTAAATTGAGTATTTGCTTACTAAAACAAGTAGTTTCTAATTTTAATACAACCCAAAGACAGTGACTCAGAGTGCAACCTGCGAACCAAAATATCTCATCAATAAAACAGCTTATTTTTGTGATCACTGGTACCTTCTCAAGCATCTGACTCTATATTTTATGCATTGATGTACTTCTTTCCCCACTTACTTCATGTCAAATAAGCTATTTCTTGGAATCACTGGTATGTTTTTGCTCACACTGATAAACATTGACAAGGACGTATGTGAGGCGACTCTGGAGGACAAAAATGGGCACTAAAAGCTGCAGTTTTCCCAGAGTCCTGTGTCTCCTTCTGGTTCTATCCAGAGCTCGTTTCTGTTCTTTTGTAAATATTGATCATCACTGTGTATGTTTACATTTCTGTGAGCGAGTACATTTTTCCTTTCTTTCTCCAAAATGGATGATTATCAGTGTGAATTTGGTTTTTACTGAATATAAACACTGCCACGGCTTAATGAATTTTTGAGTGTGTACATTTTAGTACATAAATTGTATTTGTATTTTGTAAATAATATTAATGAAATCATATTTTTACTGAAGTTCTTGGGCTGCGTGGAATTTCTTTGTGTGACTGGATGGAAATGTTTGAGGTGAAGAAAATTAATCTGCATCATCAGAACATAACAGTTTTAGGGCTGCAAATAATTATTTTCATTATTCAGAATCATCTTTATTGCCAGGTATGTGTACACATACAAATGTTGATTAATGTGCTATTTTCTTCTTTTAATGTTATGTACACTAAAATTAATTTGCAGCAAGTGTTCAGATGTCATGAAAACACAAGGTCCACATAGCTGTTCTGCAGCTATTAAATCATATCTTATGGTCTTCCTCAGCAGATAGAGATGCCCAGTTGTCTTGAAATAGCCTTATGACTACTGGATGACTCACTCTACATCCTGAGCCACAGCTGCAAAGTGTCTCAGTACACTTTAGTCCAGTAATGCAATCATGAAACATGCAGGAACATGCTTTTACACTGTATTGTTTTATTATAAAAACATGGCTAGAACAGAGAGCTTTGTGTAGACTTCAGACAAATATGCAAAATTCACATTTTCTGTAACACGTTCAAAGGTGCAAAAAGTCGACGGCTGCACAAACCTTTGCATAGGACTATACTCTGCGGGAGAAATCAGCTTTAATTAGACAAACATGTAGAACGGGTGTACATGCAGTATAGGGCTAAGCAAGAGGATGAACTGTCCTAAGAAACATCTCAGAAGAGTCCAGTGTTTAAGACCTTTAGAAGAATAACCCAGAGTTACCACTACATTACTGGACTGTTTCAGGTTGTTATTGCTAAATGGATGTGTCAGTGTGACCTGTTAGTTAGGACACATCAAGTCATCTACTGCCTGAAGTCACTTTTATACCACTGTCATGTATGAAATATATAAAAATATATGTATATATATATATATGCAAGACAATTTCACACACATGCCAATGCACAAACTAATTAAACATTGTGGATTAAGAGGTTTGACTGTAGGAAGAAATACAGTATCAGGGCAAGTTTTTGAAACAAGTGATTAACCTAACATTTGTATTTAATAGGTCATCTGCCCAAACCGTTAAATGTGCACTTCATCCTGCCACAAATGTCACAATTTAATTATCTGGAAACAAGCTAATTACAATTACTGATTTTAATGATTATATATTTAGTTTTATAAATAACATTTTGAAATTAAGTTTATTGGCTTTCTGGATGCGAGTTAGCATGGCTCCTTAAAGATGACGCTACAGCTAGTAGCCATTTAGCTTTAGCCTACCAAAAAGACTGGCACCTCTCTGGCTCAGTACAGCCATTATAAAATTTGCCAACTAGCACCCCTAAAGCTCACAAATTAACATGTTATTTGTAATTTGTTTAATTTGCACAAAAAGTGAAGTGTAAAAACGAAAATTTGCTGTTTTGTGGGTATGCTACTGGCTATTTGCTGACTGAGCAGTTGCCAGCCAACAAGCATTACCTGAAAATCAAAATGTTTGGCCATTTCTAAATACTACAGTGGCAACATGTTGGGTAACAACTACCTAAATAAAGGAAAAATAGGTATAATAAATGAATAACAAACATCTGAGTTGGCAATATAAGCCTGGCTGAAAGTCCTTTCCCATCTGGGTCACAGAATCCGGTGTAACAATGACTAGCTAAGAAATAGTGGACACATGAACCCATGTAAAGTGTTGAATTGTCGTTTTTACACAGCCTTTTGTATGAATTAAACAATCAACATATGTTAACGTAATTACTGAGCTTTAGTGGTTGCTGTTTCACCCCCTTTCCAGTCTATCTGCTAAGCTAACCGACTGCTACATTTAATGGACAAACATGAACTTCTCAGCCAGCTCTGTCATAAAGCCAATAAGCATATGTCCCAAAATGTCAAACATTTTCAATGACAGGGTTTTTTTTGCTTTCACTCAACAACATGCACACATACAACAACCACAAAAAAATCGACTTTAAAAGTCAGCTTTTCGTGTAGGTTTTGCTGTAGAAGGCAACACTGTTGAATGCAGGTTCAAGACAAAGTCAGCTGCTCTGTGATCCACAGCTAAAAAGTAATCAGGGATAGCGAATAATATTCACCTCGTCTCATCCTGCACCCTTCTGCCTGACAGATACTCTTCAGCTGTCCTTTAGTTTCAGGCAGAGAGGACATGCTGGTGTCCAGATTTAAAAGGATCAGTGGGATGAGTACTCCTCCCAATGTCAAGGGCAAAGATTATATTCAAAGTGCCATTTACATACGTATATATACATTTTTATATTGTCAAAAAATAACCACTCTATTTAATAAATTAAAAGTAACAAAAAGCACATATTGTCTCAAGGTAATAACATAATTCTTTAAAGGTGAAAAATAGAATTTAAGGAGTTATATATAAAATACACAAAAAAAAGAGAGACTAAAATAACACTAGCAAACCAAAGTCAGAGATGCTCCACCTTCTCTTGACTTTAATTTTAGGTCCCAAAATGTTTATTATCCCGTGTTTTCATTTTTATTTCAGGACTGTGATACATTTCGAATAAATATCCACACATCAGCCTTCAAAATATATTTTAAAGAAGCTTTGCCCAAAGCAATAAAAACAGTAATACTCTGCATTTACATAGATAGACCTTTCAGTTTCAAGATGCTTAAGAATCTTGTAAGAGCATATATAAAGAAAGTGACCTTCCTGTGTACCGACATCCCCCGCAACACTCTTCTGACACTGACATGGTGGTGTATTGCTGTTTAAAGTGCATTAAAACTGCAGCAGATCCCCCCCTCCTCAGACCAGGCTGAAGCCCTCGTACTGCTCCACAGCCTGAGTGAGACGGCGGCGCAGGATCTCTTTGGTCTGGTAGCGGGGCATGTCGAGCAGGTTGTAGCAGGTGTGAGCCACCGGCAGGTAGTGCTCCTCCGCTGTGGTGGACTGGATGACGATGCGCAGGCTTTCCATGCCGTGGATGGGGATACGGTCGCTCCCGGTCAGGAACACTGCAGGCAGGAGACACGGAGGAGGTAGAATCAACCGCTGGAGCAGTGTGAAAATGTTCCTGCACTCCACATATTGCAAATAGCGACCTAGTTTTATCTAGTTTGTCTGTCATTCACACACACAAACACCGCTGGCAGTGCGCTACCGCGCAAGGTGCTGTCTGACTACCAGCATTTTTATTGGATGACTCACTTCTCCTCCTGAGCCAAACTGATAAAGGATTTTTGAGGCCAATACCATATCAATATTTGCAAGTTCAAAATAATCTAATGACCATATTTGCAGATACTAATCTTTTTTATATAAATATTTTGAAAGCATCCCTTAGGTGATCAACAGTGTGCAGGATTTATTGGCTCCTTCAGAGTTTACAGCGTGTCTATGAGCTAGCTTAGTGTTAACACACAAAATCTACCTACCAGCACCTCATAAACTCACTCATTTACAGGGTATATCTTGTATGTTTAATCTGCACAACAAAAACAAGTGCAACTTCCCAGAGCCTTGTAGTCTCCGTGAGACTCCTGGAAGTCACTGCTCCCAGTCAAACAATAGTCTGGCACGTAACCCCTCATAAAGCCACAACTTCTTTTTACCCTTTAGTTTTTGAACAGATTAAACAAACGAGATACAACGTGTTCATAAGTGGAGGTGGAGGGGTGGAGAAATAAAGTCCACATTATCCAGAAAACAAGACAAAAAAGCCCTGTGTAGAATATAAGATGTCTTTTCTCAAATATCCTCAAATCCCTTTGAGAGACCTTTAGTGAGCCCACCTAAAAAGGAGAAATTACCTAAGTACATAAATTAATGGTAATTTCATGATATGAGATCCGATCAGCCTAAGGATATAAAACTGAAAAAAATAAGACCTCATATAAACGATCTTGTTCCTTCTCAAGATTTTTCTTCCTTATCGGAGGCTTATGGCTGAAAATTCTGTTAAATTCAAGCCCTCGCCAAACAAGTTCACGCAATGCTGATTAAGCTCGTCGCCGCCAGGTAAATCTCTCTGTATTCGTAGTATACCGGAATTTTTAAATCTGGTGTCTGTGGCGACATTCCAGCTCTGGCACACCAGTTATGATGCGTTTAATGTCAAATAACGAGTGACTGTTCCAGGGGCAGCCTAGAACCATACAGAGCTCCACAATCCTCCATTGCGGCGTTTCTTTCCTTTGGCAAAGTTGTATTATATGCAGTCAAGTCAATAAAGCCACTTGACTTGAAATTAAATGACGCAACTCTTCTGATACTCTGGATAACCGTAAGTTCACCTGTACTCCACCTTTAAGGGTGCTTGCAGACAGTTTAGTACAGTATATTCTCATGCAGGAACAACATTAGAACTAAACTGTCCTGCAGACTGAGCAATGAGGCAATCAAATGCTTACATAAGAACTGCTTCTTCTTTTCTAGAGGAAACTCGTGGAAAACCTCCCAAAACAATCTGACTGTTGGATGAGTAGATGTATATTCTCCCTTGTAAACAGCATTCTGCAAAGAAAAAAGATGGTGGTGATGAAAAGCATTTCCACATTTTACCATTACTAAACCATTTCCTCTCTGACAGTAATATTTACACAACAATAATCAGTTAAACAAGCTCCTCAGAGACATGCCTGCATCTTTGTGTTTTCTCCACCCAATGTGTAAAAAATGTAAACAAAATTTCTAAACATAATTCCTCTTAGGTTTTCCCACTGATGCGATGTAATCTGCACAAAAGGACCTGTGGACATGAGAGCTGATATCACTGGTAAAATATGTGAAACAAAAATATCCCCATGTTTGTTCGGACTGTAAGTATCATCCATATGTTTTTAAACTATTTATTTCGGTTGGCTTTGTGCTTTTTAATATGTGACCAGGGACAACAGATGAAAATGTTTTTTTACTGTCCATGTCAAATTAACTAATACAATTTTTAAAAAGGGATAAATCTATTTTAGGATTTTATTTATTCATTTAATATATATTTTAAATATACTTTAATCTAGCGCCACCATCATTAAATGTAGATTTAATATTTTGGTTTGAGACCAAATCCCAGCAAAATTAAAGACATTCTCATCTTTGTGTTTTGTGACAGTTTTGTGACAAATGTAAACATGCTAACACGTTAAACTACACCTAGCCTAATCACTGCGCATTAGCATGCTAATGTTAGCATTTAGCTCAAAGCATCACTGTGCAACCAGAGCCACTAGCATAGCTATACAAAATTGTCTTGTTGTCTAATTTGCTTCATTCCTGTCTTATATTTTTTATAACCTCTGTTTTAAATTCTATGCAGTGGTGCTATGCTTTCCTGGTCAATCCTGTAAAAAATATTTAGCCATGCTAGCAACATAGCTCTGTGGATTCCAATGTCAGTCAGTCCAAACTAAAATATCTCAAAAACTACTTGATGGTTGTCCAATACTTTGTTTTTTTACCAACTACCTGCAAAACAGACACTCCCATCAGCCTCAGCTGTAATTTGTGTTCAGTGCTAACTGTTAAATATTAGTATGCTAACACACTAAACTAAGATGGTTAACATGGTAAATATTACACCTGCTGATGTTAGTATTTAGATCAAAGCACCGCTGTACCCAAGTACAACCTCACAGAGCTCTCCTGGTTAAAAAAAGTTAAACGTCCTCAAAACAAAAACAATACTCCTTCATTGTGCTGAACAAGAAGAAACAAAACCTGCAGCTGTTGATCAAATCATCCCAGTGAAAAGAGCTGACTCATGATCATGAGTCACTGTGACCAACTTGCCAAGTAAAAGTTGAATTTCCAGCTCTGTCCATTGAAACATGCTCATCATCACATCCACAATTATGAAATTGCAACACTTGCGTCACCGAGGATTTCAGGATTTCCTCATTTTCATCCAACAATGTGTTCACAAAAAGACACAGCTGAGAGAGACAGACCTGACAACTAACAGGAAATGGTTTGTAATTTCTGCTGCAGTCAGAACCGTTGAACCCATTATTACCACAAACACGGTATGTACAGATTTTTAAACCACATGCTGACCTTCTCCATCTCCTCCCAGTTGTAGTCGTTGTTGCCGACCACCATGGCCATCAGCTCAGAGGGCTGGAACAGCGACAGGATCTCCCCCCCGCACACCTTCAGGAAGCCGGAGGAGAAGGCCGAGTACTGCTCGCTCACCGAGTCTGAGAACACGTAGCGCAGGTAGGCCTCCACAAACTCCTTCCTGAAACACACACACACACACACACACACACGTTAAGTAAACATTCAGATCATTAATTTGTTCTTCACCGCAGCTGCTTCCTCACAAATCAGTTTATAGGAAAAGAATTTAATCAGACTTCAAGGTGTGACTGTAAACACTCTCTTCCTCCTCTATTGTGTCTAACTAACCCTTAAATGTTGTTTTGTTTTCTTTATATTTCCATTAGATATAATATTGCAGCCATAAAAGCATGACATTCATTAATGCTTCACTAAAAACAAGCATCATAGAAAAACAAACAAAACGTGTCACTTCAATGACATTTGAGCAGCATATGATGTAACATATCTGATAGACAACAGGACTGCACCTATAGACCTGTATTTGACATTTAGACCTGTATTAGAAATTTAGAATATTTCTATTTTAAACTTTAAAAATATTATTGTTATTATTATTATTATTATTATTATTATTATTCATCATCATCATCATCATCATCATGTTATCTCATTGAGATTATGCAAACACAAAAAAGGTCAGAAGTTAAAAGTTCAAATTCATCAATACAAAGTTTTTGTAATTAATTTTATCTATATGGTGGAAAGTACTGAAGGGCATTGAGTTAATACATTAATTTAACAGAACTACCACTTTCTGAGGAACAAACTCCATAATACCGACTTCAGCATGAACAGGGAGGTGTTAACTGTGTCATTTAAAATTCCAAACATTACTGAACAATCACACAACCATTTTCTCTATTAATTCTGTTATTACACTTTTATATCAGAGTGTTGAGGGGATTTTGCAGGAACAACTTGGGTCACTGCCGCTCTCGCCATCTGTTCAGCGGCAGCAGCCAGACATGTTGACACCGCCCACCCAACAAATCTCTGCGGACTCCTCCACATAACAACGTAATCAATGCCACTCGCACAAGGACGAGCAGGGTGGTGCTGGTGGAGAAAAACACACTGAATGATGCTTAAAATACCAAAATCTTTGTTTTCAACACAGAACATGACCTTCAGTTGGAACAATGGGACTCGCGCTGCCAGCTGTGCGAGCACATGATAATCTCAGTTATGGAAAAAAATATATATATTTATATATTAAAAAAACTCAGTCAGCTGTTGATCCTTTAGAAAGAACACAGTGTAGAGCATTAAAAACATTTTTAAAAAACAAGGTCACTTCAAATGGGACATCAAATGAAGGGAGAGTTGATGAAATTATACCGAAAACTACATTACGGGCAGTACATATTTGATATGTTGAGCTGCCTCACCTGTTGTTTTTGTCCACACTGACGCTCTCTCCACCAGGAATGAGCTCCTTGACTTCTGTTATCCCATAGTTCTCCCTCGTGATCTGAGACGTGAACACAACAAACCGTCTTAGACAGGAGTTTTAGTAGAGTGTGGACATTGTGGGGTGTTTGCTTGCAATTATAATTCAACCGTTTTCAGTTAAAGATAAGTCTGGTGACATTACATATTTTTCTTATTGTCAACAAATCACATGAAAAGACCAAAACTAACAATGAACAGATTATCTAACCAGTATTGTCTGTATTGCTAAAGGCTGACATATACCTGTATCTCATTTCTCTGGGTCATAGAGCTCCATTGTTGTACCAAAACTATTGAAAACACTCATCACTGAGTCACACTGTTGCACCTGGTGACATATTCCTTTATTTCAATGAACATGAACCCTGCAGATCCCACATACAGGGGGTGGGCAGATCGTTTTGTTTTAAGTATTGATAATAGTGTTCATAGGATCAGCATCAAAGAAACATTCTGAGCACATAAACATTTCTTCTTAGTACTTTTTATTTTGTGTGCATGCGCACAGCTATCACCTCGTTAGTTTAAAAAATTCACACAATAAACAGTTTTCTTATTTACTATTAAAAACACACATACATGTGTTTAACAAATAATTACAAAGAAATGCTTGGCATATTAGATGTCCGGCAAATCACTCAGTGGCAATAAAAAAATATACCAAAGCCTATTAGTGATGCATTAAAGTCATAAAGTATAATAGTATATAAGCGTCTTAATAATTACAAGTTAATAATTACAAGATTCTGGTTTTGTATTTCTTGGTACCAGATCAGAACCACATTTCGTGGTACCACCCACCTACTCTATTTGTGCACTAATCCGCAACTAAATATAGGAACACTTAAAGCTCCAGTGCACAGCTGTTTCAGGAAATCTCAAAAATAAAACACTGCTTTTGTGACCTATATTTTTTTTCTTACTGTTCTTATTTTTTTTAAACATCTTGCGTTGTGCCACAGGATAAGGGTATGGAAGTCGGACAGTTTCAAGAGACAGATTATCACATTGTTGATTTGGTCTTTCATGGGATTTTTTAAATCAGAACAATCCAAAAACCATATCCTTAAAGTTGGCATAAATGAGAGTAACAAGTGAAAAGCAGGGTTGGGCAATAAAACAATAATGATAATTATCCCAATATAATTTTCCTCAATAACAATATAACAAATGTTCAATAAATGTTTGATTACATTCATTTGAATCGTGAACGAATTAGCACTTAATTTTTCTATTAAGATTTTTATTTTGTTGAGGAAAAGGAACTGAAAAAAGATTTTACTTTATTTTACTCTGCATAATTGTTGATTGTATCATAATTGTTTTGAATGTTCTACCTCAGATTTGTTATGTGATCCACTGTTTGGAAAGTGTTTCTCATGTTCTGACCATAAAGAATAGTTTTAAACCACAATTAACCATCTGGTTTCTTCAGTGTCCACTCAGGAGCAAAAATCAGCCTTTAAACTCGAAAGAAATAATGATTTGACAATTATCGTGATAATTATCAATATTGAATGATATGAAATGTCTTATCGTAACAACATTTTTGGCCATATCACCCAGCCCTAGTGAAAAGCGACACGTACAGCAAAGTTGAGGAGAAACGTCTCCTCCACATCGCCTCCTTCATAGTCTAGAAGTTGTTGTAGACTCCTGCAGAAGAATAAACAGAAGGAAAGGATGTTTGAACAATACTATTAATACACAATCATGGCAGTAGAGAAAAACACACGCTAATAATCTTATTTATGTGAGGTAAGAAACAAAAGAAAGGCCAAAATCACCATCATTAAACATTTTCACATTAGCACACCATGAGGTGAGCAATGAATTAGTACATTTCATTAGAAAAATACCTCCTTCATGCATTTCATCATTGTGCATAGCAGAGGACTTGATAGCGTAATAATAGCATCTTCATTTCAGAAATATCTCAGAAATATCTGAGTCATACGTCTGTTTTATCCATCTTAGACAGTTTATTGCATTCAGGATTAAATCTGTCCCTGTTTGACTTTTAAAATGAAAACCAGGCATCCGCTGTGCCTTTGCAACAGCTGCATGGATCAAACAGATAGGGAAGACCCAAAATTGTCTGTTAGATTAAAATTTAGATTAGATTAGAAGTGAAGTGGTTACATTCGCTATTAATCCAATAGAGGGAGTGCTGTGTTACTTTTCCTGCAAAGAACATGCATTTACCATCACAACACAGGAAATGTGGAAAGAGGACAGGTGGGCTGGCACAGGAAATGATAATTAGTGAAAGATAATCAAATACCAATTTGACCCCAACTACTGCCTAAGGTCATTTTGCAGTCCAAGACATAACAAATGAATCTTATCATTTAAACAAACGCTTATCTGTTTCTTGTCAGTGTGAGGTAGCCAGTGTGCTGACTTTAGTTTGTCGAATCTTTAAGGCAGTCAAAATAAAAGCGTAACATGTGAAATGTTTTTCAAGATCCTGTCCTTTAAGGTTGTGTTGTCTTTAACAACAACACTACAGGCTGTGCAGCACTAGCTGCAGCTTTCAGAGGACTAGTCTAAAAATCAATAGTCAACTGGACACAAAAAGCCACTGAGGAAATGCTTACTCTTTCTGCTCCAAATTCAATCAAGAGGCATTTCCCAGTGGCAATCTATTTCACCGCTACTTAAAAAAAATGATAAAACACACTGGTTATGTAATTGCGTGACACACCCTGCAGACACACTTGAAGAGCAATTTTTTAAGTGCGTCTTTGAGTACAACTGGATTTGGGACTGGTGCTTTACAATTTCTCATTATTTAGTTACACTTGTGGAGCAACAGATGGCAAGAATTTTCTCTTTAAAATGGACAAAACTAATCCGGTAACAAGTTCCCAATTTTAGACCAGTAGACCTGCCGCAATATGCAGACACACTTAAGACAAACTGTTTTGGGCAGCAGGTGCCATGTCAACATATTCTACATTGCTGTCAAGATGTCCTGCACTGCAATCCCCTCGTCTTTAAAGGACAAGTTTGTCAGATTTAGGGGGATCTTGTCAGAAATATAGGCAGAAATTGAATATAATATCCATAAATATGTTTTCATTAGCTTATAATATAATAATAATAATCACCTGAAAATTTATTGTGTTTCTGTTACCTCTGAATGAGCCCTTTATAGCTATAGAGACAAACCAAATACTGGCTCTGAAGACGGCCTTTTGTATTTTTCATGAGTTTAGCGGCCACCGTAGGTTCTGCTACATGAATGGTACGAGAGGTTGAGGAAAACAGTTATCAGTTGGTACTCTTAAGCTCAAAGGAGCTGGCTAGTTACCTGGCCTCTGTGGGTGAGAGCTCCTTGAAGTCCTCCAGTGTCGGTGAGACATCAAGCAGCTTCTTGTAGAGAACCAGAGGGAAGTGGAGGTCCACCACTGTGGAGTTGTAGATGGCCAGACCGCAGATGATCCCAATCAGGTGAAACCAGTTCTGCTCAACGAAACACTGGAAACACACACAAGAAAATTATTTTACTAGTACAAGAAGAACAAGTGTAGCCTGGCTGAACGCAACTGACAACATCTCACATTCCTTAAGCTTAAAAAGAGATGATGATACACCAGCCGGAAAAATTCACATCATTTATTATTCAAAGATTTAAAAAATGGTATTTACACGCTTTTCTAATTCTAACCCACTGGAGCCTGGTGATCATTTTTACACCGTTTTCAGCCGTCTGTTAAACAAGTTAATATGACAAATACAAGGTTGCAAAAAAGCATATTGACCTTGGATGACAGAAAAAAAGGTAATGGAAAAGAAGACGTAATGATGATTCTGTTTCATTGCTGGATCACTATCATGTTACTAAAGTAACTAGTGATTCTTAAAGTTCGGGGACATACCCCTTATGTTACTTCCTTATAGAGGTAAGTGTAAAGCTGAATTTTCCCACTGGCCTATGTCAGAAGCAGCAGCTCTTCCTGGAAAATACAGCTGAAGTTCAAATCACTCACATTCTGGAGATCCACTATAGGCTTACTGTTATCACCTGTTAAAGGTGGGCTAAGCGATTCTAATTCAACACATCTTTTTGTCATTTTCAGCGAATATCTCCATACAGTCTGCTAGCGGTCCATTCAGGTATTTGTACACAGCCCTGGCACTGTAAACAGATACAAACAAAGTTGCCCGCACTGTGCTTCACAAAATTATTCCAGCCTTTCCAGCCATGATTTGTGTATCAGGTAACGTTAAATGACTGCCCATTGACATTCAGCTTACTTTCTAGCTTGCAAAGATACAGTATGCTGTTGTATGCTATAGCATCAGGAGAGTTGTGAGTACTGCTGCCTGGAGCTGGTGTGCTGGCTCTGGAACCATCTCGTCCTCTCTGCATTTTAGCTTTGCAGCAGCAACTGTAGCGACAGTATGCTATAAATTTGGTATTGTATTTGTCCAGAATCGCATACCCCACTTTAATAAACCAAGAAAACAAAATCATGACAAAAAGGTTCAAACCAAACTCCCAAACAAAATGTTAAGATACTGACATAGTTGCAAAACTCTAAACTGCCTTTTAAGCAACAGCTGCTAAATGTGTCTCTAACTCTGCATTTCATGGGTTTGACAAACTTAATGATCTGTCACCGCCTCTCGTCACCAGGAATTATACAAAAGACAAAGTAAGAAAACAAGTGAGGAAATGCTCATAGTGTTTCACTATATTCAGCAGTATCAATTCTAATTTATTATGAGAATTCACAAAGATATTATGTTTGCAGTTATTAATTTTTATTAACTTGCAATAAGTACGTTTAGTAAGTGACTCTTTTTACATCATTAGCTTGTGAATACAAACTAATGATGCTTTTGAATCCTGCAGAGTGACTTACTTTGTCTGAGAACCACAGCAGGTTGGACTCATTGTAATGAGTGAACATCCCATATACAGGATCCAATAGCTCCTTTAACAGCAGCAGGAAGAACTCTTTAGTTACTCCACCTGCATCTACGGCCTCCTCTCCATCAAAGATCACCTGGAGGAAATGCATAAGGAAAATTACAAAAAGTACAGAGGGAAAGTTATTCTTTTATCAAAATTACTGAACTACAGTGACCTTCAAAAACTTAGGCGTAGCTCTCACCTTGAGCGGTTTCTTGAGGTCCACATCAGAGTACATGGTGAGCTCACGTAGTGTGTCACTTACTAAATGGTTCCTGCGCACATGGAGCACCAAGTAAGGGTTCCTAGCAAGGTGGGGTTCCAGTGTGAGCAGCATAAAGACATTGTGCAGGTTTGCACCACTGACTGCCATCTTGGTAACAGCCACAGGTTGAGGTGGGGAAAAACAAGGCAAAAATATGGTAACTAATTATAGAAAACCTCCACCATTTAACCAAAATCAGTGATATAACTGTATGAAACCACAAGAAAACTCCTTTTAACATTCACAGCAGGTACCTGCATTTGCAGTTCAGCATCTGTTTGCAGCATAGTGGTCTTGGCTTGAGCGTTCAGTATGAATGGGTAGGCACATAGGTTCACTGAGGGAAAGTCACTCTGCAAGGAAAATTAGGAAATATACTTAGAGATCAAATGAATATAATGTAATATGATATTTTTGAGTTCAATGTTTAAATCAAGTACCTGCGCAGGGGAGGATGATCCCACTTTCTAGAAAACAAAGTGAGAGAGAAGTCTCAAAGTCAGCAACACACCCACAAACAGTTATGGATACAATTTCACACATTGTCTCTGTAGACAGAGTATGACATGAGTTAAGTGTGTGTGTGTGTGTGTGTGTGTGTGTGTGTGTGTGTGTGTGTGTGTGTGTGTGTGTGTGTGTGTATTCAGCCGATGTCAAGTAACAAGGAAGTGAAACATTTTCAGAGAACGTCAGTACTCACAATCTCAGCTTTACTCAGAAACCATTTGAGGTAGTCTTCCTGGATGTCCACCAGGCTGGTGATGTCAGGGATATAAAAGCGGTGGTACTCCACATGGCCCGCCTTTAAGTTTACCTGGAAACATAGAACAAACACCTGCCTCAACTCTAGGAAAAGTGTACATGGCAGTCTACAGATTAGGAACCAGGAAAAACACACTCCCTCCTCAGAATGCACTGACGGCTGGTCAAAAGGAGCATAAGGTAACCCGTGTGGATACCTTGTGGAGTTTCTCCAGCAGCCTCAGCGTGGCAACAAAATAATTCTCATAGAACACTGGTACGAGCAGCGTCTTGCCTCCCGTTAGCATAAACACAACGATGCTCTTGTACATGTCGACCATTCTGGTGAACACACTGCCGTCTACAATACACCACCAGTTATCTACAGGGACAGAGAAAAAGATCAACTTAACCTACAGAGCAAATACCTCACTCGAAGGAAACATGGCATGTCATTGGTTTCTTCAGTATATCAAAACACTCACAGCAAACAAATCTAGGTGTTAATATTTCTGTGTTCTAGCATATTCATACACGAACACTGCTAAGTTATTAAGAGGAAATAAATGTGGAAAAGCAGGGTCCACATACTGTTTGTATTGTGTATTTGTAGGTATTGCTCAGGGCCAACTTGAAAAGCATTTATTTAAACATTTCTGCAAGGTTAAACATTATCAAGTCGTCCAGAGTTCAGCTACCGACTGAACGTTACCTCTGTGAAGAGTACTTCTGATCTTCCCAAATCGACCTCCATCACCAGACAGGCTGTTTACTGTTTGATGATGTTTGGTGTATCTTAAATAGCACAGGTGACATGGATGTGAATGAGGACACGGACATGCTGCAGGTGCCGGAGGTAAGCTTCATGTGGTGTGATGCTACATGGTGCCACAGGGTTTGATGTGACATGACGATCAATATGATGATATCTATTTACACATATACACTGAACAAAATTATAAACGCAACACTTTTGTTTTTGCCCCCATTCATCAAAGGCCTATTTCTCTCAAATATTGCTCACAAATCTGTCAAAATCTGTGTTAGTGTGCACTTCTCCTTTGCTGACATAATCCATCCACCTCACAGGTGTGCCATATCAAGATGCTGATCAGACAGCGTGTCTTGATCTTTGAGTTCAGCTCATGATTAATGGGGGCAAACCCAAAAGTGTTACATTTATAATTTTGTTCAGTGTAGATATAGATAGATAGACGTATGTAGTGTGTGCAGGCAAGTACGATACCCAGTACTTTGCTGGGGTTGGCGTCTAGCCGGAGGATGGCCATTGCCAGGGGAATAGTGAGGCGGATGTAGTTCTTGGAGTCCAGCAGTGCCGGGTACTCAGACAAGATGAGGTAGATCCTCATGGCCTCGACGTCAGGAGGGGAGCGTGGCAGCTGAGGGATCAACAGACTCTCAAAACTCTTGCTGGCCTAAACAGAAGGTCGGACACAGAAAGAGGGAGAACATGTGTAACAGGTTGTGTATATTTCTCATATATTTCTCTTTTAATGAAAAAAAACAGCATTTATTGTTATAGCGAGTGAAAAGTATTTGAAATGTACTGTACTATGAGGCTACATGTATTAATAAAGAGAGACATTGATAGGATATTGTTCAAATTGAAAACAGTTTGGATTAACTAGGCAGTCGCTATTTTGAGAGGGGCACTTAGTGGTTTGGAATGAGACCTCGGTCTCCAAACAGATTAAAATTCATGTTGGTTTGAGGTGCATGAACCCAAACCTAACATTACTGTGCTAATGTTAGAGGTTATAACTCAGCCCAACAGTTTCTGCCATGGATCTGCGGCAGAACTTGATGTACTTTCAAAACAGGCCAGATATTCACATATAGAGGTTTTTGTTTTATGACCATAAGAGAGATAGTTGAATACTGTTTAACAATCATAATGTTGCGCCTTTAACTGCTTCACTATGGTGAAAAAAACAAGTTTTGACTCAACTGATCATACCACTTTTTATGATATTCGTTGATACAAATGGCTACCAAAATTACTTGAGACTTGTTAATGATGAAGCCTAACACAACAATCAAAACCAACGTGGTACAGAATGACATCTGCACTGGTGTGTTCACTGTCGCTTTACCATGCATCTTGTAACATAACAGATAACAACTCTCTCTGTGTTTCTTTGCAAAATACTAATGAGTCGCCAAATATACCTGGGACAACTTAAGTCTATGTGTGGGAAAAACTGAAGTATATAAAACAGGTTTTGAACTTGAGCAAGTGGTACATTTCTTCATAGCAACCTCTAATTTACACTTCCTACAAGTGGGGCTATCTAACCTTTGCTGAACAGTGACAACAACGCCGCAATTAGTCTTGAATTTTCCTTAATCTCTTCTGAGATTCTCTCTTAAGTCAGTTGCTTTAAACCTGCATTTTAAACGTGATTTTTTTGTTCGCCACTTGGGGGCAGTGAACAGGACATCTGATGTTATGGTGAAGGCGTTTGTAAACATTAAGTTACTTTTTTACTCCCAGCAGACATGAACAACATTAGCATTCATTTGGATTCGTGTCCACCTGATTAACGTAACCCCTCTCTCTGTTAGTTCTGCTTTGACCATCAACTCCTAAGGGAAATATCTGGTTCTTTAGCCATTACGTTCACCAGTTCGCCATTTATTTTGTCTGTCTGCTGTTTGGTACCAAGCAGATAATTTTCTCGTGATCTCCAGATAACTAAACAGTAGTTTACACAGTTAACACAGAGGTTGGCAAGATTGTTTCTTAGTGGTAATTTCAAGGTGTCACTGATTAGCTCAGTTGGTAAGGCACAGGACTCATAGTTTAAGTTTGTCTGTTATGAAGATGACTTATTCACATGCTCACAATTAATCACGAGCTGGATTCCCCATCATTTCCAGGCAGAGGAAATTCATCCGCTTCTCATTCAGGGGAATCCATTTAACTACACATTTCCTGACGTCAGGAAATGTGTGACTGGATTTCCCTGAATTTCTTCATACCAAATTTGTTGAAGAGAATGATTAAAAACACAAAGAAGAATAAAACCTTTGCAGAGAGCAGGGGTTGAACCTGCAACCCACAGGAATCAAGTCCTGGGCTCTACCAACTGACCTACCTACTGACTTGCCACAGAACTATCATAAAGAAACGCACCGGCCGACTCCTGTATTCAGCTATGGTTCGCTATCTTGAGATCACAAGATAATTATCCCATTATCACAGGAAAACAGAGTAAAACAAAATATTTGAATCGATGGCCGTTTAGGGCTTCTGTAATTAATATATATATATATATACATACTAATTTATTTGCTCAATGTCCCACCCACAGCAATATCTGATTGGTTACACATTGCGAACAATAGCCTATCAACAATGAGCAGCAGAGTTGTTGAAGAGAAGGCAGCCGAAGGTGCAATAAACATCAAAATCTAATGATCTCTTTCTATGATGACAAGCAGTGCAGTGTCCCTGTCACTGCTACGGGGTTTTCACTCAGTGACACTCTTGAAAGCGACGGCTTTTAAATCAGTCGCTCTCCCCTTACCCACTCACTGCGCTTAAACACGGCATGCATCCGTCTTCTCTGTCTTTTCACTGCAACTCTGCATCGTGATGTAACATTATATATTTATTAATATAAAAAGTAACAGTGGCAGTAAAACGTTTTCTCATACTGTGATGGTTAAACTTTGCAATCAATCCACAGTTCACCTGCACGCAGAACCATGCGGAGGTTTAATGACAAAAAAAATGTTTCAAAACATCCCCCCTCTGTTTTCTCACAAATCGCACCCTGTTATAGCCTCATAAACAGATAACATGGACAAAAAGAGAAACCATATGAGGATTTGCAAGTACAGCGCAAGGGGTGCGCGCACCACACTTTGGGAATTGCTGTTTCAGAGCTTTTCCACATAAAACAAGCTGCCTGCTGCTACTGGAAAGGAGGTTGGTGTAAAGTTGATTTACAATACAGTTGCAGGCTGGAAAACCAAAACAATAAGACATTAAATGCTTTATAGAACTGAGGGAAACTGCAGAGCTAGGTGATAATTATCTACAGTGGGTACGGAAAGTATTCAGACCCCTTTAAATTTTTCACTCTTTGTTTCATTGCAGCCATTTTCCAAAAATCCAAAAAGTTCATTTTATTTCTCAGTAATGTACACTCAGCACCCCATCTTGACAGAAAAAAACAGAAATGTAGAAATTTTTGCAAATTTATTAAAAAAGAAAAACTGAAATATCACATGGTCATAAGTATTCAGACCCTTTGCTGTGACACTCATATTTAACTCAGGTGCTGTCTATTTCTTCTGATCATCCTTGAGATGGTTCTACACCTTCATTTGAGTCCAGCTGTGTTTGATTATACTGACTGGACTTGATTAGGAAAGCCACACACCTGTCTATATAAGACCTTACAGCTCACAGTGCATGTCAGAGCAAATGAGAATCATGAGGTCAAAGGAACTGCCTGAAGAGCTCAGAGACAGAATTGTGGCAAGGCACAGATCTGGCCAAGGTTACAAAAAAATTTCTGCTGCACTTAAGGTTCCTAAGAGCACAGTGGCCTCCATAATCCTCAAATGGAAGACGTTTGGGACGACCAGAACCCTTCCTAGAGCTGGCCGTCCGGCCAAACTGAGCTATCGGGGGAGCCTTGGTGAGAGAGGTAAAGAAGAACATGCAACTTTAAAAACATTATCATTAGGTGACCTGACCTCAAGCAAGAAACAAAACTCCTAAGTGTACTGAACTAAGCAAGTGTTTGTTTTATTTCTTAGGAATCTTTCATCTGTAAGAGGAAGACTGTGGTATTTCGTCTTTAGAAAGCTACATATTCTCAGCCCATGTAGTAGACATTAAAGCTACATGAGGATTCTACTTTCTCTATTTTCACTTTATAAGGAAAGTGATACAACAGTAAGAGCCATTATTAACTAGTCCTGCAAATCAGTGTTCTTGGAATACAGGAAACTGGATTTGGGAGTTAAAAGAAAGAAAGTAAAATTGCTAGCTTTAGCCAATTACTTTGTACATATATAATTATGAATACACTATTAGTCAATACCTGCTCCAGCAGTCCAGAGAAGGCCGGTTTGCTGAGCGTCTCAAACAGCACTCTGACAGCGTTGAGGTCGATGCCTGGGATCTTTGGGTTGGTTTTGAAGTGGGTATCATCACTGTGCAAGCAAACAAACATCTGATTATGTGTACACTATGATGTTTCAGCGATCAGGTCAGGGACTTTGTGGTAAAGCCTCGATACGAAGGCACATGTTGCTTTGAACTAAACACAAGTCTATTCCTTCATGTGGCAGGTCAGCTGTGAATGGTAAACACACACACAGAGCAAGAGCAGCGGTTAGGTGGACACACAGCCTAAAGGTATGCAGATGTCATCATCAGCCTGGGAGCCGGGTAGCGAGAACAAACTGACAACCACGCCTACACAAATCTAACAAAACCCTTAGCATGAAGGTCAGAAACTATTTACAGTGTAAGCCTTCACATTCTTATAGCACAGCTTTTATTTAGCCATAACACAAATACATCAGATCTGATCTTGTGTTTGCCAAACAAAAAACACTGATGCGGACAGTCTTTAAGCTGAATCCCAATGAACCGTGAGCTCAGACGCACTTCATATTAAGAATTATGTGAGCTTAGAGAACCAAACAAGAAGTTCTTTGTCAAGTAACACTAATACAATGAAAATGACGGTATGTTTTAGGTCCCCAGCTACAGTTGCAGTCAGGGATGTACTGGGACTGAAATTCAGCCCGGGACTTTGAGACGGACTTTTATGTGAGCGTCCTTTTAAATATATTTTGCAGTTATTTTAATGCATATTAGTATTTTTGTTGTATACAGTGAATCAGATTACGCTGAAGACCTTCAAGAAACTTCAGGATGACACCTGCCTCTTCAGTTTGTAAGCAAGGCAGCTCTGCACTGAACAAGACCAGGTCAGGCAAGCCTGAGTCTGTTAGAGTACTATAATACTTACATATACTCAAAAACTACAACACATTCCCATAAAATACAGCAGCGTGTATGTGTGTGCATAAAAATCAAATCCCTAAGCTTCAGCTCTGAGTAGGCCTCTCTCTGGCTCAGCTTCCCCTGTGCTGGACCCTGACTCTGCTTTTACTGATTGTACAGCTACATATGCACAAGAAGAACATCAGTAATAAATATGACTTGCAATAATCCATTCTCTAATTATAAAAACACACTGTCCCTGTACCCGTCACTGTTTTATCAGGTTCTATTTACCTTCTCCTCCTGCTGATTCTCTTCCCTGACCTCCTCCTTCTCCTCCTGCTGCTCCTCATCTTTCTTCTCTCCCTCCTCATCAACATGACTGGGGTCATCATCACCCTGTCCCTCTGCATCACCTCCACTGACCTCAACAGCTAATGTACATGACATACAGAGATTCCTCGGTTAATTTTTAACATTTTTTCTTCTTAATTCTTATTTTTTCGGCATCAAACATTTCTTTTTCCTCCTTCACTATCTTCTCCACATTTAGGCTACTGTCTCTGTTGAGCTTATCACACTACCCAGCGCTGACTTCAGCCCCGAAAAAACGTTTGGAGATGAAACTCGCTCCAGATGGAAAGTAAAATGAAGATCGGTCCAAGTTGGGAGGGGCAGCTTGCACACCCCCTTCCATATTGAAAGTATTGGTTTGGCCCAGTCAGACACACAGACAGAGTTCGCTGCAACAGACCGGCCAGCCGGCGCGTTCGCAGATCATAAAGTAAAACAGAAACTGAAAAATAAAAACTCCTGACCCCTGGCTGGTTTGGCCTGAAATAGGCCGGCCGTTCAGGAGCAATCCCATTGGCCAGTCCGCCCCTGGTTGCAGTTTTTTCAGCAGACAGTAGAGCATGAAGTACTTCACGTTGTCTCCAAAGGTCTGTTTTCCACCCTGATGGCCTGCATAGTTCCTTCCCTGGACATGATAAGTATCTGCTGAGGAGTCTGTACTAAAAAGCCATCAAACCAACACTCAGCCTGATGGTCAGAGAAATTTGGAGTCTCACAGATGTCTGTGACCAAACAGATACCATCTTTCTCAGCCCCGACCATCAGCACGTTTTATTGGATAAGATGACATATCATAATAAAGTGAGTGGACCCTGTGAGGTCCCTGCAAAATCAGTTCCCAGGAGTCTTAGTTTACACATGAGTCTGTGTATTCAGGCACTGCATAAAATGCATTTTTTTTCTATTTCATTTGGGTGCGCATGCCTAAAACAAACTACTCACTGTATGATTAAAACTAAAATGTGAATGACTCGTCGTAGTGACTTGCTATTTGCTAAAGCATGAGGAGAGGTTCAGTGGGGTTTTGATGTCAAGCATGACGGCAGTTTGTAGCGTTGGTTACCTGTATTGACGGAACACACACATAAAGGGCTTCACTTCAGGGTTATTCATGGCTCAGAATGGGCCTTTAGGGGGTGACTTCGCACGACAGTAAGCATGATGGGTATGCGTTCAGTAAAGGCAATGACTTACCTAATGACCGAAATCTATGCATTTTCTTGTTATTTCTGACCATTTCATAAAAAAAATTATATATATATATATATATATATATATAAAGTATAATGTTAGTATAATATATATTTACATGTTACACTTTATTTGGATTGATGATGATGGGTAACAAAAATAAAAACTGTGAATACAGAACGACAAGTTAAACATTTCTAAAGTTTGCTGTAGTGCCTCAACCTTTTTTTAATGTTCTGCTTACTCCAGGCTGTGATTTGTTGGTTAATGAAAAGTGACTTTGACGAGGCACTACACACACGGCTGCATGAAAGGTTCCGATCTCCCTGCGGAGATTGGCAGGCAGGTGAGAACGGGAACGGGTGAGCATCACGTAGTGCCCAGAGAAGCTGATTTAGAGAGGGCAGAGGAGTGAACTGGTGCCGGTATGCCAAACAGTAAAATGTAAGAGTGACTACCAGCACATTCAAGCATAAACGGCTTTAATATTGTGAGAAATAACAGGAAGTCATTAGCGCAAGCTTTGTAACGGAGTGTTTTATCCCTTATATTTTATTCTATTTTACTAATTTTATATTTATCTTAAACGCGTATTTTAGTCTGTTCAATGTTTTCTTGCTTTTATCTTGTATTGTTTTTGTATTATTGTCTTTTGGGTATTATTGTCTTTACACTTGTTAAAGCACTTTGTAACTTGTTTTTGAAAGGTGCTCTACAAATAAAGATTATTATTATTATTATTATTATTATTATTCTTCAGGCACAGTTACACCATACAGTCTATGAGTTAAACCAACGCAGCAGCTGTTTTATAAATCCAGCGCTAGCTGCATGTGTAAAATACAGTGGCTGTTGATGAGAGGAGAGGTGACTGCTGGAAGACAAGACGTTGTAAGTTTTATGTTCTGCTTGCTCAACAGTTGTTTGATAAATGGCTATTAAAACACATTCGCAGAGGATTAGAAAGGTTGTTTTTTTTTTCAATTCTGATCATTTTGGCGCAGAGGATTTTCCTTTGGCGCTCGCTAAAACGAGAGTTACGAATGTAACTATGGTTCTATGAATTCTGGATGACTCCTGCATTAGCACTGGATGTCTCCATCTTGCATTTGCGCAGGTCGAGTAATTATACCAACAAAGTCACCTGTGACCATTCGATGACGTAGGGCGCACGCCCCAGTATAAAACCCTCACATCATCACATCTGTTCCTACAGAATCTTCTCGCCCAGATTCCGAGTGACAGACAACTCTGGCGGTCATCCAGAATTCATAGAACCATAGTTACATTTGTAACTCTCGTTCTATTTCATTCTTCCTGACTGCGGTGCTTTAGCACTGGATGACTTATACCAGTAAGGTCACGAGGAATGCTTACCGTGCTATGGAGTGGAAGCAGTTGACAGGACAGCTGCTGCCACCGCGTGGGGAGCAGCCACATTTACCCGGTAATAGCGAGCAAAGGTACATGAAGACTCCCAGACCCCTCTCAGGGCTGCCCAGGATGTGGACACACTCCAAGTAGAGTCACACCTAACCTTCCTAGGTGCCGGCAGGCCTTGCGACCTATAAGCATGCAGAATCACATCCACAATCCAACTGGAAAGTTTCACCCTTTCTACAACCCCCATTGCATACAAAAAGGTTGTCAGACTTTTAAGTACCTCAGCAGTGGCCTCCACATAAGCCTTTAGGGCCCGAACTGGTCACAGTAGCTGTGACAGCTCTTCTGCGCCTTCAGATGAGCCGGGTGGACTGAATGCAGCCAACTCGATGGTTTACATGCGAGGAAGGTCCCCGCTTTGACAGGAAGTACAGATTCGGTAGGAGAGTAACTCCTGACCCATCTGGGTACCAACGCAGGCACCTCGGGCTCACTGATAGGGCATGCAGTTCTCCCACTCGCTTTGCTGATGTGACAGCAAGCAGAAATGCTGTCTTAGCAGACAACCACCTCAACTCTGTCTGTCCTAGTGGTTCAAATGGGGGTAGACCCAAGAATCTCAAAATCTCAAAAAGTCCCATGGTGGCACTACAGTGACGCCTGATGGTCTAAACCTCTGCGCGCCCTTCAAGAACTGACTAACCAGATAGTGTGACCCCACTGTGCGGTTGTCCACTCTCACGTGCCCCGCTGAAATGGCAGCTTCATACACTTTCAATGTCGAGGTGCACCTGCTGCCGTCCAACAACGACTGCAGGAAACACAGAATGCTGGTGACTGAGCAGTTCTCCGGTACCTCACCCTTTTCCGTGCACCACCGGGAAAAAAAGCTTCCACCGATTAGCATACAGTGACTGAGTGGAGGGAGACTTTGAACTTAACAGTGCGGATCACTGACTGGTCACAAGATGCCAGGAGTGGGTCCTGGCTTCCAACGGCCAGACACACAGCTGAAGGTGGTCCGGATTCGGATGCCATATGCGTCCCCCCAGCTGAGAGAGAAGGTCCGGTCTCTTTGGGAGGCGCCATAGCTCCCCACTGAGCAACCTCAGAACCACTGGCAACCATGGCCTCCCCGGCCAGTTGGGGGCCACTAGCAGCAGTTTGTGGCCTCTCTGTCGGACCCTCTCCAGCGTCACCCAAATGAGTGGAATTGGAGGGGGATGTAAAGACAGAAGACCCAGAGGGATGCCAGCAAACCACTGCCTGGCTTGATCTGCTGAGCCGCTGGTCCAAACATTTGACCCGGCACCACAGGAAGGGAACAAAGGGTGCGACAACACCCCTCGGACAGAGGGGACTGCGCCAGCCATACCTGGCACTGTTGACATCAACCTTCCAAGCTCCCTAGACATAAATGCAAAGGCCTGAAGGGATGCATCACTAAGAGTCTGGGCTGAGGAGCCCACACCAGAGCCCTGCAGGGTCTGAGACAGAGCCAGGATGAGATGAGAAAAGGAATTACCAATACAGCCCATGCGTGCCGCTATGCTATAACTGCTTGCGAGGAGATCATCAGTCAGTCTACACTGAGAACGAGGGCAACACGCATCCTGTCTGAGAGCCTCATCAGGTGACACAATCAATGACGCAATGGTAGGCTCGACTGGGGCTATACGGTCTAAACGATAGTTATCTGCATCCTGCATGGCAGCCAAGTTCCTGCAATCACTGGTGTGATGAGAGAGTAACTTGGGGTCTGACCAGCATCTTTGGAGCTCTTCAATATAGGGCTTAGAAGGAGGGACTGAGAAGGCAGAGGGCTGCGGCATCTGCCTGAAAAAAGCACATGAAGGTGCTGGCACGCTAAAGCCATGCGAATCAGGTTTCAAGGCTAAAAGCGACGAGCCGAATTGACCTGTGTTGTTTCCATAGACAGTATATTACTAGACAAAGCCACCCTGTTGATTTGAATGGAGAGCAGTGAAGACAGACAATAATACTACTACAGGACTACTTCCTGTTGGCACCAGCGTCTACTGAGCATGGTCGCGCAGCATAACTGTGGTTTAATGACGTAGAATGGCAGAAACACCGTAATTTAGCTGCATAACTGCGCCAAAAAAAAGTCTCATGGTTCTGTGTGTTTGTCTGACTCCACCTACGAGGCTCACCTTTCAAACACCAATGCAGCGTCACTGATCGCCGAATAGTTTTTTTTAGATTGCCGAGAGCTTATAATCACAGGTGTCACAGGGTTTTGATGCCATTTTTGGGCCTACATGGATCCCTCAATGCAGGCTTTGGTCGGCTTCACTGTCCGATCTCTGGCTTACCCCCTTGGTTGTTTCCTCAATGCGAGAAGATTGAATGAACAGATTGCGTGATGATGTTAGGGTTTTATACTGGGGTGTGTGCCCTACGTCATCACATGGTCACAGGTGACTTTGTTGGTATAATAATAATATAATAATAATAATAATAATAATAAATTTTATTTATAGGCGCCTTTCTGAACACTCAAGGTCACCTTACAAAACATAATAAAACAGTACAGCAATAATCGATAAAATTAACAACTACAATTACAGTGCATAAAATCAGGGTACATAGAATGAAATAGAACCTCTTTGGGGGGCGCCAAAAGTGCAGGAAAAGCCCTGCACTTGCTCTTCTAGACAGCAGGTGTGTGTTTCATCTACAGTGCAATGTACACTTACCTACCTAACCAGCTTGGGGCATGATATCACCTCTTTATTTGTTCAGTCTGTACTAACAGTACTATTTTTTATGCTTCATCCTTTCACCATTTGATCCGTTAAAGGTCAATTTCACCAGGGTCACAAGATAAATCTGACGGGGTTGTGAGATAATAATGGGAAAGGAAAGAAGAAAAAAGTCCTTTTGCAACAGACTTTTTGTCTAATCTTTGCTTTTTATTTAGCAGTTATTTAAATGAAATGTGTCTTTGGATGAACTGCTAAGAACTCACATCTGAAATGTGGCAAAGGGCGCCCCAACTGGACAGACACCGCTTTATATTAAAGGGTACACGAGCAAAAAAGGTCAGGAACCACTGGTTTAATATTTAAAAATGCAGTGTATTTTTCATATCTGTTTTATGAAAAATCTTAACCTAAAAAGATTCACTCAAAAATTGTACTAAAGTACAGTACTTGAGTTGAGTACTTAAAACCTTTACATTATGTAAACATGGAGTTTACATACCTTTGGTCCAAGAAGCTGGCGTTCCAACAAGCCGTGGAGGAGAGATGAATTACAATGTCACTGCGCACAAAAACATAAAGACAGAGTTAAAAGACCATTAATACTAAACATCTACAAGATATACTATACAATCCAATCAATTCCAAATAACAACTTTTATTTTTTTACTTACTTTGTGACACTAGAATCTGGGCTGTACATCAGCTTTAACCTCCATGAATTTAATCTTTCATAGTTGATTGGGGAGAGTGATTTACTGACATTAATCACTCTGAAGTCTTCTGGGGGGACAAAACTCTGCAGAGAGGAAGATAAACACAGACACCATAACTGCACTGTCACAAACATTTAGAAGATTGTTTGCACTGGAACTTCCACAGTGTTTGTGACAACAGTCCAGCACTGGGCTTCAGTGTGGGTTGTGTCAATTTCCTCCATCAAGATAAAATAAACAGGCCACGCCTGAGGTCTAAATATTTTGCTGTAGAGGCTAAATGTGTGTTATGTCTACCAGTGCACATTCCTGACTCCATATACAGTTTAGCTCCAATATAAGAACTGGTAAACACTTAGACATTAATGCCACCCTGTGGTGAAACACTGAAACTAATTAAAACTGAAAGCATCAACAAAAGAAAGGTCATTTTGAGTGTCCATCCATTCATCCACTCTCTATTACCGTTTATCCCTTGCAGGGCCGTGGGGTGCTGTAACCTGTTCATAGCCTGTAACTACCTGTATCAATAGACATTCATGTAGACATATATTTATATTTATACATCATTCATACCTTGCACTTTGTATATTAATGTATCATATTCTATTTAATTACTATTTAAGCACTTCAGGTTAGATTAGCTGCATTTCGTTGCGTTGTACCAGTGACATGTGCAATGACAATAAAGTTGAATCTAATCTAATCTAATCTAATCTAATCTAATCTAATCTAATCTTACTGATCCTAGCTAACACTGGGCGAGAGGCGGGATACACCCCAGATAGGCTGTCATCACAACGCTGACACACAAACAACCATTCACACTCACATTCACTCATTTGGGGTGTCTGTTTTTTTAGCTGTGTATATCGCTATTGTTTCAATCAGCTATTTTTTATGTTGTTATTATGATTATGTTAAGGTTTGTGTTGAGGGTAGTCAAGTAGTGCTGAACGGAACTTACCAAAATATAACAACAACAAGCTGTAACTATCTTTAGAGAGAAGGTCACACAAAATCAAATCACATACCTGTTCATTTGAATACAATAAGAAACTATGGTCTCCTCCACAGATGATTTTGGTCACTGTATATTGTTTTGACCCTAATAAAGAAAGGAAAGAGAAACACCACGTTAGCTGGACAACATTTTAACAGTTAATCAAATAGTTACTTAGAGTATAGATATTGTAGATTATAGATCCAATAGATTATATAATCAGCAAACACTTTGACATCACATGATGAACGCTGATTATTCCAGTACCACAGACTACAGTGGAGTTATATCGCTTTTCTCATGACTTTTATTGCAGTTTATTAATTATTAATTATAATTAATAATTAATTATCGCCTTTCATCCTTTGTTATGCCTCTGTACATCAGCTCTGTCACACCCAGTGAAGTTGTTACTAGCTGACAACACTATTAATGCCTTCTAACTAGTAAGCAAGTCAGAAAAGTTTATTTAGTAGAGCACCTTTCACAGATCAAAGTGACAAAGAATAAACCGATTAAAAATAAAACCCTTAAGTAGTAAAACAAACAACAGTAAAATATAGGCAGCAACAGACCTTAAAAACTTATTACAAACACTAGATGGCATGAGGCAAGGCCAGTTTGATGGCACAAGTCTTTAGCTGCTTTTTTAAAGGCTTCATCAGAGATCGCAGAACTTATGTCTATAGTAAGAGCGTTCAACAGTGTCATATCCACCACTTTAAAGACACAATCACATGTTTCCTTGTACATCAAACACAAGGACTGACCAGTAAGCCCTGGTCACACAACCTAAGTGAGCTACTGGTGATTTAAGGGTGGAGTAGGTGAGAGATGTACACAGCTGCCTCACCATGCTGAGCTATATATGTGAAATCAAGAACCTTGAAATTAACCTTGAACCTGAGTGGAAGCCAATGTAGAGGAGATAACATGTGAGTTGACCTGCTGGACCTGGTCAAAAGCCTTGCAGCAGCGTTCTGGACCATTTGCAGATGGTCCAGGGACGACTTGCTGAGGCAGGTGAAAAGGGAATTGCAGTGGTCTAGCTGGGATGATATAAAAGCGTGAATAGACATTTGTAACTCGGGGTTAGGGTTAGCCTGGGTTTAGCAATGTTTCTTAAATCGAAGAAAGATGTACAAATCAATAATGTGATTTGTTAGACGAAGTACATAGATAGATCAAACATAACACCAAGACTTCTAAGATTAGATTGTACTGCTGAAGAAAGGGACCCGAAAAAAACTGAGCAACCATGGAAGCCATCCTATTAGAAGCAACAATAAGGACCTCAGTATTATCTGCGTTGAGCTGTAAGAAGTTGTTAGCCCTCCAGTTCTTAATCGCAGTCAGACAATTGTGCAGAACAGTCGGATTGTCAGTCTCACCAGGCTTAAGAGAGACATATAATGGGTGAATGTAAATCTGCAATAAAAATGTCACCTACTTAGCTAATCTTTCATGTTATTTTATACTTTCTTGTTTTCTTTTGTCAAGATCCTATTGCTTTTAGTTCCTAGAAAATAGGGAAAGCACACCTAAACACATATGAATGAAAAGTGTTGTAAGTAGAAGCCAGGTATTTCACATGGCTGATTTAAGCAACAATCATATATACTAAAGTACCTGTTCCGTGGATATTTCCAGTCAGGAAACCAGCCTTGACAGGAAATGGGCTTCTGGCATCTCCCAACATTCCTGTGCCCAGCTGGCCATGGCTATTACAACCAAACGCATATACCACACCAGAGGAAGGCACAAACGCCAACGTGTGACGCCTGACAAAAAGAAAAATTGAAACAGAAAAGTGTCTGACTTCACAGTAACTCCAATGCTGAGGCTGTTAATGGAGGCGTTGCATTCAATCGCATTTTTGTCAGAGGCGTTAGTATTATTGTGTCTCCCTTATGTACAATATGTAAAATCAGAATCAGAATCAGAAGGAGCTTTATTGCCAAGTACTGTTTTACACAAACGAGGAATTTGGTTTGGTGATAAGGTGCTACGTGCAGACAAACATACAGTTGACATAAATAAATGTAGAAATATATAAATACGGAATAAACAAATGCAAGTTGTACAAGAATAATTAAAGAATAGAGAAATATAATACAACTATTTGCGGAGAAGGAACAATGTGGCAGATATTTACATGTGCATTACTCCAGTCTATGATGTGCAGACGTATTGCAAGGGAAGAGAATAGTGTGAACATATATATAAAAATTGACAAAATATAATAATATAGAACAACGATTAACAATTAACAACAAATATGTGCAATGTGCCAGGTTTGTGCATGATATATAATGAAGTAAAATTTAGATGTGCAGAGACATTTGTATTATTTGTCCTGATGGGCCACAGCCTCTTGCCAGAGGGGAGAGTCTGAAACAGTTTGTGTCCAGGGTGGGAGGGGTCAGCTACAATCCTTCCTGCTCGCCTCAGAGTCCTGGAGGCGTACAGGTCCTGAAGAGAAGGAAGATTGTAGCCAATCAAAAATTCTCTGCAGAGCAAATGATACGCTGCAGCCTACCCTTGTCCCTGGCGGTGGCAGCAGCGTACCAGATGGTGATGGAGGAAGTGAGTATGGACTCAATGATGGCGGTGTAGAAGTGCACCATCATTGTCTTTAGCAGGAACTACATCCTCGGCTGGGCCTTTTGGTGAGGGAGGTGATGTTCAGGTCCCACTTGAGGTCCTGGGAGATAATGTTGCCCAGAAAACGGAAGGAGTCCACAGTGGTGACGGGGGAGTCACACAGGCCACGACCATCTCCATTGTCTTAAGAGTGTTGAGCTCCAGACTGTTCTGGCTGCACCAGGTCACCAATTGGTCAATCTCCCACCTGTAGGCGGACTCATCCCCACCAGAGATGAACCCACTGAGGGTGGGGTCATCTGCAAACTTCAGGAGCTTGACAGACTGGTGACTGGAGGTGCAGCTGTTGGTGTACAGGGAAAAGAGCAGGGGGGGAAAAAACACAGCCTTGAGGGGAACCGGTGCTGATGGTCCTGGAATCAGAGACATGTTCCCAGCTTCACATGCTGCTTCCTGTCCGTCAGGAAGTCAATGATCCACCTGCAGGTGGGGTCAGGCACGTTCAGCTGAGAGAGCTTGTCCTGCAGTAGGGCCGGGATGATGGTGTTGAAAGCAGAGCTGAAATCCACAAACAGGATCCTGGCGTAGGTTCCTGGGGAGTCCAGGTGCTGGAGGATGAAGTGAAGGGCCATGTTTACTGCATCACCTACAGACCTGTTGGCTCTGTTGGCGAACTGCAGGGAGTCCAGGAGTGGGTCTGTGATGGATTTTAGGTGGGACAACACAAGGCGCTCAAAAGACTTCATTACCACAGAGGTCAGGGCGACGGTCTGTAGTCATTTAGTCCTGTGGTCCTTGGTTTCTTGGAGACAGGGATGATGGTTGAGGCTTTCAAGCCGGCTGGCATGTCTCCAGTGAGGTGTTAAAAATGTCTGTGAACACCAGTGTGTATACATCTAAGCCAAGTAGGTTAGCTGCAGCATTGATTTCTACTTCAGCTGCCCAGATATCATCAGATTGTATTCTGAACTTGTTTATATAATCCTTCAAAGATGTGTACTGCCTGTCAATCAATGTGCTGAACAACAACACACTGCACTCCATGTGTTTCATGATAGCAGGCCTAAAGTTATGATGAAAATATTGGTTTCCACACACAACGTGTGATATAGCTCGAAAAAGCAGTTTCTATCAGCATCAATTTTGTCTGTTGTGTACGTTTCACCCTATGAACCTAATGATCTGAAGTTAAAAACATGCAGTACCTGCCACAGGTGATCTGGGACACCTCAGTGCCCATGAGCTCCAGCACTCGTCTGGGTAAAAGTTCGTCATTGGTGGAGCCATGGCCCAGCTGACCCCACGAGCCATCACCAAATGTAAACAAGCCGCCATCCTGCCAGAGACACAATACAGAATTCCTTTTTTGTTGTTTTAGACAGAGTTTCTTAGCATAGTAGTGCAGTCAGAACTAAAGTACTGTTTTTCCCCATGACCACAAGTAAAACCCACGTGTCCTGTGGTGGATTAAGATTAGTCAGGGTTGGGCAGTTTGGCTGGAATAGGATATCAGATTTTATCTGTGCAATGAAGGTCAACTTTGCAAAGGAATTTTCCTCCGGGACCTAAGTGGGTAAAGGTAGTAGGTCCAGGTTATACACATGTCCCAGACATGGAAACAGAACTACTCTCTCTAGTTCACACTGAAGTATTTCCCTGTGGGTGCATAATGACAACTGGGTAGGTCGTTGCCTAGTCCACCAAGGACAAGATATATGGTGATCTGCTTCAGTCTTAGATGTTTACAGTCTCATATTAGAATGTAATACATGTGGACTCCTAATTCCAACATGACCTAGGTAAAGCACTAGAGTTCAGTTTGGTTTTGACACTACATAGTGTTATCACTTTGTACTGCTGTTGGCATTTTTCTTCTTAGCCGAGCTTCATTTAACAATGCTATGTAAGACATACCAAGTTTCCTGAAACCTTCATCTTCAATGAGGGTTGACCAGTTCACAAGAACTTTCTTTCACAACCTTGGTTGATGCTTTAGTAGTGAGTCACTATAAAGCTAGAATACTGATACCAAACTGGACTATTTAACAGTTGGTGGCGGAAGGAAGTGAAAATTACTGCTGTTGGAGGGGGGTTTATCTACATTCATACCTTGGTGAGGGCTGCTGTATGTTCTTCTCCACAACTGATGTGAACAACCTTCTGCGATCTCAAAAATTTGATGTGGCATGGGACAGCACGGTCTGAGGAAGGGAACACAAACAAGAAAGGAAGATCACACTGTTCCCCAGTGCTACTAGTGTCATGTTTTTACAAATGAGTGGTAAGACATGGCAACCTCTGCATTTGAATCTAGTATTGTGGTGGCAATAAATCACTAACTTTGCTTTCCAATAGGTATTTGTAGGTTATCATGACAAGACAAAAGACATTTTGCGTGAAATGTTCCTATAGTAGTCTCTCCCACAATATGGCCACCTAGAAACATTTTTAACACACAGCGCTAAATAAAGTAGAACAGTATGGTATCATTGTTCCACAGAGACTTGTTTACAATTTCCAGTAATATGACATATGTATACTGTATTTTCCATATAGGAACACTTCAATTAAAGATAGTCAGAACAACACTGTGTAGGTCATTGTATCTGTTGTTCATCTGTTGTGTTTGTTTATTTTCCTTATTAATAATTTACTATGTATTTAGCTATAAATAAATGCCCTTATTTATTCATTAGGAAGTGATTAATTACTCCAGTTTAAGGTTCCCTGTTTTCCATAAATGTGGTGGTGCCCCTTTGAACAAGTTTTATTAAAGTAGTTATTTGGCACAACTGTAAGTGAATTGTATTAAATCTACGCATGTATTATGTGTATATTATTACCTTGTTTATCATTGAGACCCAGCTGTCCAGCTTTGTTCTTGCCCCAACCAAATACAGCTCCGGACAAGGAGAGAGCGAAGCTGTGGTCTCCCCCGGCGGTTATCTGTGCCAAAGGAATTCCCGCCAGAGACTTCAGGGGATGAGGGAACAGCTTGCTAGGCTCTCCTTTCCCCAGACCGAGCTGACCGCTGGTGTTCTGGCCCCACGTGAACAGCTGGCCATCTGAGAGGAAACAGACAGAGAAGCAAACTAGTTAACTGTACATCTACACCAATTACCAATTACTGCCTGTACAGGCAAATATGCAACATTTTGCAAGCGCTGTTCTAACCGCATTCCTTAATGTCATTTCACTTTGATATCACTGATGTTGTTATTGTTGAATGTGATGTGTGGATGGGCAGCAGGGTTGTAAAAATGAACATTAAATAGCGGCCGTATGAAGCGTCTCCCCAGTGACACTGTGCCCATTTACGCATGAGCCACAGCAACATAAATTAAGAATAAAAAATCTCCCGACACGCCGACTGGATCGGTCAAGATCTGATGTTAATTCCTGAGCTCCATCAGGGTGGATGATTTGTGCGTATAGCCTATATAAGTTCCGTTAATGTCTGAGCCGATCCGCATATCACACCAATTCAGCTGCTATAATCGTGACAAAACAGCTGCTGAAGTCAAATTATTAGGCTGTAATATCAACCAGAGCATTCAGCACTGATCTGTTTCATGTTTTAATAGCCTAATAGTGCCCATGTAGTCTGCACGTAATTACAACAGTAGAGTCCTGTGATGACAGCTGTAATTGGGACTATATGAGATAAATGTTACTGTGTCATTTTGTAAAGGGTGCTGTAATCTGACTGTTTAACAGATGCTATTAATGTTTATTGGAACCTCGAGATGTTTATACGTGTTATAATGTTAAGAGACATGTTTCTGGATTGTGAAGAAATGATCTGAAGCCTTTAGTGCCAAAAGCTGGTCTGCTGCTCTGACAGAGATCACAGCTCAAAGCTGTGCAACAGGTCATATTTAAATGACGTCGCTTTAAAATGACGGCTCCGAGGAAAGGACATCTCATTTTGTTAAATGCCCGTTTCCTCGACTCCTCTCTCCTCGCATCTCTTCCTTGACTCCTCAAGCTCGCATCTCGGGTGGGTGCGACTAACATGTCTAGAGTCGATGAGGTGAAAATTTGGGAAATGAGAAAGGCCCTCAGACTAGTGACACCTGTGTGTAATTAGTTTCTCCCCCACCTGTGTATTGAAGTGGTTGTCTGTCTTTCAGTGGTTGCCAGTTGTTTGTTTGAATGTAAGCTTCTTTCGACGGGAGGCTCTGTGTGTTTCTAGTTTAGTCTCTAGTTAGTCTCCTGTTAAGTTTCATGTCTCCCTGTTTCTTGTGGAATACTATTTCGCTTGGATTTTTGGACTTTGTTTTTACCTGCACTGTAAGTTTCACCGTTTGTGCAATAAATCACAGTAATCATCAGTACCATCTCTGTGTCTGCATTTGGGTCCACAAACTCTGTCTCCTGCGTTCAGCCCTGCCGGCTGAACGTAACATTAGTGTTCATAAGCTGATATAATTTCTTTCAATGTGCCTTTTTGTGGTGATTAAAAAAATATTTGATTATGAACTAATTACAGCTTGTACAGTATTTTTGTGGGGCATGTTTGCTTGACTGACAGGTGCCTCAGCCTAGCCCTGAACAGTGCTGCTGTGCAATGAAGAGACTGTGTCTTTCCCACCTCTAGATAGTGCAATGCAGTGCTGATTCCCACACATTACTTGAGAGATCCGGTGGTCACACAGCCTTTTGACCAACCTAGAAAAAAACAAACATTTGTTTATCAGGACCAACAAATTTACGTAAATATAATAGAGGACAAACAACATAACATAAAAATTTTTAACTTTTCTCAAACAAACAAAAAAAATGTGTGACTAAGCTACTCAGTACTCAATCTAAGATTGCAAGTAAACCACAAATTACAGTAAATCCCATGTTTTCATCTTTTTATCAGCTAAGGTGCCATTTAATGCACCATGGTATCGGAGCTCAAAGATTGTCTTTGCCTTAAAGGTGGGGTATGCAATTCTAGAGAAATCCAATACATGATAAATACCATGATATAAAGTGAACAAGCTAAGTTGTGGGTTAGTAAACTGCTGCTGCGAAGCTAACATGCAGAGAGAACAAGACGGTTTCCCAGAGCCAGCACACCAGCTCCAGACAGCGATGCTCAACTCTCCTGCTACTATTGCTAACATCACAACATCAGCATATCTTGGCAAACTACAATGTAAGCTCAATGTCCATATGCAAGTCATTTAACATTACCTGACACACAAATCATGGCTGGAATAGTGTTGTGTGGCTCAATTTAAGCCACTTTGTTTGTTTCCCGATTACAGAGCCAGGGCTGTGTACAAACACACTGAACAGACAGCTAGTGGACCGTGAGGAGATATTCCCTGAATTGACATAAAGACGTGTATTGGATTACAACCGTATACCCAAACTTTAAATTAGTCTGTCATATTAAACTGAACTATAAGTACAGCCCTAAGACTACTTTACAATCATGAAGGTTTCACGATCCTACAGCAGGTAATTCACTGCATCTGAATAGTTAAACTACATTACACTCTAATTTTATGGGAACAGAAATAATTCTCATCATTATTTTGGATGCGTGAGTCCCTACAAATCGTCTGTTTTGACTGCTTGAGTACTGTTATGTAGTGCTCATGTCCCAACCTCCAATCTCTTCAAAGTCATTTTCTTGTAGTGTTTTTATCTCCTTTCAGGCTAAAAGATGAAATCGTTCCTTTATTGATGCCCCATAGGGCAAATTCAAAATGGCACAGCGGAATGTAAAAAGAAAGAACAAAATATAATAAGTTGAATCCGTAAACATCAGAATCAAGTCTATAAAATATATACACAATCAAAACAGAATCTGAAGAAGCTTGAATTCCTGTAAGGTGTGCTACTCAGTCACCTTGGGATTCGAACAGCCGCCTCTGCAGTCCCCAGGCCGAGCTGGCCCCCTTCACCAGCTCCCCAGGAAAACACTTGACCGTGCTCATTAACCGCCAGAGAATGGGCCCGACCACACGACACCATTGTGATCGTCTGAGTATCCAGAGCTCCCACTGGCTCTGTGGAGAGGAGGAAGAGCTCGTCAGACGTCTGCAGTTTCATGCCAAAAACACAAGTATGTACAGCCTTGATTTGAGAGTGCAGGTGCTGTAGATACTCCTTTCACAAATGGCATTATGGTCCCTTTAACTTTTCTGTTACGCACATGTCATACCAAGTGTAATATTCTGCTTATCAAAACTAAAATAATGTATGTTTCAGCTAGAGAATCCAAATGGTAACTTTCTTACTTTATCTAATCCTTCTGACAGCAAAAACAGGCATGTGCTGAATGTAATAACATAATAACACCTGAGATACAGAAGCTAGGAACGTATAATAATGTTACATACACAGAAAGAAATCTGAGTCATCCATACTTTCGACTGCACTGTGAAAATGGGTTTGTCTCCATCCAGTATGTCTCCTGCTGTTAATCTGGTTTATCATACAGTTAACTTGGTTAATGCTACAATTCCTTAGAAAAAGAACAAATACACAAATGTGTATGTGTTTTCAATTGAGCTTTAACTATAGTATGGCATTTAATCAGCAATCTTTATTTTGTAGGCTCATAAAAAAGTTATATTCATCTAACTAAACATACCTGATGAAGGCCTACTAATTAAAACATTATTAAATAAATTAATTACGGGTACTTATACAGTGTGTGGGATGTCATCAAGGCAGTTTCCAGACTGCATACTTGTCACCAAGGATTTTTATGTGTGAAAAAACTTGTCAAGGTCAATGTATTTGCTTGAGGAGTCGTGATTACATTTAATTATTAAAGCTTCACAATGGAGATAGACTGGTCTTAATATTATTTGTGAGAACAGATCAACAATCTTTGTGTAAAAAACACTTTCCAATATTTATGATCTCACAAAAAAGAAAATGGGTATGTGGCTAGTCATGCAATCTATTGTTCCCACTCAGAAATGGAGACACTTTGACAAAAACGTGTAGGCCTATTTATGATACTCTCTATTATACCAAGCAGGAAGCTTCCGGTCAGCAAACTGACGCGAACACGGAAGTCCCTTAAACCTGCATTCTATCGAACGGCCAGCAGGGGGCGACTCTTGTGGTTGCAAAAAGAAGTACGGTCCTATTAGAAATAATGGTAAAATGACTCTAATTCTCAGCTGATTTATTACCCCAGTAAACAAAGTAGACCATAAAGCAGAGTATGCTTCAGGGCGGGATTATCTGTGATTGACAAGTCGTTACTATGGCAACCTGTCAGTCAGGCTAGAGTGACTCGTACCTACGGCACTGTGTAAATTTAACCAGCGCCGTTGAAAAGCTTATTAGGAGTTGGCTTTTCACTCTCTCTGGTGAGTACATTTAGTTTTAAAATTGTTTAAAACTGTTCTCTAGACAAAATTGTCAGCCCTGTTAAAATGACAGTTGAACACGAATTACAGATGCACCTAGCTAAGCAAGCCAATTAGCTCCACACACGGCTGTTAGCTCCACGGTCTCGTCCAAATATGGTCACATCCGGTGCTGCTGGTTGCAAAAAATCAACATGGCGGCGCCAAAATTTTAAGACATACAGTACAAAAGACATTTCACTGCATTTTCGGAAGGCACTTTCAGTTTTACATAAAGATACGGTGTTTGAGATACGAATAAAAAAAGGTTTAGACGTTAAGTCCAATGTGTAATTTCTAACATCAACGTTCGCTGTACAGAAACAAGCCATGCTAACAGCTGAACTTAGGCACAGTATTACTTTGTGCTAAATGCTAACATCATCAGGCTAACAAGCTCAAGGGAATGTCATTAGTTCTGCAGCTATTTGGTCAAACAATGAACACCTGCACCAAATGTCATGGCAATTCATCCAGTTGTCAACATATTTCACTAAAAACAAAAACGTCAACCTCATGGTGGCACTAAAGGAACTCACAGATCACCAAAGTCAGTAGGATTCATCCTGTGGGATCCATGAATGTCTGTCCAACATTTCATTGGAATCCATCTAATAGTTGTCAAGATATTTTAATATATCTTGACATATTTCAGCCTTTGGAAACACACCATGTTATCTTCACCCGCATTTTCACCTGCTAGGTAACTTTCCATACACCTAGGGAAAGCTTTTTGGTGCAACGACCTGCAATTTGTAATTATTAATCTAAAGTCTGTGAATGTGTTTTTCACGCTGAAAGCTTACCTGGTGAAGTACCTGGTTTGTCGTGGCCCAGCTGCCCATAGCTGTTAGAACCACATGTGTACACACTACCATCATGCAGCAGGAACATTGTGTGTTGCCCTCCACAGGCCAACTCTTTCAGTCCCCTGCCACTGAACACGGGACAGTTCCTTGGCTCAAACATGGAGTTCCCCTCCACACCAATCCCCAACTGTCCATCCTTTGCATTCCCCCAACACAGCATGTTGGCGAGAGGAGAGGGGATGAGCACCAATCTGAAGAGACTGAGAGAGTGACGGCCAGATGGAGGAAGATAGAAAATGTTCAGGCTTGAGAGCAACCCCGCTTTCTCCTCTTCATGTAAATTCCAATCCTCAAAGAAACAAAAAACAGAGTAATTACGTCATCTTTCTTCATTGGGAAAACATACTGATCACGGTGCTCCACGTGTGAACCCATGTTGATAATAAAGTAAGTACGAGTTTAGAGGTGGGCGTGGCTGTGTGTGAGAATGATGTAAGCAGCATGACAGAGGAATAGGCAGTGTGTTTAAATAAACCATGTCGGTGTAATCCCATCTTAAGCAGCTCCAACCCGGTCTAGCCTTCAAGACGATCCACTTGCAATACAGGCATGTTACTGAGGGAGTTAGCCAAGCGTAATGAACACATGGGTATAAAACATTATAAAAGGAAACACAAAATGACATAAATCGGTAGACAGAAAGAAGTGAGAAGAGGTGAAAGCAGTATGGAACCGCCGCATCTGTCACCTCATCAAATTGAGGGCTTCAGAGGCTTTAGACCAGGATTACCTAATAAATTCATACAGAGGACAACCGCGGCTACCCTTCACTACTCCAATTTGATCACTTTATGCCCATCTAGCCCCTATTTGTAAAGTTGTTTGCTCTCTATCTCCACTGTAGATAAGATCTGTGTGAACAAAAATATAATTTTTGTGTGTAATATCTGCATTCAACTGCCAATATGTTAGGCACGTAACAGAAATGAATGCAATCAATTACAAAAGCCCTGCAATAAATCCTACCACCATGAATTACAGCTAAACAATTAGTCCATTAATCAATAACTGACAAAAAATGTATCTGCAAATATCCTGAAAATGGATTACTTGATTAAATAATGTGAATATGAATATCTGCTTGTTTATTTAGTCCTCTATAAAAGCAAATTGAACATCTTTAAATTTTAGACTGTTGGTCAGAATAAACAATCAATCGATTTATTTTCAAAATTTTCTCACATTTTATGGATATATTGAAAAAATAACTGGCAATAACAACTGAAATTAATGTTAAACTTATATGCAGCTCCAGTTATGATGTTAGGTTTTTGTTAAAACTATTATATATCAATAACAGTACACAAAAGATTTGAAACACCTCTCTATTTGGGTGGTGATGGTGCAGTGGATAAGACGCATCCTCCAATGTGTCCCTGAGTAAGACACTTAACCCCTAGTTGCTCAAGAGGCGTGCAACCTCTGACATAAATAGCAATTGTAAGTCGCTTTGGATAAAGGTGTCAGCTACATGAATGAATATATTTTGTGTTTTATTAGTCTTTTCCTTGTTAGGGTTTTACCATTTAATTCAAATGTTCACTATTCACTTATTATTTTGTTTGACTTTTGTAAAGCACTTTGTAATCCCTGATTATTGCAAATGCTACAAATCAACTTAATGGCTATGATAAGTAGCAGTAGTATAATGCAATACAGATAAACAGCACTCCAAATTAAATCAACGTTGACCATTGTAACCTTCATGAGGAAAGCTAGATTGTTATATTAAACTGCATTATTTATGCCTAAGTGCAACTGTTACCTACTAACCTGACAATTGGGTGTATACTGAGAGAGTGTAAGAAATAATTGAAAATGAACTGTAAGACCACAGTTAACACACTGAACCCAATTGGTAAACACTGGATAAAACGTGAATAGGCTAAATGTTATTATTAACTTGCTGTAACACCTCAGACTTGGTCTTGAGCTCCTAGGAAATAATGTGAATCCATGTTTATTACCTGTTAGCAACATAGGTTAGCAATCACTGCATTAGCTTAATATGAAGCTAGTAGCTAGCTGTATTTAAGTGGCGTTAATTTAATGGTCTAGCCTAATCAGCTGTAGGACATGTAACGTTTTTTAAGGTTATGTTAGCTTGCTGTTGAGGAGAAAGTGAAGGAGTGGCCTGGGTCTGCGCTGTGCAGACATGTTTAACACAGTGTGCAGGCGTAGCTACATTTCTGCACTGACATTAGCTGGTTAAACAGACGGCTGGATGACCTAAAACAAGCCGTTAACGTTACAGTTACACAGTTAGCTAATTAACCTTAGCAAACCTACGGCATCGCTGACTGTCAATCTTGTGGTTAAAAAAAACAACCAGCAATCCCCTGGCTATCCGATGTCTACACAGTCAGTAAAACCGTGCTGCAATGTTGCTGGTTCATCCAAAATTAAAATGCGGTGTTTACCTGGACAGATGCATTCTGATATATTTGGGCGTCTGGTTTCGGTTCAGCTCAGAAAACAAACTAGGAAGTACCAATGCTGCCTACGTCACAGAACGTTGTAGGCAGGAAAGGCTGCGATTGGCCCGCCGATCCGGGAGTGTTTCAACAAATTCTGTGACGCATCCATCTGACTAGTGATTTCTGACTAGCCTATACTAAGAAATTACATAGACGTTAACTGCTCTTTCTGTGGACTTCATTGTGAAACAACCATACACTTATTTTGGACCTGTACCTGTAGCCTACTGTCACTTTTTTGGAACGACTTTGCCCAATATATCTGCTGCAACGTTTTCAAAGTCTTTATGAATGAAATGCAACAAATACATACAAGCTATTCAGCACCCCAAAGCCTTAAAGATTCTTGATATATGTACATTTTTTAATTGCCTGAACTGCTGATTATATGTTTGTTTTCGTTTTGTTTTTTTGTTTACAACTTTGCCCCTGGTGTATATACAGTCTATGGTGTGTATATGTACTTTGTCATTGTACTGGAGTTAAAATAAAGAATAAAAGATACATTTTAACCTAAACATTTATCCTAAACATTTTCAGTGCAAACGTTTCTATTTTACAGTATCACCGCTTTTATTTTGATACCAACTGTTGCCAAATGGTGCCTATTTTTTTATTTCGAGGGGCTGCAAAGAAAAATTATAACCCCACAGATACAGAGAGTCTGTAAAGCAGTGATCATGTCATGATGAAGGGATGATTTGTAACAGACCTATTTGTTCAAAATGGACGAGTCAAGATATTTTTTCTTGAGGGAGAGGTCTGAACAATGCAGCTTCAATGCTTCTGGAAAGACAGTCCTGTAGCCAGAGGAAGCTTCTTTGGAGGGGCATCTGATTTCCCCAAGCAGCTAGAATTGATGCTCTTGGAGTCGACCAACATTCCACAGACCACAATCAACAACCTGATAAATTATGTGAAGGAGATGTGTTGCACTGCGTGAGGCAAATGGTGGTCCCACCAGATACTGACTGGTTTTCCGGACTCCGACAATGCAGTGAAACTGCACATTTTTGAATGGCCTTTCATTGTGGCCAGCCTAAGGCACACCTGTGCAATACCCATGCTGTCTGATCAGCATCTTGATACGCCACAGATGTGAGGTGGATGGATTATCTCGAAGGAGAAGTGCTCACTAACACAAATTCTGACAGATTTGTGAACAGTATATGAGAGAAATAATCCTTTTGTGTACATAGAGAAAGTCTTAGATATTTGAGTTCAGCTCATGATGAATGGGGGTAAAAACAAAAGTGTTGCGTTTATAATTTTGTTTAGCGTATATTGACATGTCTTTTTTGAAAGCATTTTTTCTTTACAGCATTTTCCCCACACTTTTTTTACAGTACTGTATACATATTGTTTGACAGATATCAGGGAGGAGTTAATGTGAATTGAATTTCATTTTGTTTTTGTGAGAGGCAGTTGCATTTTGATCCATTCGATTCAATGCGATGTGATTTTTAAATGTATGCATGCATTCCATTTGTAATTTAGCCAATAAACCACACCATTGTAGTTACACTTAATTACACTGTGAAAAAGACTTTCATCAAAACAACATGACAATATAACAGCATAGTTAAGAATTGTTGGCTACTTTAGCCATCATTATAACTACACTGACAGCACAGAGTCATGTGACAAAACCATATGGTTGAAAGCTGCATTTGAATTGTATTTTGCTCATGCTAGTGAGACTGACTGAATCCAGTCCAAAACTTCACGACAGATCAATGGGCCTGACAAGTTACCACAAGACACTAAACAAAATAGTATAGGAAACCATCTGGAATCATTAATATTAAAATATATCATATTTCATCACAGCGTTTAACAGTTTTACAATGCTGTGAGCTCTATGTGGGTTACTGAATGGTTAAATCAGATCAAACTAACTCCTTAGTAAGTTATGGTTGACACAAGACAATACGTCCACATTTGGACAGCATGCTTATTCAGACTTTGCTTGTGGAAAGCATGAAATGTACTAAATGGCCCCTTAAATACATTTGATAATTATTTCTGATCTAAAATAGTGCACTGGTCCCAGAGGAAATAAGAGGTGACTGGGCGCCAGAAGAACTAAGAACATAATGGTGTGTATAGAGAAGTAAATAAGTTTGGGGAAATTCACATAAATAATAACCTCTAACGCTACAGGGTCCTTCAATATCAAATGTTACTCTGACTGGCAGCAGGATACATCAGAATGGCACCTGCAGATAGTTTGTAAAACGTAATTTTCCCCATTTTCAAGGAGATAGAAAACCATGGAACCAAATAATTTTTACATTTATTTATTCTGTATTAATTTGTGTAGCCTATTATCTCCCTTTGCATCCACCCCACCTAATTCCCCAACTCATTTATCCTTGTAAATTTTCTTCATACATTTCTTTATGCATTTCTGCTTCATTATGCAATTGTGAGGGTGCTGTCATTGTAAATTTTAAAAATGTATCTTCTATGCCTTTATTTGTTTTATAACCTGTTCACACAACCACTTTTCATTTTCCTGTTTCTCTGGTTATTTGGAAGCAAAACGCCTTCAAGAAGGGGAGGGGCTTGGCGCTTGCCGCTGCTGATTGATGATTGGTGCATACAGCTGTCATTTATCGTTCCTTGGACCATTCGTCTTGGGGGCGTCAAAGTAGGCGTAAACGTTTCTAGCATGCTGATT